CATAGGCTACTTTTTAACGCGAGAAAATAGTTGTAAGGGGTTGAAAATGGGGTGGAAATTTATATGGAATTATCATTTATAGAGTTAGAAACTTGGAAGTTAAAATGCTATCCTAAGACAATATTTTACGCGAACGAAGTAGGGGGTATAACTAGTCTATTACATTTCTTATGTATATTATTTAGGACGTATTACAATTTTAAAGCTGTACTACATATTTTGGTGGAAACTATACAATAAAGAGAGAATTAAATTAGACTTTCTAATATCGTTACTGAACTTAAGATTCGTATTACTAATTCATTCTTATTGAACGAATTGTTATTGACTAAACGATCGATTTGATTTGATCAGAATAATGTATTAATTTACTTACAAGTAAATTACAGTTAGTAAATGGCGAGAGAAACGGAATGGATAGTGAAATCCATTTAGGGCGTCTGAATTGTGTGTTTAATACATCTCAATCTACTTACGAAATTTTAGGACGCCCAAAATATCCTAAGCGATGCCGGGTCTGAGTAAAAATATCTTTTCATTTGAATGTTTACGTAAAATGGTCAAATATATTTTCTTAAAATAGGTAAGGCGTTTTTGATAAAATTATTTAGACAAAGATGCCATCTTTCGGCAGAATTACATCGTTTAGTTCAAACTGAAAATTTCTCAACACATTCCCAATAGAGGAAATACCTAACAGGAAATTAGATTATAGAAACTTTAGATCTCTGAACTGTGTAGAAAGAAGTTTAAGCTACAATCTTTTATGTTACATATTAAATCATATTAAAAAATCTCTTGACACATGAAAACTAAAAATGTAAGAAACCCTCTCAACTTTGCTCTAATGACGTGACAGTCAGTACGGTTTCTTTTGGTTAATTTGAAGGATGTCCACAAAGAATTTATGTTAATGTATTAAGCGTTGAGACGCAAAAGAGTTGGTCTTTATTAAAATCGAGGGGGCGCCATATTGTCGCTATCTTTATAGATATAAAAAAAAACAAGCACGGGTTCATTTATTAAAAACCAACGTATTAGTTGAATTTCACTTTAAGAAACTAGTAAATAATTTTATATACTTTCTATTTACTGTATATAAACTGTATCATTACTGACTTGATCCCCCATGATCGTCGTGATAATGATGATGAAGACGATGATGATGATCCATATGATACAAAAATCATCAATCACAGTCATCAAAATCTGTCCAGTAGGTGTAAATCCGGGAAGCATATGACCCACTGGCACTAAGTTTATTGCGTGATAAACATTGCATTGCATTTTTTTTACAAAAAAGTCCCGCGAAAACATGATATCCTATCATCGCTTCTTCAGTGACGTCATGCCGTAAATCTTACTCCCGTTTACTAAAGTTTCTGATATTTTACTCCACTAACCATTGGTTTCTGAGACCAAAACTCTTTATAAAACTTATCGTCATCCCTGTCATTATCTTTGACAAAAACAGAGATAGCGACATGTTTGAAACGGGGATTTTGGTCTCAAAAACCCACGGCAACTAACGTTTCTCGCCCTATTATATGTTTTTTTATATGTATATTTTTTTATAACGTAATAGTTTTGTGACCGCCAGGAGTTAAATAAATACCACACTGGTTCACTCCGAAAACGGGGAGCAATAGCAAGAGCATGTTTTTTAATAACAGTGTTGTTTATTCTAGTCATGATTCGCTTTTCGTTGTCCGTCGTAATCAAGCAATGCCAGTAGAGCGTGGGTTAAAACGTGAAGTGAAAATAACAACCCGTGCAATCTAAAATAGGTACAAAAACAATGTAAATAGAGATAAATTATATCCCTCTGTCGCTAGATTTGGGAGTCCACGGATCCAGGACCTAATTTATTTTCTATTAAAGGTAACAATAAAGTACACACACGATTCGCTACCTTAGAGCCCTTTAGGACTAGACGGTCACTGTCAGTCACAAAGCGGTTTTAGGGATAATCATAGTCAAAGCTATATTATGAAAATCAGTTTTTAAACTTAAGGTTGTCACGATAGTTGCGTTCAGCCGCCATGGTTGTTTGTAGCGCTACGCCCCGCTTAAAAAAGCGCGTAATTGCGTTTCCTCGTGGTTAGCGGCGGATGCAACCGCGTCAATCGGTTGGCTTCATCCGCTTTGAACGTTTGAAGGCTTACTTAGTCATTTAAATAACAAATTCTTTGTCTCTAATACATAATTAAGTTTCTTTTAATGCGAATAGTAAAAAACGTTGAACGTTTTTAATTTAAAAGTAAAAGCTTTTTACAATTACTTTTTAAAATTTTAATGATACCTTTAGGTAAACCATTTGTTTTTCTAGAGTTTTTACAAAATGACCGTGACAAAAGAATTTAATAAATTTAATAAAATTGGGTGATTCAATTGTTATAATATAAAATTAAGTTCTTAAATAGTTTATGTCCACTGCAGTGAAAAGACAGCAAAAATGACTAGAGATGGGACATAAATTAAATAAATATAGCTACTTTTAGACATAATTAATAAGAATCCGTTGGCGCGAATGACGTGCTTTCATTACCAAGTCAATCAGATTGATTAGTGAAGGGACATTAACGTTGTTATTTTAATAAGGCTAGTGTTGCGCCGATACACCAGCCAGTGTTGTTTCTTCCTAACACTAAATTCTTAAAATTACTTTTATAACTAAATAACAATAATCATGAGTATTAAAACACAATAAGTATAAAAACTTCAAGCTCTTATCGCTTGAGAAAATTTTATATCTATAAAATTCTTGTCTTACAATGTTATCATACTCCTCCGAAACAACTTATTGGTAAGTTTACGTAGGTTTTGCATATTACGTAGGTCTGAGAATCGGCTACACTATTTTTAGGGTTCCGTACCTCATAGGAAAAAAACGGAACCCTTATAAGATCACTTTGTTGTCCGTCCGTCCGTCTGTCAAGTTTTTGAGAAAAAGTCTCAAAAACGCGTGATGGTATCAAGCTGGAATTTATTTTAAAACCGCGCGGAAAGAGTCGCGGGCGACAGCTAGTAAATTTATAATAATAACGAACTTTCTTTCAAAGAAACATACGACAAACTAAAATTAACAACCTTTTTACAGTGTCTCTAATAAAAATTTAAATTTAATGCTTCTTGAAGAAAATTTCGTCATCTTTTGCTAAAATTGCATTTATCTTTTTCAACATAATTTATAGCTTTCTGTTCTCTCGGTATTCTGTAATGAAAATATTCTTCATGTCTAAAAGACTTCGGGATTGCACGAAATACTGAGAAATATTAAACTATTCGTATTTCTTAGTTCTTTAGTTCTTAAATACTTTTATCACCGTTCCGTGAATTACATTCAAGTGGACTAGACTGGACGGTAGAATTTTAATTAAAAAAAATCTATAAAATCCTACTCGAGGATTCGTTAGCTCTTAGACTACTCGAGTCTAAGAGCTATCGAATTTCTTTTGTATAGACACATTGTTGTTTTTTTATAAAAGAAATTAAAACATGAATTAACATCAAACATATCGTCATCCCTGTCATTACCTTTGACAAAACAGAGACACGTTTTCAACAATTTTGGTTTCAGAAACCCACGGTTAATTTCAATGTGTTCGTTAAATCATATTCCACTTAAATAGGTAAGGAATAAAATCTTCATGCATCATTTATCTCAATGACAGATTTGCTTGCCTATTAACGGATTCCATCAGTACTAAAATGGCAAAAATCAAATAAGCACAAAATACTTCCTCTTATAGCCTGTCCGTTTATACGGGTCAGTGTCATAATACATGTTCATGTATTCCATTGTGCACTTAGCTTAAAAGGTTTCAACAATTGAACTGTCGTTTTAAAAAGTGGGATTCCTTGCTTTTTAAAATTAATTCCTCCAGCAAAGTTATTCCGCAAACTTGTTAAAAGTTGTGCAGTATCCCAAGCCTATCAAGAATAGTCCGTGATCAACTTTTTTCTTGTCACAAACACAGAAGCTTGTAAACTAAGAGTTAACGGGTTAGTTGATAGCTTCTGCTATTATAATTTTTAGGGTTCCGTACCTCATAGGAAAAAAAAGAAGCCGTATGGGATCACTTTGTTATCCGCCCGTCTGTCTGTCAAGCCCCTTTTTCTCAAAAACGCGTGAAGGTATCAAGCTGAAATTTATTATATTTATTTAGCTTAGGTAACTATATACTGTGTATAGTACGAGTATAACACTATCTTACTAATATTATAAATGCGAATGCTTAAATGGATGGATGGATTTTTGAAGGTATCTCCAGAACGGCTGAACGGATCTCAATAAAATTAACATAAATAAAACATAGTCTGGAAGATCACATAGACTACTTTTTATTTTTTAATTTCGCTCAGACGGATTCGCGGACGATAGCTAGTCATTAAATGTAAAGAAATAATCGAAGTGACAAAAATTGCCAAAAGTTAGTAATTATAAACTATTTTTTACTTTTATCTACTTTATTTACGTAGCAAGTGTTTTTATTTTTATCAAGTGTTTAAACAAGATTTTTTTTATTTACGGAAAGGATCAACGTATTTAAATAAATAATTTTCCTCGACGTATTTCCATAATTTTATTTTTGTTTCAGATACGTTCGGGACGTAACATCGCTTCAACAAATATGAATTAAAACATAATGGAGATGTTAAAAGCATTTATATGTATGATAATATTAATAACAGACTGTATGTCTGTTAAATATATTTCTAACATAACGAAATATCAAATCGATGATGACGATATCGATAATAAAAATGTTACAAACATTGAAAATACAATCGAAGATCTTAATATCGATACCAATGTATCGAATGAAACAGTAATCGATAAAACAAAAGATACAAAAGAGGTTGTAAGTGATAATAAATGCGCAAATATCGATACAGATTTAAATGAACCAGTATTCGAAACACATAGTTTGAATTCGATTTATCTTAATAACATACATTCTAGTGTAACTGGAAATCTGATAGAAGATAACGTATCGATGGAAAGCATAGAAGCAGATGGTGTCAACTTATTTGATATTATTGGCGATGATTGCGGAAGTACTAAAATGTGTTCCACAACAAACAGTAATTGGACAACTGAAAATACAATAACTATTGGATTTCTAGGAGCTTACGGATATAGTCTGGTAAGTTTTAATTAAACCAACTTTGTATACATTTGAAGATTCAATAAGTCAACTGAAAACTAGCGCAGAGGCTTTTTAAACCATCTGCATACGCTGAGCTGACTCTTTATCACACTTTTCTTTTAATTGTTGTAGATCTTTGCTGTGTTTTTTCTCTTGTATCTACATATCTGTGTGGTTATAAATGAGTTTCTTTTCTCTTATAAAAGCTAAGGGTGTAAATACAGTCGTAGATGCTCCTATTCGATTATTGTGAACTATTTCTAGCACAAATTTAAAGCAAAAAAAAGAAATCAATCATGAAACATCCCTTCGATGTACCATTATGTAATGTGGGGTTCGAAGCACGGAAAGGTTCGAAGGAAATTCAATAATACGGTACAAGAAAAAAATAGCAATTTTCACTTAAATGCAAGTTGAATCGTGATACATGATGTCCATGGGCGTCGGATCAAATAATATTAGGCGATTCGTTGCTCGTTTGCCCCCTTCTCCTATATAAAAAAAAAAAAAACAGAACGAGCCAATAGACAAACTGTAAAGAACTGTTCATATATTTTAATTAATTTAGTATTGAAAAGTTCATCTATTTTTCTAAAATTAAGCTTAGAATTTACTCGTATATTCGTATTCGAACTCACAACCGCGTGTTGGGAAGTCAGTCTCCTTAACTATTAGGTCATGGGTGCTTAAAAATCAAATTTGAATCCCCTAGCTCACGTGTTCCAACATAGCTTCAAGCGATTAGTAGTTTAGGTAATGTTTTTAAACAAGTATGAAAAGTTGATATGCAAATTAGTTTTAGTCATCGTAAAGTTTTCGGTTAGTCTTTGCTAAACAAGTTTTACCTTTAACTATGTATATTACATTATGTTTAGATATTAAAACTTAAAGTCGCACTCAAAGTTAAATATCACTAAGGGACACCCTTAGCATAGAATCAGTAAAAGGAATATACTTTGAGAAATTGATGAAGTGTCTGGCCTAACAGCCTACAAAAGGGTGACCTCTTGTGTAATATGTTAGACCTGACTTGAATACCCACTGACGCTAAATGGACTCCCAAATGATAAATGACCAGAACACAGGAAACTACTCCTTATTCTATTCAAGAGATTCGCATTGAAATCGTGTTTTAAATCAGGAGGATGAAACGCGAGAAAATCACACCAATCTCTTGTATACGATAAATGATGAGACAGTTTCTTTTATTTACGTGGGATTTAAAAAAAGATTTTGTGTTTATAAGCATACAGGATGTCCCAAAAGGTTACGCACATAGGAAGGGGGATGATAGGGGTGGTCACAAGGGTCACCAGAAAAGTAAAATTAAAATTCCCCTCTGGGTAATAAAAAAATGAATGGCATTTTTTAAAAACTTAAAAATTTTACACCTTCTGGGGCAATTTTGTAACCGATGACCTACAAATATTGCTATATTTAAAAAAATGCTATTATGTTATCGTCAATAACCCTTTATCAATATGAAATAAAAAAAAACAATACAACTAACAAAGATTTTAAAGAAAATTAAAATTGCCCCAGAAGGTGTAAAATTTTTAAGTTTTAAAAAAATGCCATTTATTCTTTTTAATACCCAGAGGGGTATTTTTATTTAATTTTTCTGGTGACCTTGTGACCACCCCTATCATCCCCCTTCCTATGTACGTAACCTTTTGGGACACCCTATATAAAGAAGCTCTTACTAAGTATTTAATTGACTAAGACAGGGGTGGTGAATCTTTACGTATCAACGTGCGAGTTTTATAAAGAAATCTTATTAATATTATAAATGCGGATGAATGGATGGATATATGTTTGTTTGTAGGTAACAGAACTGCTGAACAAATCCCGTTATAATTTGACAAAGATGTAGAATGTATGGGAGAATACATAGGTTACTAATTAAGTTTTTTTAACCATCGCTAATATAATAAAGCTATATACGTGCCATTAAATAATTTTGATTATGTAACTATTAGAAACATTTCGTAGTCTAGGAATTATTAGTGTCGTTCCTCATGTTTGATACCTATGCATAATGAATTTTGTGAGAAGTACTGTGTACAAAATATTGTGCCGTATGCCATTGGTTTGTCATCCCTGTATTATAATAGAAGTTCAAGCTTCGAGCATCAAGCGTTCATTCTCTTTAATACTGAAGAAAAATAAACTGAAGTTACGCTTAGTACTTGTAACATTCTTGATACAATGAATTGAAGCGAAACAATTTAATGTTTACACAACTATCTTTAGCCTAGTACAGAAAGTCGACTTTGGTCTGAATTTGAAATTCATTTTGTATCGTCAATATTTGTTGAACATGATTTGATTTTGGAGTGTTTATCTTGTTATTGGTTTGGACAAAACCGTTGTACGATTGTTCACTAGTTGCGTTCTAAATTTTGCAGCGTTACCTAATATCGGACAATCCCCAAAGGTAAACTTTAGATAATATACATTGACTTTAAATGACGGGACGCGTTAAGCTAACTACGCCTGTCAAATAAAAACCTACAATAAGTTTTACACTTGCTTGATTGTGCTCGTTTGTGGAATTAGTGTGTTTTTCAATGAATATTTATTTATAAAGAAGTAATTTCAAAATTATATGAACATGAACGTGTCAACTTTCTCTCACTCACCGTAAAAAGATTAGAATTTATTAACTACCACAAGGGGCTATATGTCTAGTCCATTTCTAATTAGTCAAAGTTTCCCATACTTATGTACATTGTAACAAATAATGTACGTTAGTGTCCAGAGAGCTTTAAATTGCGAAAGCAAAGCGAATGTTAAACATTATATTGGAAATTCCTTTGTCTGCGGCGACTGTGCACTGCTCACCTACTTTCACGTTACACCACAAATAAACGTACAATGTTAATTTTCAAATATTACCAGCAACCAAATTACAATAGTACAAAACAATAAAATATTTAAAACATGCCGAGTTAAATGAACATAAATATAATGACGAATGAACATTTAATTTTTTCATTTTTTGAGCTGGAACTAATGTTTTTTGGGAATAATATTGTGCGTTATTAAGTATACATCATGTATATATATTACTGGCTACTTACTGGAAAATAAAGCTATATTTTATTTAAAAAAACCGAATGCAATTTAGCATCAACAATCGACTCATTTAACGCTCAATATGACCATACAGAAATAGAAGCTATCAACACGCTTGTGTTCGACCGATATGAAATTTCCAAGTCCATTAACCGAACTTGTATATCGTATATTGATTCCTAAGACTTCAAAATAATATGATGGGACGTAAGTAAACAAAGGAAAATTAATTAAACTAACCCTAATCTTCACATCAACGTTGTCGTAATTATAACAAGGACATAACAACACGCGGCGCTGCAACATATCTTTGTAGACAAAAGACAAGAATATAAACCTAGCTTAAAGATTAATGCATTCTTAATGATGTAAACGCAAATTAAAACATTATATTTGCCAAGCTTTGATACAATAATTTTTGTACACCATTTTAACTTAAATTTAGCTGCTTGAAATATGTTCTTAGATCTGTTTCTGTGTGCACACTACAATTTTCATGCAATAAAATCATCTGTAGTATACATATATTGACCCAATTATCATCATCTTCTCACATTAACCTCACGTATTCATAACTGTTGCGTAACGTAATTGTAGACATATTAACATTGGTGCAGACTGTTCTGGGCGCGCTGCCGCTGGCCGTAGCGGGCATCAACCGCGAGCCCAGTCTGTTGCCAGGCCGCCGCCTACGCTTCGTGGCCGCCAACATCGGCCGCCCTAGACCACCGCTGCCGCTCCACAGGGATTCACTCTCGCTCAGGTTACTGTCAAATAGATAAGATAGTAAGATTAAAAAAACAATATCTTCCTAGTGATCTCAAATTAAAATGTTATCTAGATCCTTTTAGCTATCCTGAAGGTGGGGGGTGATAACACAATCCATCCAATCTTTCGCATTTATAATCTGAGTAAAATTGTGTTAGATATAAGTAGTTCTTATTGTTAGCCAATAGGAATAGCACACGCGATTCTATATAAGTTGAAATTGGGCCATAGAGAATTATTTTCCTGTACAAATGATACAATTTCAAATTTCATCTAGTCTTTGGTTCTCAAATATAATTCTAATGTTTCATGTAACGTTACTTATGACAAACGTAATGAAGATCTAATTAGATTCATATTAATTTTCTGCGACACTTCTTATAAATACACATCTAATGATAACGTAAATGAATATGGTAATTAAATAACGTCACATTCCAAAAAAAGTGTCGTCCATAATCAGTCCATAATACATGCGTTTAAACGCGTGGTAAGTGTTGACATAATTGACAAAGTTATTTCTCCTGACCCGTGAAGATCAACGGAGACCGCCCACTCAGGCTCACTCAGGCTCGCGTTACCAAAGCGATGGAAGATTTAATTTCTACGACGTCTATTATGTAAATTAAATATTCGTTTTAAAATCAAATTCCACTTCTTACGATACGATTTAAATGATTTTGACACTATTATAAATTTCTGAATATAACACAATAATCTTTGTTGTCGAGATAAAAATGGAAACGACTATTTTTATTGAATGCAACTAGAGCTTGTTCTGTTGTCTGTGTTCAGTAAAGCATCGCTATACTAAATTTGAATATGCACATTGGCAATACGAAAAACCCAGTATATTGCATTTTTAGTACGGTATTTTGACAATCGTATTCGGGACTATTTGATGATTGAATCAGTCACAAAATCTTACTACTTACTAATATTATTAATGCGAAAGTTTAGACGGATAAATGTTTGTTAGAAGGGTTCAACGGATCTTGGTTAACTTTGGTACAAATGTAGAACATAGTTTGAAAGAACACGTAGGCTACTAATTAAGTTTTTTTTTTAATTCTCGGCGAAGGACTCGCGGGCGACGTCTAGTATAAATATATACCATTTTAATTGTAGTTTTTGAGGTTATCCGCGACATTACATTACTTGAGTTTAATTCTCTCTTGTAGATAGTTAGGTTACATCGTCTGTAGGCGTATTTACTCGGAGACTCGTGCGAATAATTGCTCAGGCGATAGTATTAGAATAAATGTTGAGGTTTAATTTGTGTTTACTTACAGTCGAGGATTTTATCACGCAACGACTTAGACTGCCATGTTGTTTATGATTTTTTTTTTAATGTGAATGATGACAAATGTTTCGATATTTATCAACGCAGTGGAAACACAGAAAAGGTTGAAAACTTATCACTAGCAAGATGCAAATAGTGACAATTAGCTATTCGATCGCAAGAAGCAATTTTACTTAATTCTTTGTCTATACAGGGTGATGACGCAAATGCGTGATCTCGGTGTGGTGGCGTTCTTCGGCCTCGACGGCACGTGTCTAACTGAGGCGAAGCTTGCCGCCGCTTGGAACCTTCCTCTCATATCGCATGTAAGTAATCTCGACGTCGACCTACGCGTATGCATTTCATCAAATATAAGAAAACATTACGCAGTAGTATATCGGAGATTCAATTTTCTATATATCTTCAGATGAGATGAATATTAAACTAGAGTTGTCATAAAAAATATTCTTTATACGTCTTTCTTTGGTTTTATAAGCCAAGCTAGTTCTGTAATATTAAGTTTTGCATTTTATATTTATTTACTCATCAAGATATTTTTTATGATTAAAATATTTATGCTTTAAAAACTAGAACACCCTGTACACATAGTTGATAAACCTATTCAATATACGCCGAATAAAAACTTACTGCTATTAGATTCCAGATTCAAGTGTGACGTAGAAATACGATTTGTATAATCTAAAATTTCTTTTCAATGTATTTTTTGCTGTTGGATGAAAATAAAATATTTCTCCAACAAAGTATTTTATACGCCATTGAATATTCAAAAAATAAATGTCCAGGGAGCTTTTCTCACGATTTTTTCCTTAATCAATATAAATTTTGTACTATTGACAATCGAAACATCGCAAAAAAAATCAATACAAGTGTATTATCATTGCAAATTTTATAACATTCAAAATTATTTAAAGGCTCAATGAAATATGTAAATATTATTATGTGGCGACTATAAATCTCATGTGGCAACTTCAATAAAGCAATCTGTAGGACATTCACACGAAATAGGGTAATGACATAAGGGATACAAAATAATTGATTTGGGTTTTAAATTGTCATTGTTATAATGCACAAAGGCTTTTAACTATTACTAATTATATGTAGAAAGCGCCAATAGCCTAATGGTTAAGGGTACGGATTCCGATCACGAAGTCGGGAGTTCGAATCACGCCATTCGACTATTGTTGTAAACCATATCCTAACACAACCCTAGCGCTCAGTTGGAATGGTACAAGAAATATTAGTAAATAAAAAGAAATCTACTAATATTAAAAAAAAAACTTGTGCAAAGTTAAAATAAATTTCAGCTTAATACCTTCACGCGTTTTTGAGAAAAAGGGTCTTAACTGACGGACGGACGGACAACAAAGTGATCCTATAAGGGTTCCGTTTTTTCCTATGAAGTACGGAACCCTAAAAATAACCTTTTACTGAATGATAATCTCACTAATATTACAAACCTGCTGTCGTCCGCGACTCCGTCCGCACTGAATTAAAAAGAGATAATTAGTAGCCTATGTGTTTTTGCAGGCTATGTTCTACATCTATGCCAAATTTCAATCAGATCCATGCATACCTTCATCATTCATCTAAACATTCGCATTTATAACAGTTAGATGCAAATGTTTGGATGGATGGATGTTTGTTCGAAGGTATCTCCTGAACGGCTCAACTGATCTAGATTAAATTTGGCATAGATATAGAACGTAGTCTAGAAGAACACATATGCTACTAATTAATTTTTTTTTATTCCTCGCGGACGGTGTACTAGTTAATTACAATTTTTAAAGATTTGGAAGAGGTAACTTATATATAGAAGAAACATTAAGACAGCTATTATTTCGTTTCAGTAATATTCTGTAATTCACTAAAAGGAACTATTGAATAGCGATGTCGTTACACAATAATGAATCTTGACAAATGACTGAAGTAAAAGATTACGATCGAATAATTCTTTTAAGAAACTTGAAACAACCTTCATTTGTTAGGAAAATTAAATTAACTGTTAACAAAAAGGAAGAAACAAAATAATATGAAGAAATATTTTAACAAATAAAAATATAATTCTATAGTCAAATTTTAATTAAAATTAATATAATTAGCAGTAAAATACATAAATACACCTCTGTGAAAAATATTTGTGTAACGACTCGTTAATATAATTTAGAAATATAAATTGTTTTGATAAGCTGTCTAATTGTGTTCACATATTTTGATAACAATACCTTAGTATATTTATAGAACATGTTCCACGATGAAAATTTAACATTATATATCAAGATTCTTTGTCTTATTTACCAAAGATAAACTTCTTAAACACTTGCTATTAAAAAAGTTCTATCCTATAAAAAAACGGTAACAGAACAAATGAACAAGCTGATCTTTTAATTCGCTATAATAGCGAAGTGACTCCTACCTGTAGATATTTGTGAATTCAAATGCGCCACCTTTAATCGCTACAGAAGGGTGACATAAAAAAGAGTATCCACTTGCTAAGTGTCCTCTACTCCCATCCACCTCCCCTTCGCTTCCTTGCCTTCAGGTACGATTACACTACCACATTACTTAGTACACACATTGAATATATCTGTATAATTACGTGTGCCTCACCCTAAAATACGTACTAATGTATAGAGTACAGTCAGCTGCATAATTATGTATACACTTACAAAACTATAGAAACTTGTTTAGTTCTTCGGTTTCAAAAATAAACAAATGATACCATGTTCAGAAGAATATTGATGAAAGTGTGTATACATATTTTTAAGGCCCAATGCTTATACTAGTTTTAGAGGCTTTGTAAATGCATACATATTTATGCAGCTGACTGTACAAATATTAATGTCGGAATTTATGGCGTAGTCTTCGTTTAATCTTCCCTTTATAAGAAAAGGTAGAAAGGGAAAGAGGGAGATTTGGCCTCAGGTACGCATAATTTAGCTATAATTAATACAGCTTAGGATTGCGGTTATGTTTTCTAATGGAATTATCGTTAATTGGGTCTACGGTGATGCTGCTTAATATACATTTGTACATCATTTTCTCTTGTTATGTATTTGACTTAAATATACACTTTCATTTAAAGACACTTAGACGCAATAAATTCGTCAGTTACTTATGTAAACTTTGTCATCCCCACCAGGTGATATAAGGTAAGGTTTCGACTTAACCCCACCCCCCTCCTTCTATGTAAACCCACGAGTATGTATCGTATTGTTATCGTACTTTGTACGACGTAATGTAGAACTTTTTAAAAACATAATTAAAGGGATTTTGCCAGAGACTTCGTTTACATACAGCCTGTTACCCGGAGACAGTGTAACTTTTCAACAGTGAAAGAATATTTCAAACCGATTCAACAGATTCGGGGGCTATTCAATGAAAACCCTCAAATGTTTTTAATATTACTACAATAGCTGTAACCCGTGACTCCGGCCGCGCGTTATTAAAAAAACATAATTGCCTGTGTTCTTCTAGACTATGTTCTATAAGTATGCCAAATTTCACTGAGGTCCGTTAAGCCTTTCTGGAGATACCTTCAAACAAACATACATCCATCCAAACATTTGCATTTATAATATTAGTATGATAGTATGAAGTATATATATATTATTCGTTAAATTTACTTTGTGGGACAGAAATAAATGCCGGGATATCTTACTTTAACCCCCTTCTCCCTGGTGATCCGTGATTGTTTTCGGTACTCCTCTCCCTTCTTTCGAGCATCACGTAAGTAACTTAACTACTTAAACGTAAACTTATTTACTTCTTTTTTAGTATGATAAAACGTAAGAAGTAATACTTTGAAAGCTAAAAATTTATTTCATTCATTTGAACGTTACTGGACTTGTCTCTAGTATGACATAAACTCGACTCACAAAACTTATAGATTTTTTCAAGGTCAAATAACTTAACGTGAAAGTCGATAAGCGACTAACGCAAAAACTTCTCAAACTCGAAATTTAAACTCAAAGTCTACTAAACTTCTAGTCAATTTAAAAATAAATTATTACCTATCGTTGAAAAAAAAAATTAAAATCACACAACAAAAAAAAACATACAGATGAAGTCGTTACTTGTTTTTTTCATAATAATTCACTAGTAATTTAAGTATGCATGCAGTCTTATGCTATAAAGAAGAGTATGAGCCAAATTATTAATTTTTTTAAATTTTTGCCTGTGAAATGATTAAAAATCATAATTATGAATTACTACGTAAAAACTAAAGGGTGTCTTGGCATGTACTACGAGTGGTCACCGAGGGGAGGGAGGGAAAAACTAAAAAAGAGGTCACGTAGTGTGTGTATGTTCCCTTATGTATATATGTATGTTTAAAAATATGAATGAAAGTACATTGTTAGGTTAGGTACAACTACAAAATGCACAGGCCGGTATGCCCCCTCTCCGCTCGGATCCGAGTGGTAAGCACTGAATGTGTTAATATTTGACAAGTTAATCCAAAGTATTGTAACAATTGAAATAATATGGTTAGAATAATAATTGAATAATTGTTTTTTGGAACACAAAAAAAGTATGGAATGACTATGTGAAAGAGGACATGCGTAGGAAGGGGGTTGATTCTGATATGACGGCTGATAGAGATGTATGGAGGAGTAGTACGTACTGTGCTGACCTTCGATAGGGATAAGGGCAGATTGATGATGATGATGATGATTAATTGAACATTTTTATTAAACACCTTTTAGTTAAGTAGAGAGTTTAGTATAAGTTATTCAAGACTTAAGGAAACTTTCCTACGTAACACTGGTTAAGTTTACAAGTTAACAAATTGAATAATATATTATTGTTACTTAAATATAATATTGTAATCTCTCATTGAGTCAGTATCAAAATATTGTGTTGTGATTTATTTATACTTGACTTACAATCTACAGGCCCTGGGTTCGAATCCCGCGATGTACCAATATGTTTTTCGATTTCCGATTTACATGTGTATATTTATCCGACGTTCTTACGGTGAAGGAAAACATCGTGATGCAACCTACACATATCTGAGAAGAAATTCAAAGATATGTTTGAAGTCAACTAACCAGCACTTGGTCAGCGTGGTTGACTACGGCCTAATCACCCCTAACTTAGGGTAGGCTTCGAGCCCCTTGGTGGGCACGTATAGTGAGCTGATGATGATGATTTATTTTATAATACTTGTTTATTCAATTTTCATAAGGCAATACATCCTTATTGTTTATTGTTTTGTTTTTATTTTGATCAAATCAATTAATTAATAATATAAATATATTTAAATTACAAAATTATACAACAATTCGCAGATTAATCAAGATTAATTAAGCGTATGCATATAACAATGCCAACTTTTAATGTTATTGTATTCATTTGGTAAAGGTGATATAAATATGTTAACTATTTGCATAAAAAAACTTGTCAAGACTTTCCCATTCTCTGTAATAAATAACAAAGTGTAATGTTTTTTTGATTAGAAATGCCCTGAAGCTGATGTTTCACGGGAGGCGGGCGAGGCGGGCGGGCTGGGGGCTACATTCGCCCGCACGTTGCCGCCCGCACACAAAATCAGCAAATCCGTGGTGGCTCTACTGAAGGCCTTTGGATGGAACAAATTCGCGATAGTAGCCGGTGACGAAAGCACTGCAGCTGGACAACAGATGGATGCTATTAAAGTAACTATTGAACCTTTTAAATATACAGTTTAAAAGTTAATAAAGCCAAAATAAGCGTCAAAGCTTAAATCTTTGAACATCAGAAAGGATATGCAAATGATACCATCTTTTCCGCGAAAAAAAGGTAACCTTCCTGTCGTTCGGTTATCTATCTGTATAATCTGTCTATACATTTGTAGTCTTTTGGACTAAATTACAGTCGGTTTTTGGTAAATTGTTGGACGTCAAAGTATCACCAGTAGGTCAGCAACAACCATTGTGGAGTTTGTTATAAATTGTAGATGTAGTTATAACTTGTTAGTAAATGCCAACAAACCACAGACTAAACAATTTCAGTCCAAGTATTTTAAACTAAACAGAGAATCTTAGAATCTATTCTATATGGTAAAGAACAAAGTTTTGGGAAACTTACTTTAAAAAATCAATATTGAATGCAAATTGCATATTTTGATAAAGTTTTATAACGAACAATTTTATTAATATTTGCATTTCGTCTATTGTTAATTTAATTCCTTCTCGTAAAAAAAAACTTCAGTACATATTACCTGAGAAATTTAACACATGTTCAATGTCATTGTTATGAATAAAAATTACGATTTAACGAACTTTATTCGGAGGAAAAAGAGGAACTTTATTCAAAATCAATCATACTTATAATATGAAGCGTAGTTTAATTTGATGTTAATACAAACTTGACATTTATAATTATATAACCAAACTTGATGTAATTTATCTTTGTACAAGACAGCCTTTGTGCTCCGTCCTCTATTATTTTAATATTCTATAATACTGTTTGTTAATCATTATTGAAAGATGTTGAAAATAAGAAAATAAGAAGGATATAAAAGTTTAATACAATTAAATATAAGATTTTTAATTGCAGTCTTTGAAAGGTTAAGAATCAAATTGAAAATCATATGACACAATTAATATTTTACAATAGGCTTAAAATAGACAAAGAGAATAATATTTTTTACATCCATCCATTCACATAGCTCTTCATAGCTTTCAGTCGGTCATAGCTAGTTTATAAAGAGAGATCTTAAGTTACAAACATTTCTTTAAGCTTTAAAATAAACTTCATTTCATGTTCTTCAATATTAGTTATTTCCCACTTATCATCAGCTAATTATACGCTCCCACGGAGGCGCTCGGAGTCCACCCTTTGTTAGGGGTGACTAGGCCATAGTCAACCACGCTGGACAAGTGCGGGTTGGTTGACTTCACACATATCTTTAAATTTCTTCTCAGATATGTGCAGTTTGCATCACGGTGTTTTCCTTCACCGTAAGAACGTCGGATAAATGTACATATGTAAATCGAAAAACACGTTTGTATATGGCGGGATTCGAACCCAGGACCTGCAGATTGCAAGTCAAGTGCGTAAACCCCTGACCCACCGACGCTCTACCACTTTTTGCCCACTTACCCGTAACTAATACAAAAACAAACTTATCCCTAGAACCGTACCTGTTTCCAGGACAATAGCCCATGCGTACTAGACCGTAATCTGTCTCGGTTTCAAATATTATCTAATTTCCAAAGCAGAATTCAGAAGTTATGGTCATGCCAAATGTTCGCATTTATAATATGAGTGGGTTGTAAGATTTTTTATGTTGGCACAGGAACTGTCACAGAGCAATGGGCTTGTGATAACAGCTGAGCATCGCTTCACAGACTATCTACCGCACAAGTCCGAGCACATAAAGAGGATTGTTGACGACACGTACTTTAAGACACGAAGTAAGTACAAACTTTGTCTTTTTAAGACATTATATTAAATTTGTGGAAGGCATTGGGAAAGGTCTGTGCCCAGCAGTGAGCAGATAAAAGCTATTGATGATGATGATGATGATGATTAAATTTGATATTATGTGTTCCCTCGTACTATTCTTAGAAATAGTTTAACCAATTTGGATGCGATTTGTATTAATATAATGTTGTGTTAACATTAATATTGAACTGTTTCTTCAGATGAAAAGTTACGTTAGTTGAAATGAATTCAGAGATTTTGATTTGGTATGTAAGTTGACCTATGATTTGGTTAGTCATCTATATACTCGTATATATAAAAGAAAGTCGTGTTAGTTACACAATTTATAACTCAAGAACGGTTTTACTGATATGGCTGAAAATTGGTGAGGAGGTAGCTTAGAGACAGGAGACGGACATAGGATACTTTTTTTTTTATTTTTTTACAATTTTAGCCTTGACGAGCTGCTTTTTATTTGACTTACTAGTATTATAAATGCGAATGTTTAGATGGATGTGATGTGGATTGATGGGTGGGCTATACTAATTAAGTTTTTATATATCCACGCGGACGGAGTCGCGGGCAACAGCTAATTTAAAATAAAGTTTAGTTTATCGTATGTGTAATTTTATATAAATTTATTTTATAGGGCACCGTAATTATTCATTTTTCAACTTCTAAATGTATAAGATTACTCATTTAGTACATAATATAATAATTAATTTTGTTTAACCTATTTTTGTATGTAGAGTGTTTGACCGACTAATTCAAATAACGCATATATTCAAATTAACAACTTAAAGTTTGTTTTTCGCATGCCTCGTGGAAAACATCTACTAAACGGGGTACAAACTTCAAATGAATAATGTATTTATCTGCAGAAATGTTTGCAACTTGGCCATGTTTTAAATTAAGAAAGTTGTTTTAGCAGAGAAATTTTAAAACCAGTGTGAAATTTAAAAACACAAATTACGTAATTTAGATATCTTTGTATTTACTTTTATTTATCAAAAATCTTTCTTCAAGGTTCAAAATTTAAAAACATACAATATCGTCAAAAGATAGTTAAACTTATAACCTAATACCAAAAAAAAACAATAACAAAGTTTAATTGTACCATATAAGCTGATACGAAGGTCGTCGAAGTCGAGGGAGACCAAAGATGGATAGACGGCGTAAATAAGGACGCAAAAAAAGTGGGCATAGCAAATTGGAAGTCCGTGAGAGATAGACCCAGGTGGAAAAAGTTGCTGGACCAAGCCAAGGCCCACAAAGGGCTGTAGAGCTAGAAGAAGAATAAGAAGCTGATGCATTATTTAAAAAAATATATATTTAAAAAAAAAAAAATTACAATGTACATATTGAAAACGTGTCATATTATATGTATAGAGGCTTTAAGATAATCATGAATTAAATCCATCTTGAAACTATACATAATAAGTTATACGTTCGTTAATTCTAACCTCATAGTGACACGTGACTTAATTTACCAACCAAGATAATGTACTTATTCCCTTCTAAAGTGATTTTGTTCGCAACAAAAGCTCACAAAATCGATCATTGTATAACGAAGTATAATAAGCATTAGAAATATAATCAAACTTTCGTGAGACATTATACTAAACTGATATATAGACACGGCTAAACACTCACGTATATTCGTCGCTATAGTGAGCGACGGGCGAAATAATACCAGTACCACTCATCCTGATGAAGGGCCCCCGATGGGCTCGAAACTAGTCGGTGCCGCCACCGGACGAATATACGTCAGTGTTTAGCCGTGTTTATATATCAGTTTATTAGAAATATAGTCTAAATCAATACCAACCCGCACTTGGCCAATGTGGTTAACTATGGCCTAGTCACGCCTAACTTTGGGTAGGCTCCGAGCCCCTCAGTGGGGACGTATAGTGGGTTAAATTAATGGAAATAACAGATTGTATTGAAGCGTTTTACAGACTGACAACGCTATTAATTTCTATGGATTTATTGGAAAAGTTTGTGTTTGATTTCATTCCACGAAGTTGCTAAGTGGAAAAAGTGTCTAAGAAACGCTTTGTAGTGGATTTTGACTGACGTGACAATTATGTTAATATATACTATCGTCTTCACCATCATTTGCTTTGGCGAATCAGAGACTATATATATATTTATATTTGTCTCTGATGATGATGATATATATACACATTTTTATTCAAATGTTCAACTCACATAAACGAGAATCGTTGAGTTGCGGCTCAGTAAACTGGTAGCTCACGCCTTATCGCACATACTACAACTGTGAGCCGATGAGCCGCGAACTGGCTGGTAACTCGCAACTCGTAACGAAAATCATAACTTTATGCCAGTACAAATTGAGCTGAGCTGAGAACCGGTTCACTGACTCACACTTGTGAGCCTTAATCTGATCTGCAGGTCACAAATTTTAGTTGTATTACCCATGACTACTAATGTTGGTTATTTTTTGTCGTTTCTACAGTCTACGTGTTTCTTGGCGAGCACGTGGCGCTTGTGGAGTTTGTGAACGCGCTCAGAAGACGCGGTCTGCTGGACGCCGGAGAGTACGCGGTCATCGCGGTTGATGATGAAATATACGATCCTAATGCAACAGCTATCACGCATGCAGGTAATATTATCACGCCCGTAACACAGGTGGGTAAATAGATACCACCTTCAAGTAGCGTGGTCCCGTGACTCCTCTTTCCGATACATTCATACACCTAAGATTAGATGTTACGCGTTATATTATAAATATAACTTCATACATATCGTTAGTGACGTAGTATTTAAGCGCTTAAAAGAACCGTAATCTAAAAGGTCCAGGTTCGGTCCACGCCATGTACCAAAATGTTTTTCGATTTACGAGTATCATATGTAAATTTATCCGACGTCCTTACGGTGAAGGAAAATATAATACTTCAAGCAGCGAAATTGCGAAATATCAAAGATAAGTGTGACAAAGCTGTGAAGGAGCTTGGTTGAATCTATCTAATTGGCACCCCAAAATTGGGTAGGCTTTGAGTCCCTCGGTGGAGACGCATAAGCTGACGACAACATACAATGGAAGGATCCTCGTATGTCGGTAACATATAAGTCCCCAAATACTCTTTATTACAATATATCAAAATGTTATACATCGGAATCTGAGGAAGGACGTAACTGGGGCGTTAAAACGATACAAATAATTATTATAATGTTTATTATCCCCAAAAAAACTACCAAAACTGTAGATTAAGGACAATTCTAGCTAAATTATTAGAAGTTTTATGTGTTATATTTTAAAAAAACTCGATTTTTAATTTTCTCTTTTCTAAAACCTATTATGGATTGAGTCCTTTTAAATCAGAAATATAGACAAATAAAAATATTATTTTCATATAATTACATTGTAATTGTGTTAACTACAGACAATATTGACCTTTTTTATTTCTTTCCATTTGCAATAGACAATTTTATAACCTTATCTTAGGTTATGAGTGAGTTCAAGGTCACTCAAATAATAATAAAAGTCTTTATCTACTAGCGCTATTGAATCATGTGATGAGTATAATACAATGATACAATATTATGTCATGTCAATCTGTCATGTTACAAGTCAATTAACCATCTTATATAACATGAGGTAACAAACAAGCAAACTTACTCCTTACGTGTTACTAATATGCCAAAAGTTTCGATGGATGATGTTTGATATTGAATCTCAAGAACGGTTCAGCGTATCGCGATTAAATTTGGCACAAATGTACAGTAAAGAAGAACGCTTTGGTTATTTTTGAATGCGGAAATATTACAGTACCCGTGAGATACTTTTGTTAAAAATAAGGCTGCAATTACATCAGTCGATAAATTGGTCGTTATACAGCATGCTGGGAGACACGCGTACTAACTACTAAGTAACCATCGTGCGTTCAGCTGTCGAGTAAAATGCGTGGTAAGGTTAAGTAAGGACTATCGCCCAATGCATGCGAGGCCTAACGACTAATGAAATCGGTTCTCGCATACAAGAGCTATGGCATGCGTGAAAAAAAATCTCTCAATCACGTATGCGGTAACGACTAGTGAAACTACGCCTTTAGTGTTGCAGAGGCGTTGTCTAAAACAGACAGATTTAATATACCGAATTTTTTATAACTTAAATGAGATGTGTAACTGTGGGTTTCTAACTCTAAAATCTCTGTATAAAATATAATTCATCCCTTTCTTTCATCTTTGACAAAACAGAGATAACAATATCTCTTTTTTATTGTTATATTATTCAATTGTACAATTTTCTCTAACAATATCTATATCTCTGAAGAAAATAGAAAACTAATACCTGATATAAAATAAAATGGAATAAATATTTGCTCTCGCGATATCAGGAAATCATTCAATGACGCGACACAATGCTTATTCCTGTATCGCGAATCTGTATTGAGTTTTCTTTATGATATACTGTGTTAAAAATGTATATTTCTTTCAGGCATTTTTAAAGACATTGATAGTGATGACAGCATGTTTTATACATATGTTTATACAGTGGAAACACACAGAAAATGAATTGAATTAAATGAATTAAAGTTTATTAAATTGCAAGCGTTTTATAGCATATTTGCCAAAAACCTTTTACACTATTCAATCTGAGTCATCAATCAATAACTTAATTAACGTATAAAAATATTAATGATAAATAAATTAAATTATTAATGATTCAATTTAGTTAATCTAAAATGTTGATGAAATGACAGTTTTGATTTTGCTAATTAACAATAGACAACTGGAGTGTTTCTGTGTAATAAAACTATAGAGCTGTGTGTGCTATAAATCTCGACTATCCCTTTATGTTATGTCTGATATTACGTGTACTATACACTGATCTCTATACATAGACAGGCTATAACCGTGTTATTTTTTGCCTATTTGATGTACATTTTGGCGCTTACAGTTGCGGTTCATAGCAGTGTTAAAGATTCGAACATAGAGATAAAATTAACTGTCAGGAACTTCAACAGGCGCGAGTCGGAAAGAAGCATAAGCTGTCATTTCCAGGCAATGGCCTGTCCATTTATAGAGATAAATTTTACTATATTATACCTACTATAAAACATGTTAAAATAGTTCTCTCTCAACAGATCACCTGATTCAGAACAGCAGTAGCGACATTTTGGCATTCAGAGCAGTTCTCAAACTTACGCCTTCGTTTCCTATCAATCCACATTACCTGTAAGTTTTTGTTTTATCTTGTTTTAATATTTCAGTACCTGTATGACAACTTTGCTCGCTATTTTTTTTTAATTGTGTTTTTTGGATATTATATTTAAGTATGAATTACTAATAAAATGATGAAATATGAATAATACTTTTCGATCTTACCGATAGAAAAAGTTAAGTTTATGTACAAGTTGATTATCGATAAAACACGAATAAAATGATATTTTCTAAAAATGATTCCTAGCTAGATCGATTTATCGCCCCCGAAACCCCATATACACTAAATTTTATGAAAATCGTTGTAGCCGATTCCGAGATTCCAATTATATATACAAGAATTGCTCATTTAAAGATAAGAGATACATATAATAATTTATTTAATGTAAACTGTTGAATCCAGATGCTATTAAATATATATTTAACATAATAGCCTGTATTTGAATGATGATTCTTATCAGTCACTAACACTAAACATAAAAATAAACAAATTAGCAACGCACTTCACCCTGTATATATTGGTACGGGTAAACGAATTTGTCAAAGGGTTTATTAAATTAAGAGTTAACACAATATAGGTAGGTCACAAAGTGTCTTCGTATCTTTTGACAACCACTTCAGAGACACGTGTACAAAAACATATATTTTCATATTGTTATCTTTTTTATTCTCTTTGAAGTAACAGAGACAGCTATATCAAGAATACCGTTCTTCGAATTCTGTTCCCTTGAGTTTCGTTAGTTCAGTGTCGACAAATAAAACGTAAATATTTTTCCTGCAGGAAGCTGTGTCGGATGATACGAGAGTTGTCTGCCAGGTCACCGTTCTGTGTGCCCAATTACCACAAAATTTTCGAAGACGCATCCGTAAGTAAATACTATTAAATTGTAAGTAAATTCTATTTTAATATAAAATATACTAGCTGTCGCCCACGACTCCGTCTGCACAGAATTTGAAAAAAAGCTTAATAGTCTATGTGTTTTCCAGACTGTGTTCTACATCTAAGCCAAATATTAGCAAGATTGAGCAGGGAATAAAGAGAAGAGAGGAGCCATACTTTAGATACCTACAAACAAACATCCATCTAAACATTCGCTAATATTAGTAAGATAAACATAAATACGGTAACAGGGTTAAAAGAGAGTTAAATTTAGCAATTGAGGTAAACACTTCGAATAATATTTTGGGAAAAACATACTTAAATTTTTGATGCTTTCCCGGAAAATTTTGAAAGAAAAGCAAAGTAAATAAAAAGAAAAACCTTCGTTTAGCGTAGAAATAGTACGAAGCTTTATAGCTTTACAATAGATGGAGCAACAAACTTTCGTGTATAAAATAAAGCAAACACGGTACGAATGTTGGGAGTGGAAATAAAAATATAAGAATCGAAGGAACAAACAAGGATTATGTGATTGCACTCTGTTGTACATTTAGTCGAAGTTTTGTTTTTATTTAACATAAAATAATAAAATGTCGTTATATAAAATAGTTCAGTTCTGTTATTAAGTTTATTTAATAAGATTAATATGATGAAAGATCTCTGAGAAGCTTTCGTCAAGAATCTGACGTAAGCTGGGGGTCTAGTCAAAGTGCGTTCACTCCGATGTGATTCCATAACGAACTTAAAATATGAATAGAAGTGACGTGCGAAAATCACGTCACTTATCGAATGTTATTCGCACGTCAGTTCTGTTCATTTTTTAACTTCATTATGGAACCACTTCGTAAACTATGTCTAACCCCGCTGATGCTTGATGAAGCATCGAAAAAAGAAATACTAAAAATATATTCACTTAATAATCTAATAGTACTAGCTATCGTATTTGACTTTCAAAAGCTTCGTATATATAAAAGCTTTCAATTAATGAATCTTTATAATAAACATTTAAGTCATTAGGATAATGAACTCGTTATAATAAAAGGTTACCACTTAGCAACGGGCACATTAATACGTAGGTCATAGTAAAGGTCGATCTATCAACGTACTAAAGTCACCAGAATAAAACGTCCTCGTTCTAATTCGACGAAAATCCCAGAGCACACCTCGTGTTTGATTACTTAATCCTCTAATAACAAAACAACGATATTATTGTTATTTATACACTATCTAAAGTTAACAATTTTGTTGTGTTATTTTATAATTTTGTTGTAGTAGAAACTCTTTAAAAACTTAAATAGCTTAAAACTTAGCTATAATAAACCGTACATAATTTTCTAATAACAAAGAGCCTCTATTTATCTTAACTTACGTTCTTTCTGTGCCTACCTTTGATTAAAGGTAGACAACGCATTGCAATTACGGATGTCTATGGGCAGCGATCGTTTCGCCATTTCGACGAATCCAGTTGGCCGAACGTTTATTTGCCACTTACTAGTAAACAAAAGTTGGATATTTAATACATTTTATGACACAAACAGGACACGCTTCCTGTCATAAAATTATTTACATCAACCCTGATATTCAAATTATCTTTTTATTGCATATGCACGACTTTATTACACTTGTTGGATTTATACTGAAAATAATCAAGCGTACCCTAAACGTACAGTTAAGAAGTTTACATCGCAAAACTGTTACATTATTGTGAATTTTATGACATGGATGTTTAAAGAGATAAACAGTTTTTGATAGTACGTAGCGTCTTCGCTTCGTATAGTCATAAAAATGCGCCATTTTTATCGTACGTACAGGGTGCTACGACATGCTACACCGCGCTACGCCTCTGTCTACAATTATAATTCTATTCATACTTTGATGATTAGGCGTAACAATGCCATTGATATCTTAATAAAGCATATGTTTAGATGGATGTTTGTTTAAACGGCTGAACGAATAATCTGGAATAACACATACTAATCAGGTCCTTTTTAATTCCGAGCGGACGGAGTCGCGGGCGACAGCTAGTATACGTATAATAACCGTCTCTAGACTTTAATCAACATCGCAGTAACATTGCCAACAGAACATAGTAAACATAATGTTGCGTAAGTCGATGAAATGTGTGTACACAATCCTAAGGACGGATTCACAATGGAAATAAAAGAGTGATCCGGAGAAACCCTTTGGCAAAACGCAGCATACTAATGTGAAAGTTGACCTTTGTCCTTTAAATTGTGATATATGTTTCTTTCTTTTTTAAATGTTACGAATGTTTTCTATGTTATCAGCCAGACACATTTACAGGATCGAGGAACGTTTTTAAATATTCGAAATATAAAATTACCAATAAATAAAAGATAATTTTATTCGTATAAATAACTAAAATATAATCGAAGGAAATAGCCTAATGGATACGCGTACGGATTACCGACAACGTGGATTTACATTTGCTTGTATACAAAAGGTCTTAAAGTAGGTTTCCATTGTCAAAACATCGACAAATGTTGATAGCTCTGTGCTCCTTAATTCAATGTAATTTAAATGCTAACATTTTTTTACTGAAATTTTAATGTGTGTTAGTGAGACGTTACACGTGTTCGTTCAAATTATATTACTCGTAAGTTTTGACCTAATGATATATCACTGTTACGTAAGTTAACGTTTGTAACAGTAGGTTTCCACGGACTCAAAAACAAAAACATATCGCTGTATCTTTATACTGTGGTATTTAAACAGAAATATGTAGATGTCATAATTAACTTCAAGCGAAAATTTTGTGCCCATTATACCTGCGCGAACGAATGAACCAATGAATTATCATAAAATTTACCTAATGCCGACAATTAGTACTATTTAGTAATCTAAAAAAAATATTTATTTTACAACAAAATGATGGAAAAGTACCTCTGTTATTTTCAGGATGTAGTTAATCAAGTTTATATCCTTTATTGAGGGTTACATTGCTAATTACACGGGTTACATTGCTAATTACACGGGTTACATTGCTAATTACACGGGTTACTCAGGTGCCGATAGAAGCCGCTCACTTGTATGACGCGGTCACGCTGTGGGCGCGCGCTGCTACTGCAACGATGAGGAACGGCCTACCGCCGACAGATGGCGCTACTCTGATGAAACTTCTTAGACCAACTACGTATAGATCTCTGCAAGGATTCGACGTAAGATATATGATTCCCGGAAATTACTTGTGTATGAAATAAGATTGAATCTTCTAAGAAATTTGAAATACGTAACGCAGTAAGAGATTTAAGTACTGCACTCTAGGAAGTAAACATCTCCTGTTATTAACTTGAAATACTTTACGTTCAATGTAAATATAAGATTTTAGATAATATTATTATATTTTAAATAAAAATAAGTTGACAAAACTTGTCTTAAAATCATAGTGGTTTTCTGGAAAATATTTTTTTAAATAGCTAGTAGGTAATAATTGAGTTCGAGCTAATTAATTTTGACACAAATAAAGTTAAAGATATTGACAGATTTTATTATTCATTGGAATTATGTCAAAGAATTATGTAATTAAATTTTATGGCAACACTGTTTACATCGCGATAATTTTGTCAATGTTTGCATTTCGTACTTTGTCTTCTTTAGAATATAACGTATTTGCATTTAATGTATTCAAAGTCACGGCCCAAATTAGGCTCTAACAGTGACAATATGTTTAGTCTTATAAATAATTCAAGAGACATAGTTTCAACAAGATTCTAGAACTAATCAGTTGCTTTAAGAGCACGAAATAATTATTTTAATATAATATATGTGTTGGTAAACTTAAGTCCGTTTCCACTTATATTATTTTGGTTAGTACGCGCAGCAAAAGTCACGCGACTAAACGCTAAGTGGAAATTGGATTTAAGAAACGACGGGCGAGTTTCTTAAAAAGAAACGTAATTAAGAAGGGACAAACTTAATGGATGAATATCGATTTGGTAAAAAGAAATCTGTATACAAAAATAGAGAACAATTAAAAAAAAAGTTAGATGATGGTTGTTCAGTGCAGAATTATGTATTTATACTCTTTGGTGGACATAGATTAAACACTCTGCCAAAAGGTGGCATACTGGCCACTGAGAACCTTTGCCTTTTCGATTTAAAAAAAAATAGGAGAAAAAGAGAGAAGGGAATTTTTGAGTACATTAACAACGTATTTCGACTACCGTGCTGCTGTTTTCAATTTATATAATGGTTGCTTTGTGTTTATAAATTCCAAATCTCCCTTTAGGTAAACATGGACAGCGCTGGGGATGCCGAAGGCAACTTCTCAGTGATAGGGCTTATGGAAGACGCGAGCGCGGCAGGCGGCTGGAGCGCACAGCCTGTCGCTGCTTTCAGATACCTCAACGCATCTGATCCATTACCAGTAAGTTATAAGCATTATAAGTAAATACCATATTATAGAATAATAAATAAACATCGAACAAATCAACGTTGTAGCTCAAAGCGTATGACTATTGAATTATATGACCATCATTTGATAAAATTTTAGATAAACATTAGAAAACTAATGGTCGCCAGCAACTCCGTCAGCGCGGAATTTAAAAAAAAACATAATTAGTAGCCTACGTATTCTTCATGACTATGTTCTATATGTATAACAAATTTCATCAAGATCCGTTTTGCCGTTCTGGAGATACCTTCAAACAAACATCCATCCATCTTAACATTCGCATTTAAAATAATAGTAGTTATAAAAATAAAAACGTCGTTCAAAATAAACACCCCACGAATATTTTGAATATCAGTAAAATATAGTCAACTTCAAACCTATGTACATATACAAATATGTTTTTCCGACCATATTTGGTGATATTATTCAATGATCCTAACGTTTCGTAGTAGTTTGGTAAAGTGCCCTTATGTTATTCTCCGATGTACACAGAGAAATAGACATGAAATTCTCTTTTATGTGCGGTTTATTAATATAATAAAATCCTCAAAAACATTTCTGGTTAAACTCACTATATTTACAATACTTTATTATAAAATGTTGTATTTTGAACTTCGTATTTTTTTTCAGTTTAGATAAAATTTGATAAATATTTTTTTGTAGAAAAGTCTAAATAACTGATCTAACCACATATTGATTGATTGCTACTCCAACAAAGTATCAAGTTTTCATTTTTAATTAGGAATTAGTTGGTGGTGATCGCATCGCGTGGATAAACGGAAAGCCACCTATAGCCGAGCCGGCGTGCGGTTTTGATGGCACCAAATGCTCCTTACCTCATGATCCCCTGGTACTCTCAGCTGTGGCCGCAGTAGCCACCGCAGCTGTACTCGCAGCGGCATTGTTCTTACGTCATTATAGATATGAACAGAAACTTGCTTCAGTTCTCTGGAAAATTGAAGCGAAAGATTTGACTTTTATATCTGCGTGCAGTGATGCAAAGGTTAGTTCTTATTTCAAAATATATGACCGTAGTAGACCGACACAGGATGATGATGATGAATGAAAGTCTACTCTAAAAGTCTAGGTAAAATTAACAGTAAAATGACTTCATTAAAGCTAATTGTGTCGTTTAGCATAATTTATGACCACTTACCGTTGGTTTCTGAGACCTAAATCTCTGTGTAACGGAGATAATAAGTTTTTAACGGGGATTCACAGAAACACACGGTTAGTACGCATAAGCTTTAAAAAAGTCAATGAAGAAATTAAATGTTAACGGGCGATAGACTTGCAAAACATAAATCACTTGTACCAGGACTTCATAAATCTTGGAGAGACGCTTATTTGTAATGCATTTTGCATGAAATTTCTATTCAAAAAGTCTCAACATTATTCTAAAGCAGTTTAATATATTTACATGCTATTTAAGGTTTCGATCCCGCAAGAGGTAGACACGCGAAGGGCGCATACAACGATTGCTTTGTATAGAGGAAATATTGTTGCTGTTAAAAGATTAAAGAAGAAAAACATCGATGTAACTCGAACAGTTAAAAAAGAACTGAAACAGGTATGTTTTTCTTTGAATCTCATTTAGTTGACGATTTCTTTTTTCGTTATAAATACCATTGTGTTTTATTAACGAGAGGATTATTTTTTGCTGTATTCTATTGTTATTTCGTATTTCTTTGAAAAAAATACTAATAATATAGACTACGTTTTTTTTTTGTTTTTATCATGATGAAGTTAAAACCTTTGACATTCCTTAATTAAAAATATGTTTGTTTTCTAGTGATCTTAAACATATAACTTACAACCTTTCATTCTTAAATTATTTACATTTTGTAATGTTATTATATAATACAATTTTAATTATGTCTCTTTATTTAGTTCGAATCTTGGCATAATCATAATTTCTAAACCAATACGACTTATGGACCTTCAAGAAGTGAGCAGACCATTTCCTTATAGGCCAGCAACGCATCTGCGGTTCCTCTGGTGTTGCAGATGTCCATGGATGTCGTTGATCAACTCGGTTTTGCCCCCTTATCTTATAATAAAAAATCCTTTTCTAGACATTACCACTGTTAACTTGGATGACCCTCCTCCAATTTGGACTTATCTTTGTCATGTTCGCATCTCATATACTACTGACCTCTACTACTTATTACTGCTACAATTCATCCTTTGTTTAATTATGTATTATTATTTAGATCCGCGAACTCCGTCACGAGAATCTCACCGCATTCGTCGGAGTCTGCGTGGAAAGTGGTTCAGCGTGCATTGTGTCCGCGTACTGTTCGCGAGGTTCGCTCGCGCGCGTGCTCGCCGACAGAGACCTCTTACTCGATGACATGTTCGTCGCAAAACTAGTCGCGGATTTGCTGCGTGGTTTAACTTACTTGCACGACTCTACGCTAGTGTCGCACGGCAATCTGACATCAAGTAATTGCTTGGTTGACAGCCATTGGGTACTACAGATTTGTGATTATGGATTGCACACTTTAAAAAGTAAGTATTTGTTTTTTTATAGTTAAAGTGTGAGAGATAAGTAATTTTTTTTTACGTTTGATAAGCCAGCGCTTGACCACGATCCCACCTGGATCCCAATTGTTAAGTGATTTCCCAATACGTACTTCGTGTAACTAAATTGAGTTATTTCTTGTGATAGGGTTTTATATTGTTGATAAAAAAAATGGACGGATGTGTCCCCGGGGTCTACATTCGTTAATTCATTCATGAAAAAAAATATATAAGTAAAAGTTACATTATGAAAAAAAATTGTTATCTTTACGTTTGTACGTTTCACATTTTGCACACAGAAAGCAGATAGATAATTGAAAAGCTTATTAGAAGACAATTTTTCTTCTCTTTCTAACCAGGTGGTTGTATGGAGACAGAAGATGCACTGCGCATGGAGAGACGCATGTTGTGGCGAGCGCCCGAGCTCCTGCGGGACCCGAATCCGCCGCCCTGGGGCTCTCAGAAAGGAGACGTCTATTCCTTCGGGATCATACTCTATGAAATACTTGGTAGAAATGGTCCGTGGGGTGATACCAATTTAACAAATGCTGGTAAGATTTTCTTTAATTAGTACACGAAGTGTTATAACAATACTGGCTGTATCCTGACGAGTTTAAAAAAAAACTGTTGAACTAGATGTATACTCAGATTTACGAAATTGCTACAGATGTGCGAATATCGTTCGAATGGAATCGATGCGTATATTTATTGTTCGATTCGAAAATTCGGAATTCGGCGAATAATTCGAATAGTAGAAACCGAAAATGTTTCTCGACAAGTTGAACCACCACTAGTTATTGTCGGACATCGATTGAATTCATTCGATTGGGAATTTTTTGATAATTGAACTTTAAACTTTTTTAATTTTTAAATCGAAAATATGTGTTTTAATAGTATCGATAACGAATAATTCGTTAGAATTATTTGGACATCATTAGAAAGTGCGTTAACTTTATAAAATTCTAATACGAAAATCAGATATGTTGTATCACTACGAATCTGTGTTTATACAACCAAACTATTTTCATAAAACACACCTCTGTATCATTCTGACAATATCGAGACGAAGGATCAGAGAAGCTGTTTTCGGCTTTTCCAAACAAAGTCACTAATCTGATAAATTAAATGACAGGATCTCGATCTTTCCTTATTTACATTCCTTCCTCTTTGCGCAATGATTCTAAGTTGTTTTGATAACTAGTTATCGCTCGCGACTCCGTCCGCGTCGAATTAAAAAACTTATTAAGTAGCCTTTGTGTTCTTATACACTATGTTCTATACGTGTGCCAAATTTCATTAAAATCCGTTTAGCTGTTCTAGAGATACTTTCGAATAAATATCCACCCATCTAAACATTCGCATTTCTAATATTATAATAGTAAGACCACAGCGTCTGGTATTATCATCCTCTAGGTCAACAAACCTATCTTATTGAAGCTTAACAACTTTGTTACGTAACCGTAGAAATCCACTGCTGTGAAACATATTGGCATCCCTTTCAATTTCCTTGACAAAACAGAGACAACTGCATATTTGTGTTAAGTATTACGACTGTGTTTTATTACTAGTACAAACTGATATCGTTTCATAGAATCCCTTTGGTGTTTTTGAGTGTAAACGATATTTTAATTATATAGATTGTATTTTAATCGATTTTACTTTTAACTGATGAAGGTATTTAAAATACATAGGTATAGGTATTTAAAATACATATAAAATATTAAATTAATTATTAATTTAAAATACATATAAAAATTATTTTCTAAATTGTTAATGAAATGCGTAGATGTATGAATGTAGAAGAAGCGAGAGAGTTGTGACAGGACCGCGCCAAATAGAGGTCCGTGATCTCTGCCTACCCCTCTGGGTTACAGGCGTTAGTTATGTATGAAAGTACTTTGCTAATATTCAAAATGCTTGATTCATGTTATATATCAATTTTATAAACGAAGACATAAAATTATGACTTCAAAAACTTTAAATCCTCGATTTCTTGAAGTTAAATTTCCAGTTAAGTGCCTGACTAGTTTAAAAGATAGTACGCGGAATTTACGTAACTATATTGAAATTTAAAACTTCCAACTGAAAGAAATTGAGCAACTTATTAGAAGACTTCATGCCTTGTAATCAATCTTATTTTGGACAAACGCCCAAACAAAACAAATGACTGCTATTCCAATACGTCAACCTTTGCCAGAAGGTGTTCATTTTTTCAGGAAAGTCAATGACCCATGTCTTCGATTTTTCTTTCGTAAAGTTAATACAGTTATTTGTTTAACTTCTAAATGATTTTAAGTTATCTGTAGAATCGAATAGACATTAGTAGAGCAGAGTTTAACAGTGGTAGAGCCCGCTTTAACATCTTCGCACGAATTGTCCCGGCTCGCCCGGTGAAATACCACGACCACACAGAAGACTGGCGTCAAGTGGAAGCAATTCTGCGCCTTTCTCTTCCCACCCTTTTTCTTATAAGGAAACGATGGGAAGCGGAAGTGGACTTTCCGGATGAGAGGATGCATGGAAAGGGAAAATATTTTCTTTCTGTGCATCCTCTCGTATGTCTATGGGCAACGGTCACTTCGCTATTTTAGCGATTTCAGGTGGCCGCTCGCTCGTTTGCCACCTTATAAATAAAAAAAAACATAGTATTTCTGTGCCATATTACTATGGTTTGCATAAATTTGTAAAACATAGCACATCTATTTTTGTAAATAGCATTTAAATTAGATTCTGAGTGGATGAATAGTGATTTATTCAAAGCTAGGTCTATTACTTAAACTACTTGTCTTTTAACGTATAAATAGAGATAATCGGTCGAGTACGTCACCCGATCGGCGGCGTGCTGTTCAGGCCGCCGCTGGGCGGACTTGCGGCGCGGCCCTCAGTGCTGGCTGTACTCAACGCCTGCTGGAGCGAACGTCCTGACCGCAGACCAGAACTGCGCCTAGTATGGTTACGTCTTAAGGATATGCATGCCGGCATGTAAGTTAATATACCTTTAATAGAGTTGTTTTTCTCGATCTTAGTAAGGATTTATTTATATTTATTTCATTTTGAAAATTTTATGGCGTGGTAAAGTATAGTCGGAATTCAATAGAATTTATCGTGTTTAATAAGAGAAATTTTACAACACGTTTTAGAATTGAAAAAAAAAGCCTTAATATAAAAGCTTATATTTTGTCAACAAGGTAATGATAATTTTATAGAAATTGAATATAAATAAAGTTTCATTGTTATAGGAAAACTAATACTTTCGACAATATGCTGGCCATGATGGAGAAATACGCATCCAATCTGGAAGCACTCGTAGAAGAGAAGACTGATCAACTGACGCAAGAAAAACGAAGAACTGACGACCTTCTCAACAGAATCTTACCCAGGTACTTAATAGCTTAAAAAATTATTATGTTGAATAACATGATTTTATTAACTGTTAAAGTTAACTTTTAGATCTTCTAAGTAATTTACTTACATAATATTCTGTTCATTTTTCAACTCTTCTATATTCGTAGCAAGAGCTACAAACATTCGTAGCAATAGTTGAAAACGTTTGTGAGTTCTATATATTCGTAGAACGTGCTACGGATATTTGTAGCACTACTAAAAGCTTTTAAAATTCTTCAGCTCCAGTACAGATTGTAGACATTGAAATCTCTTTTTGATATAGAACTGTAGCGGAGGCTTTGAAGCGCGGGGAGCCGGTACAGGCGGAGAGCTACGATAGTGTCACCGTTTACTTTAGTGACATCGTAGACTTCGCACACATCGTCAATACAAGCAGTCCTATGCAGGTAATCATAGAAATTCATTATCACTGAGAATTATTATAAAATATTATTTGAAAACTTTGGTGACTTGCAAATTATAAATTTATATCCTTAAAGAATAAAGCGCAGCATGTGATGTGACAATCCAGCTCTATTTCTACGGAAAGAGACGAGCCATTTCATTATTTGGTTACCTAGTGTTATCTTTAAATCCTTTCCTTCGAAATTGCAAACAAAAATAAAGTTTTCTAAAAAACATTATAGACCAGTAAGGATCTCTGATTCAGTGGCCATAAGTTACACCAAATTATGCCCACTAGCGCCCTCTTGTCAAAAAACAAGATAGTTTTTATTCTGTAGTGTCATATCATATTTTTTCTTTTCTTTTTTATTTTTTATAAACGCCTCTCACCTTCTTAATACAGATATGTTTTATGTATTAAGAAGTATGTATAATATAATTTAATATATAATAGAACATATAACTCGATATTATCAATGTAGGTTAAATAGAATAGATTAACTGCTGCATGTTCTCACGTCTTGTAGACACACCGCAAGCCAGAAACAGATTTTGATTTAGCTCTAAGCTGATACTCGGCAGTAACGTCTGCAAATACTAACATACATGGGAGAGTAATCCAAACTCTCTCAATGACTAAATCTTACTAATGCGGTAGTTGGATGTATTTAACTACTTCGTCTAACTTAACATCGCTGAATGAATTTATTTGAAAAATCACAAAAAAAGCATCTAGTAGATTTTATTTCATAACTATTTTTTAACAAACTGGCTATCGCCCGCGACTCCGTCCACGAGGTATTAAAAAAACTATTGGTCGCAGCGTAATGTTATATAGTCTCAAGCCTTCCTCTATAAATGGACTATCTATATGAGATATACTATATGAGATTAGCGCGTTTAAACAAACAAACAAACAGACTCTTCCGCTTTATTATATTAGTATAAATAATAATAATTTCTTTATTTTCTTTTTTAGCAAATATTAAAAATTTTATCATTATCGTTTTTAAAGTAGACTATTTTTATGAAAATTCTATTTATTAGATATCAGATTTGTCGTTTAAAATTTTTAAATACTTGTTCCGTACTACTGCACCAGCGGCGGGGAAGCAGCGCGGAGGTCCCTTCCAGACCTCACCCGCCGCCCCGCGCGCCCTCACACCGCGACCTTCAGTTGCGCTTCAGCACTCCGCGCGCCGACACATCAATCATATTTGTCTATTTTGTACATCATCTTTCATCGTATTACAATCATCAGCAATCAGCCAACCTTTCATCATACAGTCCACTCGCTCAAGAATACTATCGAACTAGGTCACATACCTCCATGTCATTTTTTTTTTTATCAAAAGGTGGCAAACGAGCAATCGGCCACCCGAAATCGCTGAAATAGCGAAGTGACCGTTGCCCATAGACATACGCAATCGCATATGCAAAGGTAGGCAACCTTTAATCGACGGAGGAGAGGATGCATAGAAAGAAAATATCTTACCTTTCCTTGCATCCTCTCATCCGGAAAGTCCACTTCCACTTCCCATTCTTTCCTTTAAAAGAAAAGGATGGGAAGGGAAAGAGGACTAAATTAGGCCTCCGCGACGCACACTCATCAGACGAAATGCAGAATTGCTCCCACTTGACGCCTGTCTTCTGTGTGGTCGTGGTATTTCACCGGGCAATCCGGGCCAATTCGTGCGAAGATGTTAAAGCGGGCTCTACCACTGTTAAAATGGTTATTAGATAAAAGGGCTTTCAATTTTGTGTTGGCTCCTGACGTCAAAATTCCAACAACAAAATACTGAGTTCAACAAATGTTTGTGACAAATAACTTCTAAATTATCTTGAATTGTTAACGTCGTTCCCATCATTCGATGTTACGAATTATATAATTTCAATATCAACTTGTTTATTTAATTTCTAATAACTGTTATTTGATCCAAAACTGAATACCACTAAAATAAAATCTATTTTTATTACGTTTACAAAAATTAATTAAATAAAGCTGTTTGATACTTAATGTAATTTGGCTGAAATGGATTTACTCGCTTCCTTTCTGAATACAAAATAAGTCTGTCGAATAAAATTCTATAAATTGAAGTGTTTCAATGAAAAAATCAACACAAAAGAAAACTTTTATTGTCTTACATTTTAAGATACAGAGTAATTTTGAAGGTTGTGATTTGTAATCTACAGGTCCTGAGTTAAAATCCCGTCTATGTACCAATGTGTTTTTCGATTTTCGATTTACATATGTACATTTATCCGACGTTCTTACGGTGAAGGAGAACATCGTGATGCTGCACATATCTGAGAAGTAATTCAAAGATATGTGTGAAGTCAACCCACACTTGGCCAGCGTGGTTGACTATGGCCTAAACACCCTTAACTTAGGGTAGGCTCCGAGCCCCTCGGTGGGGACGTATAGTGAGCTATCACAAACTATACTGTATTCATATTCAAATTTTGTAGGATTTTTTAATTTGTTTTTTTTTCTTAAGGTGGTGGACATACTACACGACTTATACACATGCTGTGACGCCATCATTTCTTATTACAATGTTCACAAGGTAAAAATAATGTTTAAATATAATGTTAAAATAATTTCCATCGTTCATTGTTGTTTTATTGTTATCGCACTTCTGTTTGAGAAAAGTTACTTTTTGAATTGAATTTTCACTCGAATAAAAAATCTATTACAATATGCTAGCCTTAAATATCTAGACACGACACACGATAACATTTCATTGAATATATCGGCGGTCGCACGCGATTTTGGGTGGAGTTTGAAAAAACGTAATTAGTAGCCTACATGTGTTATTTTAAACTATGTTCTATGTCTATACCAAATTTCAGTAAGATACTTAAGCTATAATTTCTAACAAACAAACATCCATCCATCTAAATATTTGCATATTTAATATAAGTAAGATAGAAATTATTTGCTTTCGACCAGTTTCCTAACAAGCATTGAACTCGACGTATGTTAAAAACAGTTGTCACTCAGATTGTTAGTAAACTTTCGCTTGCTCTAATTGATTCATTGCAACGTTTAATTATAATTTCTAGATTTATTTTACGTTTTTAATAATGATTATGATCCAGTTGGAGCCATTATGTGACACATACATGGTGGTGGGGGGGTTGCCGGAGCGGTGCTCGCGACACGCGGCAGAGGTCGCCTCGCTCGCGCTGCACTTGCTCGCCGCCGTGCCGCAGATACGCATCAGACATGACCCGGATATAAGACTTAATATAAGAATCGGTAAGCAGACATAATATTATAATTAAGACTAGTTGTCGCCCGCAACTCCGTCTGTACGGAATTAAAAATTATGAAGTAGCTTATGTGTTCTTCCAGACTATGTTCTACATCTATGCCAAATTTAATTGGGAACCGTTGAGCAGTTCTCGGGACACCTTCAAAGAAACATCCATCCATCCTTTTTCTGTGACTGAGTAGTCACTGTTTGCTCTGAAGAGACATTTACAGATTCACCAGACTTGAGGTGGCCGGGCGCAGATGGCACTTAGCATAAACCTCGTTTAAGAGTAAATAGGCTTGCGGACTCCCTCAGCAGGCTCAGCTCGGGTTATTACTTCGTTATCATTACCGGATTGGTAAGCCACCGATCCATCCATCCAAACAAACATTTGCATTAATAACATTAGTAAGATTTTATCTTACAAGTGCTGTTTGTTTAGGTATTCATACAGGGCCGTGTTCTGCGGGTGTGGTCGGGTACCGGCCGCCACGTTACTGCTTGTTCGGTGACACAGTACGCACAGCTGCGCGCGTGCAGGCGGCCGGCGAGCCGCAGCGCGTACACGTCAGCCATGACACATACCTCACACTGCGCAAACATGGCGGATATCACTTCAAGGAAAGAACTCTCACTAATGTCAAAGTAAGTTGAACTTTTATAGTGAACTAACTGTCGCCCGTGACTATGTCCGCGCGGAATTAGATAAAGACATAATTAGTAGCCTATGTTTTCTTCCGGACTATGTTCTATATGTATGACAAATTTCATCGAGATCCGTTCAGCCGTTCCTTGCCTTCAAACAAACATCCATCCATCTAAATATACGTATTTATAATATTGGTATAATTTAAAAGGGCCATCGACAAAACAAGACATGGTGGTTAGTTGGTGAAGATCATGAAAGGAGAAAGGAGCCCTTCTATCGTTTCCGTAAGTATATTTTCATTTTTTTTTATAAATTACCAAAAGGTTATGTGGTTTTTGTTAAATTATTCCATTTCGTGTTACTGGAAACTATTTAATACGCTTTTAATAGTGAATTGGATTTTATTGAGGTCAGATATTAAAAAGGAATCGGGTCACTGTCTTTACCTCTGCTTTCCTTTGATTATATGATTTATTTAACCAAACAAAACTATCATAACGAATAACAAGTAAATTATACTTCGTTATTCGGTAAAGTTGGTCTTTATTATTATTATTGAAGCCACTTTCACCTTGCTTATTATTTATGATCAAAAATATCAATAGCCTAATTAGGGTATTCGTATAACCAACCTTTCATCTTAATCTTTGTTTGATATAAAACTAATTTGTAAGTTAGAAACTAAGTTGTTTATTTCGCCTAAAGATTATATTATAATTAATTTAGTCTCAAGCTTTCAAAATAATGAAAATCTAATGAACAACTTCTCCATAAATCAACAGAACCCGGCCTAAACCGCGGTTCAGCGTGTGCCAGTTACGCTGACAGTTCTTGGGGTCTGGAGCGTTCAATATTGAACATTAGGGACAGGGCCCGACTGTCTTGCGGAGGTTCTTTAGGTCCCGGCTCCGCGCTGTCATCTCCGGGCCCTCCCGCCTGCGCCTGTTTCGTCCCACAAAGGGACCATCACTCGGCACCTGTTGTCTCATTCTGCGAAGACTGACCTTAATATAATAAATGGAGGAATGTATCCGTTACAAGTGCAGTAATTCACGAATGACTCCAATCATAACCTCAAAACAGTATAACCAGTGAAAAAGTTAAAATAACTGTTATTAATTGTGCACTACTCTGTGACTAAATCGCGACTTACTATTACGTTGGTACTCAAAATTGTGACTAGAAGTGTTTGTTAGTATTAATGCTCATAATATATTATTTATGAATGAGTAGTAATGTTATTTAAAAAAATCATGATTGAACACTATACAGGGTGTCCCAAAAGGTTACGTACATAGGAAGGGGGATGATAGGGGTGGTGACAAGGGTCACCGGAAAAATAAAATAAAAATTCCCCTCTGGATATAAAAAAAAATAAAGGGCATTTCTTAAAAACTTAAAAATTTTACACCTTCCGGGGCAATTTTGTAACCAATGACCTACAAATTAAAAAAAAAGCTATTATGTTATTGTCAATAACCCTTTATCAATATGAAATAAAAAAAAACAATACAACTAACAAAGATTTTAAAGAAAATGAAAATTGCCCCAGAAGGTGTAAAATTTTTAACTTTTTAAAAAATGCCATTTATTTTTTTTAATACCCAGAGGGGAATTTTTATTTTATTTTTCTGGTGACCCTTGTGACCACCCCTATCATCCCCCTTCCTATGTACGTAACCTTTTGGAACATCCTTTATATAATTGGAGTGTGTATGTAAAATCGAGAAACTCTTATTTTGTAAACTTGATGTAGGTATTTGTGTTGTGTAGTTGATGATAAAAAAAACTAATTTTATAATTTTTGTCTGTCTGTCTGTCTGTCGGCAAGACAGTTTGTTCCGATAATCTGCGGAACAGCTGGACTGATATTGACGAGACTATGAAGGAGTAGCTGATGCGCACGAGCATATTATGCTACGTTTTTTATTCTCCGCTGAAGAAATCGCAGAAATGCTCGTAAAAATTAAAAGTCATATTGGGGAAGCTTTAAAATATATATGTACGTAAATAAATTTTTTATCCCTGACCAATGTTGCTTCTTATCCTTTTGTAAATATAAAATGTAGTGTTGTAAAATTTATCGTAAGATAAAACGGTAGCAATTGAATTGAAGATGGAAATTGTGAGGGTTCGTATACAGTTGACGTCCACATATTTCATGAATTTTATTGAAAACTGTACAATATTACACTTTTATAATAAACGTAAATCCATAACCTAAAATCATAAAGTAATCTCATTTTAATTTTTTTTTAATATTAGATTTTTTTGTAAATTTACTAATATTTCTTTAACCATTCCAACTAAGTTCTAGCCTTGTGCTAGGATATGGTTTACAAAAATAGTTGAATGGCGGGATTCGAACTCCTAACCTCGTGATCAGAAATCCGTACCTTTAACTATTAGGCTATTGTCGCTTTTCGCTGAAATCTAGAAACGTAGAATTTTTACAATTTTTTTTTTTTAAAGTCGTCAATTTGAAATGCTTCTTCGTATAAAAATTAACCTTAAGTATTTTATCTAATATTAATTTTTTAAAAAAAACGCAAGTAAACAATTTGGTAAGTTTATACTTTGGACAAAATATGATGAATATTTATAATAACAAATCTCATTATCTCATCATACTATATGTAATGTATGCGTATTAAAGCGTCAATAGCCTAATGGTTAAGGATACGGATTTCCGATCACCAGGTCGGGGGTTCGAATCCCGCCATTCGACTATTGTCGTAAACCATATCCTAGCACAAGCCTAGAGCTTAGTTGAAATGGTAAAATAAATATTAGTAAATTTCCAAAAAAATCTGCTAATATTAAAAAAAAATGTTTTAATCATAATAAATATCTGAATCTCATCTTACTATCGTGAATATATCAAATATACGATATTACAATAAGACAAAATATTTATATATAAGAAACTTGATAACTTACCCTTAATTCATGTGTAAACAATGTATACATAACAAATAAATTATTTATCATATAAGATAATAATTATTTGCTCAAATTAGGACTGAAATAAGATATGACCAACAAACAATATCTTGTCACAACTAAGAAAACGAAAAACTCGGAAGATAATTAAAAAAAATTATATCTTCTTCTTCGTATTCTTCATTACTGAAGGTCGCGCTTGTCCTTGTTCAACGGTCGTATCGACCAGCTGCCTCCACGCCGTCCTGTCTTCGGCTTGTCTCAGGGCAGTCGTGATATTAAGTCCCAATATAGCCAGCACTTGATCGGACCAGCGAGCAGGTGATCGACCCCGTGACCTTTTACCCTCTATCTTTCCGACCACAACCATTTTGTCAATTTTTATATCATGACTTGAGATATTAAAATTAACAACTACATTTTTTAGTGTTCTAGAATAAATCAGTATACTTTAAAATTTTCTACTACACTACGATATATTTTGTTTCCAAAAGCCTACAGCTAACATCGTGGGTCACTGATATCAAAATATTTGTGTAAAGATATCATTCATCCCTGTCTTTCATCTTTGACAAAACAGAGTTAACAATATATTTTAAACAGAGATTTTGGTACAAGAAAAAACGGTTATACAGCTAGTAAATTAGTTAATAATACATGCATGTCTGTTTTAATAAGTCTGCTATTTAATTGTTTTGAATTCGACTATACGTTATTCATGTATTCTGTTCTTAAAAGTAATTAAATATATAAAAAAAAATATTAGAATTAAAACCATATCATAAGGACATAATAACCTAATGTCAGCCGTTTTGGCAATTTTTGTACTGAATGTTAGATTAAGACTGTACTTTAAGCATTTTAGATGTAAATTAAATTGCAAACTATTGGAATAATTTGTGGTCTGAATTCTTGATCTTTTGTGTTAGCTAGTCATAAATGTCCGTATTCAATCAATTATCGTTATAAAAATGTCCTGACTTTTGTCATGTCTTGATGTCATGTCTCGATGTCATGTCTCGATGTCATGTCTCGATGTCATGTCTCGATGTCATGTCTCGATGTCATGTCTCGACGTCATGTCTTGATGTCATGTCTCGACGTCATGTATCGATGTCATGTATCGATGTCATGTCTCGATGTCATGTCTCGATGTCATGTCTTGATATCATGTCTTGAGGTCATGTATCATAATTATGTGTCCGATCCATCGTGACGTCCTTTAGCTTAAATCTTAATAGAATTTACTATTTTGCTGTCATTTTAACGTGTTGCTTTGTAGACAATGATATTTCTTGATGGCCTAATTGTAAGATTATTTAAGGACGCATTTACCGTTGATTTCTGAGCTTAAAATCACTCTATAGAACATAATGTCAAAAGAAAGATAACAACATGTTTTAAACGAAGATTTTGGTCTCGGAAACCAACGATAATAATTTTATTATAATATATGTTTTATGTTAATATTCTATATCTTTGTCAATGTTATTGCTGTTGTTTGTTAAAATATACAGTTTTCTAAAAAAAAAAAACCTTGTTTTTTTTGTACTATATGACATTGTTCAATATTATTTACTTTGAATTATTCTAATATAAAACGAAGTATGAGGAGATTGATAAAGCAATTTCCTTTATTTAATTAAATAAATACTTCCTTTGAGCAAATTTTCTAGTAAAAATCTCAGACTCAAATTTATTATCTGCTAAGTTTATAAAAAAAAATATCGTTTAAAACTTACCGTGAAAATGGATACCATTCTTTGGTTTGAAGATTTACTTAATGACCAGCTCTTACCCGCAACTCCGGTCGCGCGGAATTAAAGAAACAACTTAATTAGTAGCCTATGTGTTCTTCCATACTATGTTCTGCATCTATGCCAAATTTCATCAAGACCCGTTAAGCTGTTCTAGAAATATCTGCTAAACATCAATCTATTGAAACTTTCGCGTTTATGCTCCTGGCATTTATTTGCCCCATCTATTATAAAAACAGTTGTCTTATTGCTTTATAAAAGAAAACATTATTTAAACAATATTTTGTTACATCTATAGCTGAGTCATATCGTCAAGATATATGTAGAATATTCACTCATACGGTCAACCATTACAATGATAAAGTCCTCTGTTAATATCAAAAATAAAGCAATAACAATTTAATTTTGTAATGTTCAAAAGAAAGCGAAGTGTAGGCCAAAAACGAACTTTAGCTTAAGAACCTTTTTTTTTCCAGAGAGGAATGCTTTATGCATACTCTGCGCCCCGGGGGAGACGCGCTAGTTATGTGGGATTCTCCTCCATAGCGGAGGCATACCCACTAAACCTCTCTGTTCCTCCAAAGCATCGGGACGGGGACATTCGCTCTCGTCCACGACCCCGTCTGCGTCAGTTGCAGAGGCAGCTCTCTCTCCTCCTCTCAGCAGTTTGGAAAGAGTACCTCTTCGCTTTTCAGAACTGCGGTGTCAAGGGTGCAAGTTACCTTAATCACCTTTGAAAGAAGATGGCAATATAAGAAGAATTATAAATAAGTTTTACAGCCACATGACGAGTATAAAAGTTTAGAAATTGTGTTAAATACATAGTCATTTGCCATAGTACTATCTTTGCTGTCATATTTTCATATAGCAATAAATCATATGGGTAGCTGAATAGTAAACGTACCGTAGCATTTTCCCGTCACATGAACGACGTACAAACTTTGTACGTATTTCTTTGTCCGTCATTTTCTTGATGATTTCATTCCTCGTAAAGAAAATATACCCGACAATATGTTACTTATAATTTGTTGCTTGTCGATTTGAAATGCTTTTTAACGAAATCAAGAATTTTTTAAAAGAACAAGCTGTCAATAGAAATTAAATACTTATTTCCTCTTAAAGTTTCCTTTATGAATTTCACTGTTATGACATTTTTATTAATTTACTATCTGTCGCCTGCGACTCCGTCCACGTAGGATTTAAGGAAACATAGTCTATATGTTTTTCCAGACTATGTCCTACATGCCAAAGTACAGCGAGAAGTATACAGCCGTTCTGGAGATACCTTGTAACACTCATCCATACTTCCAAACATTCGCATTTATAATATTAGTAAGATTATCACGTTTTCCATTCTCTAGCATTGCAAAAAGGCACTACAATGTGTGTCGATACAATTGTTACAGCTGTCAAATTGTACGGTAATGGAGTTCGTCATTTTCCACCAGCGCGTTAGTCGTACTAACATAAAACATATCATTGTTTTATATGCTTTATCTCTTTTTAAAATACCATAAACCATAGTTCCTTTCCATAAACTTTTCAGGCACTAACAATATGAAAGATTTATCCAAAATAAATAAAATATATATTTTGAATATAATATATTTGGTGTGAGGTAGTTACGTAGCAGACGTATGTCGACGGAAGTGACACAAGTCGAATGTGACGAGCCAATATTACGCTCTACAGAGACATTTTTAACATACAAATACTATTTTATATTTCGTGATTTTTTAAACTTTTTTTTTAATATCAGTAGGTGGCAAACAAGCGTCCGGGCACCTGAAATCGCCGAAATAGCGAAGTGACCGTTGCCCATAGACATACGCAATTGCATATGCGTTGCCTAACTTTAATCGACGGAGGAGAGGATGCACAGAAAGAAAATATCTTCCCTTTCCATGCATCCTCTCATCCGGAAAGTCCACTTCCACTTCCCATCGTTTCCTTATAAGAAAATCGGTGGGATGAGAAAGAGGACTAAATTAGGCCTCCGGGACGCACACTCATCAGACTGCACGCGGAATAGCTTCCACTTCACGCCGGTCTTCTGTGTGGTCGTGGTATTTCACCGGGCGAGCCGGGCCAATTCGTGCGAAGATGTTAAAGCGGGCTCTACCACTGTTAAACTTTAACAAAGATAAACCTTTAAAATCTCTTTTAATGGATTTTCATTATATTTTATTATTATTAACTTCCATTCCTTTTCCTTATACAAGACCTACATACTTTTGCCCGCAACTCCGTACGCGCGAAATAAAAATAAGTTCCAGCTTGATATTTTCACGCGTTCCAGAGAAAAGGGATCTTGACAGACAGACGGACGGACAACGAAGTGATCCTATAAGGGTTCCGTTTTTTTTCCTTTACAGATTCGGAACCCTAACAACGTAATAACGCCTATGTGTTCTTCCAGACTGTGTTCTACATTTATGCGAAATCCATTGAGTCGTTTTGCCGTTGTGTTGAGCCAAACATCCATCCATCCATCTAAACATTCGTATTTATAATCCATATACATTTATTTATCACATTTCTAATATAATACATTTCATATAAAAAATATATATATACAAAACATATTATATTAAAAAGAGAACACCACCGGCTGCGGAATCCCATGACTCAAACAACCAGTGGTCAGGGCTGCAGAGACAGGAACCTTCTCACGATGCGCGCGGTTTCTAGGATAACTGCCTTTTGTATCGGGCGGGCCCTTAATCCAACTGTTTAGCGAGAGCTTCTTGAGATGTTGGTATTTATAATATTAGTAAGATTATGCTTACGTGGTCAGTGTGCCACTCTTGTACACCTACCAGTTGTCATCGAAAAACCACAACACCATCTATTCTTAAGATAACTTAAAAACTTGTACTACTTTACTTTAAAGTTTATACTTAACCCTGATTATAGTTAGGGTAGGGTGTTTTTTAGGGACTGCCCAGGGCGCTGGACAAAAAGGGACGCCGTAGATCTGCGAAATTCATAGTCTTTCGTAACCCTGTTAACCGCCAAAGCCATGGTAAAGAAAGGGCCGTAGAAATCTTGCCCAAGGCGTTAAAACCGTTCCAGTTTACTCTTCTATTTAAATTTTATCTTTTATATAACATTGAATTGGAATATATTCTTAAATATAGTTATATTTTGTGAGTAAACAAATAAATAAAGAAAATGTAGTTATCTTTTTATTTCCTATATAACCTTTTTGACGTGTTAAAGTTTTTTATTTCCACTTTCATGTCCCCCAGCAAAATGCCTGTCATGTTACAAAATACGTTAAGTTAAAAATGCAAGTAACCGTAAAAATTACAGTTCTCCTGAGACCTTAGCATTTTTGGGTAGCTTGAATCGACTCTTTCGACGTTTGTCGGAATTAAAGTTTCATCCCCAAAATTCTGTAAAAACTGACGTTAACAATTTTTTTTTATATTACATACAGGAAACAACTAACCAGAAGACATAATCCATAAGAAAACCTTACCCTTTTTGAAAGTCAACAATGGTAGGTGCTTTAATTTATTTTCGGAGCTTGCCATTTCTACCGGCAACGGAAACTACGTGCCTCGGTTGATGTTCATAACCAAACGTTTGTATTAAAGTGAATAACAATACAAAGGTTAACAATACAATTCTTATAAAATTCTGATTTACTTTTCAAGAGGACGTTGTATATAAAGATTTTATTTCTAAAATATGATTCGATGTTCTTACAATGAAGGAAAACATTTTGATGCAACCAGCTCATATCTGCAAAGAAATTCATAGTAAACCAAACACATAAATAATAAAATCTAGTTGACTAAAATAACTGAAATATATATTTTTAAATATGTCATGTAATTAAGCCAACACATCTAATCAAGTTATCTAATCTTGTGAACACATAGACTACTAATAACTTTTTTTTTAATTCCGCGCTGACGAAGACGGGGGTGGCAACAAATTTTTCATAAAAGGACTACATAGTACTAACTCCCATTGAATACAGGCATGAAAGAAAGAAACAACAATAAAAAGTAATAAAAATATATTTTTATGAATTGTATAATATTATGCGCGCTCCGTCACTCGGCTGACATTCAAAGAACACGGGGTTGCCATTATACTCGGAGAGGATTTTCTTCTTCACGTCACTCAATTGAGACTTGTTCACCTGGCAACATTAACAGACATGTAAACGGCTTCGTATTATTAATAATGTTATCATAATTTCAATTAATTTAATGAGATTCTTGTATTAAATATCTTGAAATGATTTTAAGTTACTATTGTAATTTTCTAAATTAAGTTATGTTTTAAAATTTTATTAGAATAACTTCTTCATATCATTTTTAATTGCCCACATATCGCCATCTCTGTCATTATAATTAACAAAACAGAGATAACAATATGTATTCAACCATGATTTTGGTCTCATAGAACTTACCAAGGCGATGACGCATCCTCCAAACCCTCCTCCCGTCATCCTTGCACCCAGCACCCCGGATGAGTACCTCAAGATATCCACGAGCTGATCCAACTCTGGGCAAGAAACCTCCATCAATTTGCTCAAAGAATCATGGGACTGGTAGAATAATTCCCCCACCTGTAAAGACGAGGATAATTATTTCCTACCCACTTGTGTGGACATAGCTCTTATGGAGTCACTTCGCTGTATAATATTCGACTTTAAATGGGAAGCGAATTTAATTCCTTGGCTGGATACAAACAGATATTTTAATTGAATCTCTCGGAACTCCTGTAATAACTCCGGAAAATAAATTAAGGTTTTATTGAGTTGATTACAAGATTTAAATCGATACAGCGGACAGTTGCTTGATGGAATAAGAGTCTTACTTTGCTGTTAATACAACTCACTCTTTTAAAATCTTCATTCTTAAGAGCTTTAGCTGTCTCCTCAGTCCTGCTGATTTCGTTGACGACGTGCGTCGCGCGTTTCAAGACCAGTTCATCACACTTCATGTTTTCTAAATCTAAATTTAAAAACAAACAACTGAACAGTATCTGATATTTAAACAATGGTTAGGGAAGATTAATCGACTTGGTTTTTATGTAGTAAAAAAAATACTAATCGATTCAGCCATTTTTAGGTTAATTGCGAAACATTCTTAAATCCATCCATCCAAACTTTTGTATTGACAATAAACAATATTTCAGTGAAATGAAAAATAATATCACTGTGATTGTACAGTCAGCTGCATAAATACCGTAACAGACAAGATATGCAAAAAAATAGGTACACCAAAAGTAGTCAAATATATAAGTACAACAAAAGTCCTCAAATTCTATTTATAAACTCCTATATATATTTATAAACACTGTTTAAATGTTAATTTACTTTATGTGTAATATAATTGCAAGTGTATGATTACCACAAGGAGACTGAAGTAATTGGAACTCTCGGCATCTTGTCAACTAAATTAATCGTCGTCTGTTTCATGTTGTTCAGCTATTATGTATGTATTATAAGTAATAAAATGTATGTATAACAACTGCTATTACTTCACTTTATTTTTATTTAGAAATTGTAGTAGACAATAAAAATCTTAACCATAATAAAATACGGAACCCTAAAAAATCAGGCTCTTACAGTGGACCCTGTATGACTTTTATGCCCATATAATACCATAAATCCTATGACACTCCGAGTAAGAATACGATTCCAATGACATCTCACTCTTCAAAATCGGTTACGTAGTTTAGGCTCTAGGGTGTCACAAAGAAATTTACATATATACTAGCTGTCGCTCGCGACTCCGTCCGCGCGGGATTAAAAATAGATGTTGGTCGATTCTCAGACCTACTCAATATGCTCACAAAATTTCATGAGAATCGGTCAAGCCGTTTCGGAGGAGTATGAGAACGAAAATTGTGACACGAGAATTTTATATATATATATATAAGATACAAACACAAATACATTAAACAAACTTACACACATACTAAAACATTACTGTATTTGACATATACCCATCATATAATTTGAGCATTCCAATGCAACAAGAGTATATGCAAGACGAACCTTTAAGTAGTTCCACACGAGCGGAGCGCAGTGACGGCAGAGACAACAGCGTGGCGGCGGTGTGGCACTGCGCGCGCCGCTGCGGGTACTCGCTGCCCGTCAGCTGATGCTTCACGTTGCTGTTCACCACCAGTATCACTATGTCCTCCGTTATCATCGGTATTTGTGACGCTTCTAATGATCTGCAACGAACAACTTCAGCTTATCATTACCATCTTTAGACCACATCGCTTAATTATGAAGGATCAAGGGGGGAAAAAAGAAAGTGGTGTTAGTTGCACTATTTATAACTTGAGAACGGCTTTACCGATACAGCTGAAAATTGGTGAGGAGGTAGCTTAGAGGCAGGATACGGACATAGGATACTATTTATTAATTTTTTTTCGAATATACGCCTTAAAGAGCTACTTTTTATTATAAATGCGAATGTTTAGATGGATGTGATGTGGATGGATAGATGGGTGGGCAACACTAATTAAGTTTTTATATATCCACTCGGACGGAGTCGCGGGCCACAACTAATTTAACATAGATGTAAAACACAGTCTGGAAGAACAATCCGCTAAGTTATGATTGCGCGGTGAATTCTGAAGCTAGTAATTAAATAATGTAAAGTTTTATACAAACCTGCAGTCTATCAATAAAGCGTGATCTTTCCGTCCGAGTGTAACAATGTACTGGTCCATGATCCCACACGGCATTCCTGGGAACTCGTGCTCCGCTTTCTGACATAGCAACGCCTTTTCCACCAAACTTGAACGAAATAAATGTCAAAGATTAAATTACTGATGAATAGGAAACAAAAAATTCCTTCTCCTGATTATCCTTCCCTCTCCTCTGTCTGATAAAGATAGGTAAGGCCTGTACTTATTAAGATCTTTGAAAAGAGGTTATTAACTAAATAACCTTCTTGCTTGTTTATCACCTTTTAAGAACTTACTCTATTTCAAATTTAGTTAATGCTTCTAGGAAAGTGAAAACAGCAACCTCTAGTGAGGCGCTACTGGATACTCCGGAGCCCATCGGCACGTCCGACACTATGACGGCATCGAACCCATAGATTTCACCTTAAAATAATGAAACAAGATTAGATGCAGTCCAAGAATAAAGAACTATTCCGAAAAAAAACCCTCGTTCATTTAATGCTAACTTGCAAGCTTTCTTTACCTACTGTAAGAAATAATTAAGAACATTAAATAGCATTCCTTACTGGGGAAGTGGGCGACAACTCCTTTGACGTAATTTATCCATGACGGCGGGCCGGGCTTCAACTGGACTGCAGTGGGAGCAGGAAAACTACCGCTTAACTCCTGACCGTCCGCTAACACTGACACAATGTTACATTCCTCTGTGTTGTTGAAGTCTCCAACTACTACTGTTTTGAACGGAAGCGCCTGATAAAATTAATAGCAAATTTTTTCGTTTAATTAATAGCAAATAGGCAACGACTTAGTGCTACCAGAGTGCCTATTTTTTATTGATGAATTTATATTTCAAAACGTTTGAATGTAAATATATATTGGCGAAGAAAAGGATAGATCACTAATTAAAAAAAGATTTTCAAAGGTTATAAAATGAAAAATTTATATTAGCTCGAGCGAATTACTTTACGGATAGGACTCAGGTGTATACTATTCCAGGCTAAACCAACGTTAAGGTCCACCGATATTAAAATTAAGTTGTGCACAGCGTTTTGTGAGAAGCGCTATAAATTTTGTATTTCACTATATCTGAAGTGATGCGGCAATATCATGATTTAAAAAGTGAGATGTTAGTCAAACGCTGGTTTATGCCAATTGACATACCACTGGTAAAACATATCCCTCGCAGTAGTCAACGTGTTCTCCGATAAGATTGACGCGTCCGGGAGCACTTGCCGCCGCTCTCGGCTCCCTCCCGAACCTCGACACAAACTTTTGTTGCGCTTCTTTCAACAGACGATCCTCACCCTTTGCTGTTATTTCGTTAGACATCTATGAAGAGAATTTAATTTATTTGAATTTAATAGTTCTACTTGCAGTGCCTCTCCCCATTACCGAAGTTTGGCAGTAATTTGTCCATCATAATTTTTATCATCTTTTATAAGTCGAATTAGTACGCGGCAATCCCAATTAGTAATCAATTTAAAAAACATATTGTCTTCCTTTTTTATCTGTATTATTAGTTCGATTCCAGACCACCGCACAAACCGCTACCATCAGCGCCAAAATACCGAAAATCAAATAGGCACAAAATACTACCCATATAGCCAGTCCATTTAAAAAGGTCAATGTTTTAAGGCCATATAACGCCGACTAAAAATTAATATTCATTTAGATTTCACCTCTAACATCGTTCATTTATCGAAGATAATTATATCTGCAACCATTAACATCAATTAAAAACAAACAAAAAAATGTTATGATTTTCTTTATCTAAAAAGATAAAGATAAGTAAAGATGTTTGGTAAACTAATGTCTTTATAATTATTTAAATTCCTTCATAATTATAATGTGAAGGGAAGAATTATCTTTCAAGTTACATTAAAAGTCTATTCGCAAATTCAAATAATTAAGAATGGTCAAAAGAACTCCAAATGTAGATTAAAAATAAAGGTTTTTACGAGTAGCCATAAAGTGTGAGTGGCCAGTTACTTCAATCACAATAAATAAAATAATATTATTTAAGCTAATCTAAATTAAATATTTTTTAATGATATAAATCATAACATTTTATGGTAGCCTAGTCTTATTATTATTTTGTTATAAGTTTAAACGCCGTCTTTTTATCATTTTGGTCATACAACGAAATTCCATTTTTATAATGTCGTAAAATATTATGATAACTTTGTAATCTATTAGTTCACCTACAGTTTTATACGAAAACTATTATTTTAAATGTTATTCTTTAATTTCTAATTCATCAAATCTTATCTCCCGCCATATTTTGTGTTAAAACATAATTTTATTAAGATAATATTCATAGTAAAATTTAAAAAAAAATACTTATGTTTATTTTGTTACTTGTGATAATTTTAGCTGTTGTTTACAAGTTTAATAAATAAATACAATAATTTGTACCTATTTAACAAATTTAAGTTCTGAAACCAATTTAAGTAAAATGTAAAATATATTAAAAAATTATAACGAATCATCGACAGCTAATTTAAAATTAAAAAAAAAACTTTAACTTTATAATAACTTACTTATAAAATTCATGTTCTTTAATTTGTTTTTAATACAACGCATTTATGCAAACAAAAATATATGAGGTACATTTAAATAGTAAAATCTCGAAAAGTAATATCTCGTAGGTAGATGTTAAAGCTATAATAATGATATACATGCCTTTGTTCCTTTAGAGTAGCAGCAGAAATGTTATTTGATGAATTTCATGTAATAAAACTACATGCGCGATATGTTTGAGCTCTGCAACGCACTGCCGGTTATGCGAGATCGCGTCCGCGCGCGTTAACATTGTTAGGGCGTATCCCTCATTACTTTTTAATTAAAAAAAAATATTTTGTTTTTAAATTAAAAAGTCCAGTTAAGGTCAATTAGATTTTCAGCCAGGTTATATGCATTTTAAATTAAAATGCTGGCTGAAAATATTCTAAAATTAGTGTTAAGATCAAATGGGCCCAGTGGGAATTAAATAAAAATAAGAAAAAAAAATTTAATAGGTAAAGGTCTCATCATAATCGTGTCAATAGTTTAGGAATGCATAGAGCATAAACAATTGTTTTTTTTTAACTGAAGTTCGTGCTTATTACAATCGCGCGTCTGTCCATACCCTTATATGTCTGCGGAGTCTGTACCAAGCCGGAATAAGCTAACGAGAAGTAAATCGTAAGCAATTCAGAGCTGCCGCAGTGAACCGATTGCATGATATATCATGAATGTTTTATTATTTGAAACGTACTATACGCTCATTGGTGTATATTTTGATTTATTATTTATTGTTAGCGTGCTAACGGCGTACTTTACTCTGGGCTACCACTGTATTGAAGATTTTCACTATGCGTATCTCGTCTGGTTCATATATAATATTTCATATACTGTTATGTTCAAAACAAACACCACGTAGCTCGAAAAGATATTTGGAGATTTAGTTTTCAAATAACACCTATTTCTATTATTCTAAATCCATATACACGCATGCTTGTCCGTTCCAGGGATTCTTAATTTATGAAACCTTTGTCAGAAACCGTTTCATTTGTTTTGGCGGCTGACCTTGAACTGCGTCCCGCCTACTGACCTTTATAAATGGACTGGCTATAAAACGTAGTACTTTGTGCCTATTTGATTATCGCCATTTTGTCGCTGATCTTCATGGTTTGAAGCCGTGGTGTGGATTCGAAATGAGACAGATAGATTTAACTGTCACGTAAAATCAACAAACGTTTTTAAATCGGAACTAAGAAAAAGCTGTCATTTCCAAGCAATCGCCTGTCCGTTTATAAAGATCACTGGCAATATGTTCTGCGCACCGACTCTTACGATGTATAAATCATTGTCACTTTTTGTTACAATTTAATTGTTAACTTCAAGATTTTTTTTTCATTATGAACGCATGTTTATCGGCAGCGTTATCGACATTATAACTTCATTGTTTATTGCCTCTCGTTGATACCAGTTATCTGCCTTATACAACATCGTATGTCGTTAATTGGGTAAGTAACTGTTACACATTTTGTAAACATACTGTATTTTACACTTGAACAAACATAATATTATCCCACTCGATCTTTTAAAAAAAAACAGAGACACAATAATTTTTTAATCCAAGTATCACGGCAGAATTTTACAGTTAACGTAGATTGATGACATTTAAAGTTGATAAAAATTATAAAACATATTACATTTTGATTTTTAAAATTGGAGTTAAAGACATTTTGCCTGCGTCGTGTGAAGAATAATTAAATGCGTGTCCTATATCTTATCAATTACGAAAAGATTTAAGGACATAATTTCTTGAATTACCTTACTTCAGTTTAAACAACTAAAACAATGGAAATAATATATTTCAAACTTAAAATATATTTTTCCATTTTTCCTATAAATTTTAGAACACATCCGCATCGGTAGCGCTTGCCAAACCCTTGTGAAAATAAGCTTTTACTACCCCACTCTAGAAACTTCACAAGATAAATATTTTATGAACTGGGAAATACACCATACTTTAAATATGTCCGAGTTTGAAAGGAGAGGAGAAATATTAGAAGCTATAATATAGTTAGTTTCACTAGAAACTTTTCTGGTTTTTTACAGTGTTGGACTGTTGAGGAAAAGTTGAAGAAACTTTAGGAATGTTTCATAAATAAAGTAGGAAAGAACTATGCAAAATATTGTTACTTGCCAGGACATTTAAAAAAAATAGAAAAGCTACCTTTTTAGTATTCTATAGGGAAAGTCTATGATTTAATTGGCCTTGAACAAAAAGCCAAAGGAGTTTTTTTTTAATCTACAGCAACGACCTGAAAAATCCAAATAGGGGTGTTATAGTGACACAAACTTTCTTTTCTCGAATTCTTACATATTAATACATGCCTACTATAGATGGATTAGTAATAGGCTGACGTAAGTGGATGCAATAAAGTCACAAAGATATAAAATAATAGCATTTTATCAGAACTAAGACCTAACATAACCGATTAATATAATCCATAATATTTTTTGCTGAATCTTACAGAAAAAAAAACTATTTATTTAAAATCAGATTTTTTATTTAATCTATTCTTTTTTTTTAAAAACAATTAATTCGAATAGTCTGGTATATAAGATTGTTCCAAAAGCTGTTTCAAATATCTATTTACAACTTAGAACTTTTAAATATATTTTTTTTATTCGGGGCCTGATCTTTAGATGCCACCATTACTTATTTTATTTATATGTACAATAGCATCGAGAGATAGACAGTTTTCCGAAGTAAATATAACAGATAGCTCCAAGACGATGATGCAGCACTATTTGACGTAATGTAAAGGATCTGATTAATTGCGTTAATACTGGAATTATAGTTTTGCAGCGTATGTTGTATCTGTTGAAACTTATCCAGAAATATGACTTAATTTAAAAACATGACATACGTCCAGCGTTACATAAAGTTGGACTCGAGGCATGATCGTTTATGGATATAAATGACATCACGTTTAACCGTAACGATGAAACAAGATTCATTTACATAAGCTCGCTTAAATCTGGATTTGTTTTGAAGGGCTTACTTTGAACAAACAATATTTTTATCTGGGGTAGATTATATCCTTCATCAAAATGTAATTAATCTTAATCACTTTACCTAATTTATTTTTTACTAGTGAGAGTAGATTTGTGGACAAAAAGTTGTAATATTTTTTTTTCGTCATTAGTAAAGGAAATGCCTTTTTCTATGTCCGTTTTATATTTTTTGACGGTCTAACCGTGATAGCACCTCTCTCACCAAGCCAGACATTTTTTTTGCGTATACATACCATTACACAAAGACACTAATAATATTAACCTTATCCATAACTATTAAACATACAAATAGTATTCAATAATTTCTGTGATTGGCCAATGAGTCGGTATCAGCCATTGGTTTTTTTTCCGCTACCGTGGCGAAAAGTGTGTTCGTCATACCGTAATAATTTAATTTACCTGTCAATGTCAATGTCAAATGTCAATAGTGACATCTGCAACACAAAAATAACCTTAAATAAAAATTGAAACTGATTAAGATATTCAATAAACAAATATGTATTATTAATATATAATTTACTATTCGACAATTTTAGCAATAAATTACGCAGATCTATTAATAGGGCATAATGGCGTTTACTAAAAACGACGTAAAATTGTCAGGAGATGTACCAAAAACATTATTGTTACAAAAACATTCCGATTATTTAGCCAGCTACGGATTGAACAAAGATGATTTTGAGTATTGTATGACGGAACATCTTCGAATGTCTGGAATATATTGGACACTAACGGCTATGGAACTAATGGACCAATCATCAAGGTAACTAATACTGCAGAAAACTTGAATGCATACTGTACTTTAGACATTGTTAAACACATTTGAAATACTCTGAAAAGTTAAATATCTTTAAATGCATGAAAATAATTCGCGTAATAAACAAGAGTTTTAATTGTATAATTTCAGGATGCCAAAGGAAGAAATCATAGAATTCATCACATCTTGTCAAGATAATGAAAGCGGAGGTATATCCGCCAGTATAGGACATGACCCCCACGTTCTGTACACTTTGAGTGCAGTACAAGTAAGCCTCCACCATAATATTATGGAGTTAAATTAAATATAATGTTTATGGCCACCAAACCATAGATACTGGCTGAGAACCAAAAATTTTTTATAAACTTTACAATATTGTTTATTATCTTAAGGTATGTTGTAATTATATAATTTTACACAGGTACTTGCAATGTATGATAGATTGGATGCTATAGATGTTGAAGGTGTGGTGAGATTTGTCACATCAATGCAACAAGAGGATGGTAGCTTTTATGGTAAGTATCAACAACGGTAAAAGTCCACTGTGTTAAATACTTATATTAAAACATTGTGTCTCTCTCATAATTTCTGATTTGACTAAATTGACCCACACTTATTGCTGATGTCCATGGGCGTCGTTGAACCTCGGTGTTCCCGCTGCTCATTTACCCCCTTCTGTTAAAAAAAAAAAACAATAGTTCTTTGGATAATGTTAGTAAGGATTTTTAATCTGGTGTTTGAGAGTTCTAATCCCACCTTTTGACAATTATCATAAACCATATCCTAGGAAATCAAAGAGCTTAGTTGGAATGGTATAAGATATATTAGTAACTTAACAAAAAACTGCTATTATTTTTAGAAAAACATAACATAGACAGTTTGATTTCACTAAGTCTACACTGTTAAAAAAAAATCATAACTTAAGTAAAAGGTTTTTGAATATCATTTTGATTAATCATTTTGTACTATTTACGAATTCAGGTGACAAATGGGGTGAAGTGGACACAAGATTTTCTTTCTGTGCTGTAATGACTTTATCCTTGATACAAAGACTAGATGCAATCAATGTTACAAAAGCTGTAGATTTTGTATTAAGTTGTATGAACTTTGATGGAGGATTTGGTTCTAGACCGGGATCTGAAAGTCATGCAGGTAACCATAATAAGCACACTATAAAATATATATTTCTTTTTATTTGACAATTGAGCATTAAATTATATCATTTTCACATCTCTTTATTATAATCCAGGACTTATTTATTGCTGTGTTGGGACTCTATCAATTTGTAAGAGAATGGATGCATTACATGCTGATGAGTTGGCGTGGTGGCTCTGCGAGAGACAACTCCCTAGTGGTGGACTCAATGGAAGACCGGAGAAATTACCTGATCTCTGTTACTCCTGGTAAGTCAAAGGACATCATAAAGTCACTATGCATCCCCATTTAGGGGCTCGTTGCCTACCCTAAGTTAGGGGTGAATATGTCAAGTATACTGGTAGTGTGCGTTAGTGTAACTAATACACATACACTTAATTGTTCGTATGTATGATATGTCTACTGTTTACTTTTATCGGAACTTCGAGTCGTATGAATCGAAACTCAATCAAAATATATTTTTTAGGTGGGTGATGTCGTCATTATCAATGTTAAACAGGATACATTGGGTCGACAAGAATAATCTTGAGCAATTCATCCTGGCAAGTCAGGATGCTGAAACTGGTGGCTTCAGTGACAGACCTGGCAACATTACAGATCCATTCCATACATTGTTCGGTCTCGCAGGTTTATCGTTACTGGGAAATACCAGTATCAAGCGTGTAAACCCCACATACTGTATGCCGCAAGAAACAATAGACCGATTGAAATTGGAACCTCAAATATTACATATTTAATTCTTAAGTAATAATTTGTATTTAAAAATGTAACTGTAAGAATATTTAATAATTTAAAAAAAGGGAATAAGAATAAAGGTTATATTTATTCAGAGCTTGAATTGTCAAATACATCTTGAAATTTCTCACAATTCACATTTGTTGCGGCTTTATATTTTCTTTATAAAATTTGTTATTGGTAATTTTTATTTACACGCAATAGATAATTCACAAATGTAAGTTGTTTTATTCAATAATCCATAATATACAACATCTTTAACTACTTTTAATTCGTAAATATAGGCAGAATCATCAACAAAGTAAATTATCGGTCGAAATATTAAAGCATTGTCGATATGCCTAGCGATAATATATTCATATTCTGGGATTGGAAGATATTCTAGCTATGAAATTGTGTTTATTGAAGCATTTAATAAGAAAGTCTGTAAAACTTTCATTAATTCAAAGAATTTATGCCTCTTTTCATTTGTCTGTGGTTTGAAATTGTTTACAAATGGCAACCATTTTATATACTCTTTGATGGCAACCTTACAGAAAATATCAATGACATTTCGTTTGACAATGAAAAGTGATAAGCAGATAAGCCCGAAGTAAAATGCCTGGCCGGCTAAGTGTTTACACTAAGTTTTAATGAAAAAAAAACAAGTTTTTTTTCACAAAAATCCAACTTTTTTTTATTGATGATGATGTTTTGTAATTATCATGACATGTGAAGTTACATTGAAGATATGTGGTTTCCATATTACTTACAATTCCTTATTTACTCTTTTGGAGTAAATGTCTTTTTATATTTCATCAGTATTATTTACTATCACGATGCGTTACTATCTAGTTTCTATACAAATTTACAAGAAGAGTACGATTATATTATAGGTTAGTTTAACCAATGTTCTTAGTTATTTGGAATAACTTTATCTCGTATTTGAGTGCTTGTAAAATAAAAATCACTACTAATTATTCGTACTAAACTTTATTGATAGTCTACAAACTAAAAACTATGTATGTTAACACTTTTAGTGCCACAACAAATTTCTTGTGTTAAAATAAAATCTCATGGCAAAAGTTGGTGGCATTGAAAATGCTAGGGTAAAAATCACTTATTGCCTACACTGTTTTCTAGACTTTATACCCTATTGCACATGTCTATGGGCAATGGTCCATTATTCATATTCATATTATTGTTTATATTTATGTTTACCTTTTACAATTGAAAAAAAGCTCAACCTGATTATATATAATTTCAGTTGGTGCTGGAACAGCTGGGTCACTGATTGCTCATAGAATAGCAACAGAAACAAATTTCACATTTGTGGTGTTAGAGGCGGGAGGTAGAAGCTATCCATTGCTTGAAATACCTTTCATTGGACCACTTCTACATGGATCTATTTATGATTGGCAGTATGAATCCACTCCTCAGGAGCATGCTTGTCTTGCTATGGTTGAAAAGGTAATTAATTGCTTTAAATTATTATTGGAACTACTATCTGCAATCATTATAATAAATGATATACCAGGCCTATCAAGTGAAAATTTTTATATATATTTTTTTTTATATCATAAGGTGGCAAACAAGTGAGCGGTCACCTGAAATCGCTGAAATAACGAAGTGACTGTTACCCATAGACATACGCAATTGCATATGCGTTGCCTACCTTCAATCCACGGAGAAGAGGATGCACAGAAAGAAAATATTTTCCCTTCCCATGCATCCTCTCATCGGGAAAGTCCACTTCCACTTCCCATCCTTTCCTTATAAGAAAAAGAGTGGGAAGGGAAAAAATGATATATGTATATGTTACTTTTAGTGCCAAGGCTTCATAACTTTTTTATAAAATAAGGTGACAAACAAGTCAGTGGCCACTTGAATACGCATATTGAAGCAATTGCTGTCTACAGACATCTACATACAAAATTGTTATGGATTTTTTATTTATCTTCATTTAAATATTTAAAATGAAATTTCTTCTCTTTTCTTTTCAGAAATGTAAATTGACACAAGGGAAAATTGTCGGTGGATCATCTAAATTAAACAACATGATTCATGTGCGCGGTAACATTCCACATTATGTAAAATGGTTCCATGGAAAATATAATGAAGAATATTTCAAGCAGCATTTTGAATACATTGAAAAGAATATTTTTCATCTTAACAAAGTACAATATCAAAGTGAATTAGCGGATGCTGTAATAGATGCGGCTAATGAACTAGGATATAAGGAATTTGATCAAAATTTCAGAACAAACTTTCAAAAGAGTAAGGTCACACAAAAAGACGGTAAAAGATGGACAATATCAGACAATATAAACAGACATGTAGTAACTAACGCTTTAGTAGAAAAGGTTCTCATTGTTGACGATGTTGCTTATGGAGTTAGTGTACGCATTTCAGATAAAATTCATAAATTAATTGCAAGAAAAGGTGTTATTTTGTCCGCTGGAACTTTAAATACACCTAAAATCCTTCAATTGTCTGGCATTGGACCAGCTGAATTACTTAAATCACTTAAAATTCCATTAATACAAGATTTACCTGTGGGTCATAATCTACAAGATCATATTGGTACCGGAATAGAGTTGATATTATTTAATAAAACATTATCTATTAATGCTGCAAATATGTTGAACCCTTTAAACTTATATTATTATCTACAAGGTAAAGGACCATGGACAACTCCGGGATGTGAAGTTATTGGTTTTTATTCGACTAAAAATACAACAAGCCCGGATGTTCAGTTTATGATTCTACCTGTAGGCATTGCTTCAGATAGAGGTAGTCATTTGAGAAAATCTTTAAGTATTAAAGATGAAATATGGCATAATTATTTTACTAAATCTTTCGATAAACACACATCGTCATTTTTTACTACAATTTTACATCCTAAAAGCAAAGGTACTGTTTATATTAAGAGTAAAAACCCTATAATACCTCCTTTAGTTGATACTAGATATTTAAGTGAGAAAGAAGATATTGATGCTCTAATTGCAGGAATAAAATTAGCTGTTAAACTAATTAAGACTGATTCGTTAAGAAATATAGGAGCTCAATTAAATACAAATCCATTTCCTGGATGCAGTCAATATAAATTATTTTCTGATAGATATTTACAATGCTATATTCGACATTTAACTTTAACGAGTTACCATCTTGTTGGAACATGCAGTATGGGATTGCCAGAATCAAAAGATGCAGTAGTTGATACGTCATTTAAAGTGTTAAATGTCAACATTCTATACGTTGTCGATGGTTCAGTGTTGCCAACATTACCAAGTGGCAATATAAATGCAGCTATTGCTATGATGGCTAATATTTTCTTTGAAACAAATGTAAAACATTTACCCCGTAATAAAGACAGTAATAATCAATGTTATAAATATAGTGAATTATATGAATATTTATTCAAAGTATGTAACATTTATTAGGTTGCGAAATGTCAATTTACTTTCCAAAAAATGATCTTAATGAATTTCTTATTATATAGATGGATGTTTGTTTGAAGGTATCTTCGGAACGGCTGTACAAACTCGCTGAAAATTTGGCAAAAATGTACAACATAGTCTGGAAGAATGAACACATAGGCTACTAATTAAGTTTATTTTCAGTTTCGCGCGGACAAGGTCACGGGCGATAGCTAATTAAAAACAGGTTATGATGCGGGTTGTTAAAATAATTTAAATGAATACCAAATAGACAATAAAGACTTTATTTATTGTATTTATTTAAGGTCACTTCTACACATTAATATTGCGCACAGTATACTTTGAGCTTTTCAAAAACAACACTAGTTACTTAGATAATACTATACTACTGGACGAAAATCACAAATTGTACATAATTCAAACACAAATTAAAAAAAAAAAATTTAATGTGTTGCCATATGAAATGTCTAAAGATCTAAAAGGCAGAGTCTGTCCATCAACATGTTACCTTTGTCTATAACTGCGCTAAAGGATATCTATATTTTATATACATTTGTAATTTAGTGTACATTAAAAAGTTGGTAAATTAATTTAATGTTCCAAATTAAAGGGTGACAACACTGTATTGTAGATTCATATTATCGTATAATAAAAAGTACAAAATAAAAATCGCTATAAACAATTGCGTATTATTAAAGAAATTAAAAACATTTTTTTTTGGTTTTATTTCCTCCATACATCCGTTTACAAAATTATAAATAAAGTCGTAATTTTTTTAAATAATTAAACTGGACAACGAAAGAACTTATTTAGGAACATAAAACAATACAAAGCTTAAATTATCAATAAAAAGATCTTACTAAGAATAAAAAACTGAACTATAAATAAAAATACATAAAATGACTAGAAAATACGACTAAATTAGACTTAGAAGTCCACTATATCCGCAGTTGCAAATATTTTTAAATTGTTTTGTTCGTTTACGATTTCTTTCTTGCAATACAAATGCAGTTATATTTATTTAGATATTGTATAAGACACGGACGGATAAATTATACTTGCATATTTGTACCAATAATAGGTTTCCTAAAGTTAGTCACAACATTTTTTAATCTGTAGATAATTTGTGCGAAATATATATATATAAGAGGTTTAGAAAGTTCCTTAAACTGCGTTAATTGTTTCTAACGATGTACATGAAAAGCATAAGAGATTTCCAAACACATGTAATACGGCCAGTTATGTAAAAATCAATATTCATATTAAAAATAAGTACGAAAAAATATTTCCTACATGGTACCGCAAACCGAATGTTTCCAACTCATGGTTATATCCCACCAATCAACTAATATTTCATTCCCTTGTTGACTGTGACGTCAACGATTTTACCTCTTATGTTATTGGGGACGCGTTGTTCTGTTCTGTTTCTTGTTTATGGCTCTCCCTCATCGGATTGGGCCAATGTCAAGTGTTTATGGTTCTATTTAAACTAGTTAGAGACTGGCAACAATACTCTGCAGTTAGAGAAGTCTTGTGAATAAACAAGTGAACCAAAGAATAAAACTTTTGAATTACCTGAAACTGTTGATTTACCACACGCGTACTTTTTATACATGTTATAATTCTTTGATAGTCTGAACTTAGCTGCAAATTCAGCGCATTTATTCCAAAATGTAACAAAAAAAATCTTTTTATCAAAGAATATTCCAGAATTTCTTTGAAATTCATTTAAATATATACATGACGAATGTGTCTTAACCTTATCTTATTTAATAGATGTGTATAAAAACATAACTTTTCACTTTGTGCTGAGCAAATCTTAATTAAAACGCAGTTACTGCTTACAAATAATACTGGACGGATCATCTGATATTAAGGCCTTTTTAATTATAAAGGTTTTTAATTATAAGTCCTATTTTATTATTATTGACAATCAGAAACACACGATAAATATTTAAATCAATAAAATCTATTCTAATTTTATACTGTCCGTTTATAATACTGGGCGGTAAAGACATTTTTAGTACGTCATATAAATAATTAAAAATTAAATATGTGCTCTTAAATAGATTTTTAAATAATATTTAATTGCTTTGGTTACAAAGATTTTTTATCTGAGCTCTTATTAAGCTCCAAGTTTAAAAATACGTTCTTATTAAGCTCCAAGTTTAAGAATACGCGCGGAAATGGGAATTTCCTTACAAAGACATGTTATCTCTTTCTTCCGAAGATTATGACAATAGACAAGAGAGGGATGACGATATGTATTCTTGTTGATAAGTTTACCCCCAAATATGCCAAGAAAAGAACTCTACATCGGACCCTATTTGATAAAATTTTGTATTGTTACAATTCAAACTAGTGACTATCACATTGTTCGTCTACTGAGCTATGTGTCATTAATGTTATATGCCCTATATAGTCTATGCCGTGTTCACATTATTCCAGTGTCCATTACTGCACTGGAATTCACAATAAAATTTGCAGTGTAGATTTTCAATTGGACAGCTGTAAAACAGATTCGATCGCTGGACTGGAATTATGTTATTTGGAAATTATTTATTTTAAAGTCAATTAAATGGCTTTCAAATTAATAAGGCATTATCTTTCAAATGAAACAAATTCAACACACCAAAAAAGACAGCAATTTAAATAAATCACATTTTTTTTTATATTCAATGAATAATAGTAATAAACCTTTTTAATATTTTAAATTGGTTATTAAGAATTTGAGCTGTTTTGAGCAAAATCGTAAAAGAGTAAAGAAATTTTAGATTTATTATTATTAAAACCATGTTTCTGTTATTTATATGTTGCCAATAAGTATAACCTCTGTTTAATATAAAAATGACAGATTTGATTATTCGTTTGCATTGAATATTCTCCGAAACTACTGAACCGTTATGAAAAATTCTTTGTTTATTTTTATGTTTATTTTTTTGTTTATTTTATTTATTACATACTAGACTAGATTTTTTTTAATTCCCCGCAGACGATGTCGCGAGAAACTATATTTTCTTAATATAACATAGATCGGAACGTAATAAGGCCTCATTCATTGAAAATTGTGCTTTAAACTTAGATTTAGTTAGGCGATAAAATTAAACATTATTTAAATCTAAAATGTAACACTTAAAATACAATTAACTGAAACTTAGCGGAATAATTAAATATTACTTACTTGAAACAAGAATCCAAATAATTATCAAGCATATCGAGTTGCAAGTCATTCCATTCCGTTGGATTTAAAAGTAAAGAACTGAGATCGTCTGGTTCGGGATCTGAGATGAGGGGAGGTGGGGGAACAATGGGTTCAACTATGACATTAGCTCCAATATTCGTCTCAACTTCCATTTCAGGTAAAGTTTGTATGTCGAGGTTGAATTCGGGTAAATGCAACGTAACTGGCAACTCAGTCATACCTTCATTAACATCTTGAATCTGCAGAATATTTGCAACAGCTGTTGTATCTTCGTTGGGTTTATTTATTGCTATTACTGGCTTCTTTTTCTTCTTGTGAGTTCTGCAGGAAATTCTCTTCGTTCCTTCTAAATGCGCGAGATCGAGCTTCCAGAAACCACCTTTGCCTGGCTCGTGTTTAGATCTCGCCACCTTCACGAAGACTTTGTTTAACGAGAGATTATGTCGAATTGAATTCTGAAACAAATTTGTGATATTAATTTGGATACAGTATTTGTACTCGATTTTTTATTACATTGTTACTTATTATAACGTATTGGTATAGCCTTTAAAGGACTGAAGGAAAATATGACGTAATAAAAAGTTTTATTAAATATCAAAAGCTACTAACAACGTTTGAAAATAATTACGTAGTATATATTAAAGCGAAAAAAAGGGGAAAATTCAATTCAATCTGTCACACTCATGTCCACTGTTATCGGTGTATCCTGAGCCCTTAAACACTTCCATATATTCGACTGATATTCAATTAGACGTTATCTAATCGCGCTGCAGATTTAACGCTTATTAGAACGAGATCGTGTGCGCTACCGCACCGCGACGTGACACGACACGACAGCGATAAGACTCCCCTCTCACCTGCCACGCGGGATCCGCGCTCCTGTAGTACTTAAAGTTGTCCTTTATCCATGAGTATATCGCGGAGAGCGTCATCTTGTCGTTGTTGTAGCGCATTGCCATGCAGATTAGCGTGTTGTACGAGTAGGGCGGCTTCTTCTCGCTGTTCCTCTGGTACTCCGCCTTGTTCATCATGAAGTCCTCCTGACACTTAGCGATCGTCTGGTTAAACTTGTGCAACCGCGTGTTCTGCGGCGGCGCTTTCGCCTGCGGGTTGGGTGATATCGGTAGCAGCGGGATCTGTGGTGGGCCCATTATGTTCGTTATGTTCTGCAGCCAGTTCAAATTGGTCAGGTCCGTCTCCTGATCGTCGACGGTGGGCCTCTCTGGCCTGTACTTCATAGTTTTCTTTCTGGGTACCTCTGGCGGCGGGAGTTCTGTGACAATCTGCTGCAAGTCATTGCTCGGTGCAACCTGGTCGCCGCCGGGGATGTAGGTCTCCGGCTGCTCGTAAACATACTCAATTTCGACGGTGTGCGAGGACTCGGGTACGGCGCTGTCCACGGTGAAGTAGGCGGCGCCGCACTGCTCGCCCGCCCCGCAAAGGCTCAGCAGCGACGTGTCCAGCATCTCTCCCGATGCCGGCGATAGTCCCGATGTTATGTGCATGCTGACCTACATGCCTGGCGCGATACAGAATGACTCACTAGTGAATCAGCTATTATTTTTAAGTCGTAGGCGTTATTAGTGTGGTGAACGTGGGATGCGGAGTGGTGCGGACGGTGGACGGCGGCGATCGATCGGCGCGGACGGCGTGACGTCGCGACGGTCAGCTCCCCCCGCGCGTGCTCGTGCTGTGCCGTGCGGCGTGCTGCGTGCGGCGTGCGCGCTAGGCGGCGACGCGGACTGTTGTGAGGGCTGGGGCAGGTGCGCCCCCACGCGGCGAACAGGTGGTGCCGATCGATAGCCCGCCGCCCGCCGGAGCCGGCCCGCATCGCCGATAGCTATGGACAATTAGTCACAGTTATCGGACGACGAGGTCTTACCAGACGCTGCGGGTGCTTCCTATTACAACCAAGATAGAGGTGGAAGCGGAGGTTAGGAATAACGTTCCTATTAGAACATTAAGAAATTCAACTGGAACACTGTTCTCAGTTGTATTTCTAAATCTGTGTAAATATTAGGCTCTAAATCCCACCATGTCATTTCGCGCCCTTGGCTGTATGGCGCTGACCTTTACTACATCGTTGAGTTATATTCGTTTAAAAATATTTTATTACTTTTATGTATTATCGATGTACGTATGTAGGTAATTAATACTGCTTAGTAATTCACCATTTAAGTCTTTGTCGTGTATTGAAGGTCGAATGAAGTTAAGAACTTTTACGTTTTACTCTTTCTTTAGTTGGTCTTGTGTCTTCAGTTATGGACAACATTAGAAAGGATGGGCAAGTAACTTTGCACTAATCTGCAAAAAAAGACAGCAACTAGGAAAGGATTAATGTTTTTTTACGCGGGTCATTGATACATGATTACCACGATAAATCAACCAAGACTATAAAGGCATAGACGAGGATTATTATCAGCTAAATTTTTTTTTACCTAAAAAACTCAATTACTTTGGATATAAGTCTGACAAGCAACATTGGGTGATGATATAATTATATTTGCTATAGATTACGTCGGCGGCGACCCTCGCACAAACCTCTCAATTAACTCTAGTGCTTGTCTTACTCATATAATAAACAACTCTACAGTTAACAGATTATAAATTATCGGATATTATCGTAAGTTTTTTTAATAAATGGCGGCCATATTGATTTTTATTTATCTGTGTTTTTTTCAAAAATAATGAGAGGGATAACAATGTTTTACAGATATTGTAGTTTCAGAAACCAACGATTAGAGTCATTAGTGACCATTTAAAACTACTAGAAGATAATATTGTGTTATCATAAATCGATGTTTAAAAACAAAAACATGTGACTGTCATCAAAATTTCCCGCCAATTCCCCTTAGTGAGGGAGCTTATTTATTTATAAGGTGCAGAGTTACCGGACCGGAACGGCGGTGCCAGTCACCAGCCGATAGACCCAGGGGACAGGGTTCCAATTTTATTAATCTTTTTACATCATTTGACGAGCACCCTTTCAATATGTGCTGCTAATCACTTTTTAATCACTTACCATGAGTTTACACTGTCGTAACACCTGTACATAAACATGGAATTAAATGTTTTTAAAGATTAGTTGACAATCACTGTAATAAACCAGCAATAAAAGTTGTGTTGGTGTAGTTTTAATATTATATTATATAGTGTATTAAAAAGTAGTCTATTTTTCTCAGGCTTTGGGCTATCCGTGTACCAAATTTCATTTAAATAGGTTTAGTAATTTTGGCATAAAAGGACGGCAAACAGAGTTACTTTTGCATTTATGTTAATAAAAATTAGAATTACATGTTTGTACTTGCCATTCACTATAACAGTTTTGGTAATTTTTACTCATTGTTCCGCCATCTTGTATCATAGAAGGGTTCAAAGACCTCAAACTCATTCACTAAATATCAATCGCATGGAGTAACGTTTCGTTTTAAAATGACTATGAAAATTTTCTGACATCTACTTGCATGGACTGCGTACTTCATACAACACAAAACACGAAAACAAAACAAACTTTTACATTTATTCAAGTACAAGTTATCTGCGTGAATAAAAAAAGACATAATTAGTAGCTTATGAGTTCTTCCAGACTATGTTCTACATCTATGCCAAATTTCAGCGATATCCATGCAGCCCGGAAACAGTGGTAGAGCCGGCTTTAACATCTTCGCACGAATTGGCCCGGCTTGCCCGGTGAAATACCACGACCACACAGAAGACAGGCGTCAAGTGGAAGCTATTCCGCGTTTCGTCTGATGAGTGTGCGTCCCGGAGGCCTAATTTAGTCCTCTTTCACTTCCCATCCTTTTTCTTATCAGAAAGGATGGGAACTGGAAGTGGACTTTCCGGATAAGAGGATGCATGGGAAGGGAAAATATTTTCTGAGCATCCTCTCCTCCGTCGATTAAAGGTAGGCAACACATATGCAACTGCGTGTGTCCATGGGCAACGGTCACTTCGCTATTTCATCGATTTCAGGTGGCCGCTCGCTCGTTTGCCACCTTATGATATAAAAAAAAGCCGTTCTGGAGATACATTCTGACAAAGATCAATCCATCAATCCAAACATTCGCATTTATAACATTAGTAAGATAGGTATTAGATCTAGAATTTTGTACCTTTAAATAGTTATAATTTGGAAGAGAATCATAGAAACAAAGATTAAATTAAATTCAGTACTCACTCGTACTTTACTTTCAAGTTTCAACCGCAAACAATGTCTTTATTTATTAAGTGTAATGCCCTTTAGTTCACGACCTTTCCATTCAATATTATATCGGACATCGACCGTTTTTTCTTGTTATTACTAATTATTTAGAAATCCATATAGAATAACTATAACAAAAGATTTCAGGATCCCTGTAGTTTTATAGTTACATTCTAACAAACATCGTTTCATTCATTTAAACTTACTCATCTTACTAATATTATAAATGCGAATGTGCAGATGGATGGATGTTTCTTTGAAGATATCTCAGGAACAGTTCAACGGATTTCGATGAAAATTTAGAACATAGTTTGGAAGAACACATATGCTACTCACTTTTTTTAATTTCGTGCGGATGCAGTCGCGGACGACAGCTAGTTTATAATATTAGTAAGATAAAAAAGCAATAATTGTTATTCCTAGTCTAAAATATTTTAAGAAACGTTGATTTTTCGAAATTGTTATTCAAAAATAAACCTTTAAAAATAACGTTGTAAATATTTCAAAATTTTATAATACAATCAGTAAACCACATTACTCATAATTACAAGCAAGCAATATAATTCACTAGGGGTGTGCTACGCATCGATAATTCTCGTGCACATGTCTCGACACCTGCCGGCACCTCACTAGTGCCCCTACCACCCCCAGCTCTAATGCACTGAAGCGTATAATTCTAGTGCTTTATTACCACTTTATTTTATACCCAAGGGGCAGTTTAACTGAAGCATTTGTGTGAAATTGTTTACGTTCGACTGAGGGTTGTTTATTAGTCACTTGTAGTTTGTTTAATGCTTTTTAATATCTGATTGTGTTATTTATACTAGAAATACCACGACCTTGAATACTAGCTGTCACCCGAAAAACCATCCGAAAAATTAAAAAAAAACTTAACTAGTTTGTTTTATCAGACTATGTTGCCATCGCCAAATTTCAACGAGGCAATAAAATAAAACGACATTTATAAATGTTATAAATTTATTATAATACGTATAAAACATATTTTATATATAATATATTCAATCAGACTTATTCAAATGCGTTAGGAACCAATCGGCGCTGTTAATAAGATTATCCATCTCCGCGGGCAATGAAGACAACGAGTGGTTATCTTCATACATGTATATTCTGGTAAAAAGGAAAAGAAAAACAATAAAAAAAAGATATTGAAAATAAAGCGTTATAAACATCAATCGTCAGCGGGAACACCGAGGTATTCAACGACGCCCATGGACATCAGCAATACCAGAGGAACCGCTGATGCGTTGACGGCATAATGGTTAAGGGTACGGATTTCCGACCACGAAGTCGGAGGTTCGAATCCCGTCATTCGACTATTGTCGTAAACCATATCCTAGCACAAGCCTACAGCTTAGTTGGAATGGTTAAAGAAATTTTAGTAAATTTACAAAAAAATCTGGTAATATTTAAAAAAATTAAGATATTGTAATGCATGGCTCCTGAACTAGGTTGCCCTTTGCAACATACTTCATGAGCTAAAACTCTTCCACCGTACGTAAAATCTATGATCATATTTTAATAAAATATACATACTTAGTAGGTACTCCATTGGCCTTCAACCGTCTGCTGTACTCGAGGCCCTGGTAGTGAGGGACCCTTTTATCTCCGGACCCTAGCATGAGCGCTGTAGGGGCCTTCACACGGTGTACGTGTGCTAGTGGGGAACAACGTCGCATTGCTAACAGTTCTTCTTCAGATATAGGGCCCTTCTCTGTGAATAAAAAGCCCGCTTCCACCGAACACCTGGTGACGAAGATTTGTTACTAAAGTGTAACTCTGGTTACGAATAAAAAATTAAACAATTAATCTTAATATTTTTAAAAATATATTTCTGTAAAAATGTTTGTAAACTTTACGATTTTTTAAATTTAATTCTAAGCGATTTCAATTATAATGTTTTCATTTATAATTTTATAACAATCACGTGATAGTCCGTGAACTGGGTGTCTCAGAGTTCGAAACGTAATGTAGATTTAATTTTAAACTACATAAGTACCTTGGATGAACGAAATTTAATCGGGTTTTAAAGCCTACATAGTTTTTTTTTTAATTACAATAATTATTAGGGTAAAAACATAGACCTAAATCCACTCACCCGTCAGTATTATCCGCATAATGACCTTTCGTTGCCAAATCGATCAATGTATTTCTTAAAACCATCGCTTTGAACAATCCAGGATACTTCCCGGCTAGATGTGCTCCCACAAAACCGCCGTAACTCCCGCCATAGATAACCACATCTGACAGTCTTCTGTCTCGCTCTTTCAATGCGGTTAGAGTGAGAAGGCAATCGTTGATGTCATAGTTACCAACATTGGAGATCAAACATCGGACAGTACTATCACCTTGGCCGGTTGAGCCGCGAAAGTTTATGCGAACGGACGCAAACCCTTTAAATGTTAAAAGAAGTTAAAACTATAGTTTTTAGTTAAATTTCTATTTTATACTACTATTAACTACTTTACAGAAAAAGAAAGAAAAATGAGTGCATTTTACTTTTTTAATTATATTTTAATTTAGTCTAATACGAAAAAGGGAAATTCATTTATTTAGTTATGAAAACAGATTCAGATTTCTGAATGAATTTAAATGAGACACCCAGTGACTAGGCTATCATCGCTACTTATTTTACACAAAATATATTATTTCTTCACACTAATATACAACGAAATACAATCCTAAAAAAATCTTAATACATCAAAAAAAGATAAAACGACCAAAAATATAAAATAAACCTAAATCACAGTAAACTGAATAACCATGGGTTTCTGAGACCAAAATCTCCGTAAAAATATTATTATCTCTGTTTTGTCAACGATAATGACACGGATGACGATATTTTATATCCAGACATTTCGGTCTCAGAAACCTACTGTAATACAAAAGACTTTACACAGAAAACGCAACTTTACCAAATTATATCATATTTTTTTGTACAAAACTCACCAATCAGCGATATCCGTAGAATTGTACATTGTCGCGACGTCAACAACTGGATTACGACTGACAACCACTCTGTAAGTATCTGGGTACTGTCCACTGAGATGGGTGACAAGAAAACCTCCATGAGAACCTCCGAAGAGGCACAACTGTGTAGGTTCCACTGGGTACTCTCTCAACACCTCATCTGTGGCTAATTTACAATCTTTGACGTCAGCATCACCGACGCGTTTTAATAGAAATCTGACAGATTTATCTCCAGCCCCGATAGAACCTCGATAGTTTATTTGTAGACTCGCAAACCCTGGAATACAGGGTTTTAATGTGTTTAGGATTAAACATTCACAATCGACACTACAAAATCGAAAATAAACAAATCAAAAATCGTCAAAAGCATAAGTTAGTTTTTATGTTACTAAACAAAAATCTCAGTATAATCCCAGGAATAATATAAATGCGCTTATATAAAAACGGCTAAACACTGACGTATTATATATTCGTCCGGTGTCGGTCCGCGAAACAATACCAGTACCACGCATCCTGATGAAGGGCCCCCGATGGGCTCGAAACTAGTCGGTGCCGTCACCGGACGAATATACGTGAGTGTTTAGCTGTGTTTATATATCAGTTTATTATAATGTCTCACAGTAGATTGAATAATTTAGTATAAATGCGATAAGGAAATAAAAAAAAGATACATTTGAGTAAAGAATAAGTAACTATGATATCTTAGTCGCTAAGTACTAACTAAAGACACTTTGGAGAGTAACATATAAATAAATTTCCATTTTTCATATGTTTAAAAACAAAATATTTGCATTTTAATTCATCCACTGTAGTAATAGTGATAATAATGTGAAATAGATTCGTGAAATAATGAAAAGTATGGTTATATTGTTATTTGTGGTGACATCAAACATTTTTTTTATATATAAGTAGGTTTGATATATATTCTGATAGAACAAACCGCGATAGCAACGCCCCTCACAGTACAAGTGCGTTGAACAAAGTGCATTCACTACGAAGCGATTCCAAAACGATCTTTAAAATTGTATAGAACTGACGCGCTACAATCACGTAACTTATCGAAAGTTAATATCATCTATACATTTTCGAAGTTCGCTATGAAATCGCTTCGAAACGAATGCACTTTGTCCAACGCACCTGTACTGTGTGGGGCGTTACTATCGTTCTGTCAGAATATATATCAAACCTATTTAGACAAAAAAAATGACAAAAGAAAAAAAACAACTTGACAGCTAAAGTACAAAGAGGATATTGTGGAATTTTTTGACGTTAAGAGGGGCGCTAGTGAGTCATAATTTAGTTTGACTTATGTTGAACTATAGTTAGGTGGTAAAGTATAGTAACTCATAGTACGCTATAGTAACTTATAGTAACTCATAGTACGCTATAGTAACTTATAGTAACTCATAGTACGCTATAGTAACTTATAGTAACTGTCCGTAACACTCACCTAACATATTAAAAAGCGCAGCCTCCAGGGAGAAGGCATTGACGAAGGCGGAGTGCGGACCGCCGTGAGGCCACACGATCAACGGTAACTTCTTATTTGGTTCACTCGGTGCGAAATACAGTGCAGTAAAGGATTCTACGAAGAAATAAATTCATTTTGAATTAAAAACATATTAATTTAAGATCTCTCTCTATAATATATAGGTCCATTTTCTTATAAATAAATCTTACTAACATTATAAATGTGAATGTTGGATGGATGTACGTTTGTTTGAAGGTATCAGAACGGATGCATGGATCTCCGTGAAATTTGGTATATATGTAGAACATAGTATGTAAGATCACATAAGCTACTAATTATGTTTTTAATTGCCGCGGACGGAGTCGCGGGCGACAGCTAGTAAATAAACAAATCTTTATTGATTTACAAAATTTTACAAATTCTTAGGACAATGCCTCCTGTTGTAGGTTACCTTTGTTACAGGAGGTAGTGCCTTCTCTTAAGCTACATCTTAAATTGGTACTTATTTATGTTTTGTGTGTGTGTGTGTGTGTGTCCGTGTGTGCGTGCGTGCGTGTGTGTGCGTGCGTGTGTGTTAAAATGGCGAAAATCAAATAAGTACAAAATACTACAGCTAATATCCTGTCCATTTATAGAGGGTTACTGAAGTACTAATGAACTCACTGACTGCATCCTCACTGTCATGTTGCAGGTTCATATATTTGAGATGAGAGCTTGCTACTGTGTCCGGCACTTGACTCGCGGCAGTCACCTGCACCCACTGGATCTCCGCCTCAGAACCTTTGGCTGGCAGTCTCGCTATGAACAACTGTACAAATATAATAAAATATACTAATTGTCGGTTTCTGAACTTATAAACTAAACATCTTTGATAAAACAGAGATATGTTTCAAACGGGGATTTTGTCGGATCTCAGAAACCCACAGTAATATAGTAAACATCCTTATGGCAGTTCATAAAGGGTTCAGAAATAACTCTTTTAAGGGAAAATTTTAGTTACATCGTAATAATCTTAGAAACTGATTGAATTAATATGTTTTATTAACAATTAGATTATTAAGGAAGATTACTGGCTATTTAACATCACGCTATGGCCATCACGGACCGAGCTAACACAAAATTAAAAGACATCGCGGTGCACTGTCATCGCCAATAGATGGCGCTGGAGAGAGTATTTTAACGTCTATTCAATGCAAACAAACAAACAAAACTTTCCTCTTTATAATATTAGTAAAGCTGTGTGATTGTGGAATACCTGCGCTGGAGTGGTCATATTGGAGCACGTCGCGAGTACAACATCCGCCTTCACGTCCAGCACTGATGTCGACCCAATGAAGGATTTGTTGGAGATATCCACTATCCCACCGCCATCTGGTGGCATGAATAACTATAATATAACCAGTTGAATAATAAACTAGAAGCCTATGTGTTCATCCAGGCTATGTTCTTGATGTATGCCAAATTTCAAGGAGATTTGCGCAGCCGTTCTGGAGATATCTTCTAACAAACGCATTCATAATATTAGTAAGATAAGATTTTTTTAAGAAGCCAAATCGAAACTAAACGCAATTCATATTTGAACAAAAAAAAAGTTGTTCCAAATTACGTTAACACGTTCAAATGCCACCAACATGAGAAATCACTAAAACAAAATGGCTATGATATGGGTATCAAAATATTTAATTACGATACGCTCAAAATTATATTTTCTTAAAGAAATTACATATTTTGGTATACTGACCTATATCAAGCACATAAGACCTGACATCGTTCTTCTGCGGGGTGCTGAACACCAGCCTGCCTCCACTGGCGAAGCACCTGGTGGGCAGCCCCAGGCTGTACACGCCGTGGAATACTTCCCCATTAGAGGTGCTCATTTCTGTTGCTACTATGTCTAGCACTGTTGTTATTTGTGTCTGGAAATAATATATTTAAAAAAAAGGTCTTGATAGACAGACGGACGGACAACAAAATGATCCTATACGGATTCCGTTTTTTTCCTTTCGGAGAATGGAACCCTAAAAACAACATAATAATGCCCGTAACCCATTTGGGGTAGGTAGAGACTACGAACCACCATTTAGCGGGTTCCTGGCACACCTATCTAAATTATTCTACATGCATAAGGCAGTTTTTTACATATAAATAAATAGCTTATTTCTTGACTAGTTGTCGCCCGTGACTCCGTCGGTGTGAAACAAAAGTAAACTTACTACATAGCCTATGTGTTCCTTCAGACTATGTTCTAGATTTATGCCAAATTTGAGCGAGCCGTTCTGGAGATAATTTCTAAAAAACTTCCATCCATACATCCAAACATTCATATTTATATTAGTAAGATTTAAAAAAAATCTAATTATCTTATTAAATATTAATTGAACAATACAATGAAGATTACTCACATCATCATTTTTCTTTGCTAGTATTGCATGACAGGCGTGGTGCGGACCATCAGCAGGGCGCTGCAGCCACACCAGCTCGCCTCCAGCATTGTACCGCGGAGACCTCACAGCCATACCTTCTGATGATATCTTACCTACAAGGTAATGCCAACAACTGTAGCACTGAATGATCCTCGCATAATACCACAACCACACAGAAGACCTTAACAGTATCAGCGTGGTGGGGGGACCGCTCAAGGTCCTGGCATTTGAGGGCATCACAGACACCAGATTCGGATATAAAGGGGTGCTACAGTACCCCTTAATATACCCTATCTTTGGAAGATTTCGCCCAAAACAAAAATGGCGCAGCAAAAATCTCGCCGGAAATGCTAAGGCCCTACAGTCTGATGAGTGTGGTGCCGGAGGCCTTATATTACTACTCTTTCCCTTCCCATTCTATCCTATATAATAATAGGATGGGAAAGGGAAGATTTTATGGAGGGGACGCATTGGAAGGGAACATATCGTGTTTCTGTTTGTCCCTTTGAACTTGACATTGAGTCAGATATGACTTTATACATGACCAGCTGACGCCCGCGACTCTGTCCGCACGAAATTAAAAAAATATATAAGCCTATGTGTTGTTCCAGACTATGTTCTACAACTATGCCAAATTTCAACGGGATCCGTTCAGCCATTCTGGAGATACCTTCAAACAAACATCCATCCATCCATCCAAACATTCGCATTTATAATATTAGTAAGAAGTAAGATGTTGAAATAGTGTTAATTTTACTGTTACTTACTAAAGTTTCCATCCAAGGTAAGTTTGAAGATGTATGAAGGTCTGTTAGTACAGAATATAAGACCAAGTCGTCTCGGCTCTGTCTCCCACGCCACGCCCACAACACTTTGCCCCTCCGGACTGAAGCGGACCTGCAGCAAAACATATATATATTAACAAAATACATAAATATAATCTTTATTCTCTAATTACATATAAAGGGAACCTTACTAATATTATAAATGAGAATTTTTAGACATATGGATGGATGTTATGGATGATAATAATCTGGAGAATGACTCAACAAATCTCGCTGATATTTGTCTTAGATGTAGAACATAGGCTAGAAGAATGCTGAGGCTACATTTTAAATTTTCCTTTAATTCCGCGCAGACAAAGTCGCGGTCTATATTAAATTTTTATCATAATAATTATTATATACTTTTAACCTTATATCCTTTTCTGATAAAAAAAAACTCCAAGTGCGGTATAGAACGGAAAATATTGATTTCCTAATTAACCCTTCTATCAAGTAATGTTCATTCATCAAACCTAATATCAAATGATCCACTTTTTATATAGATTTACCTGTCCAGGACACCAGGTCTCCGGCAAACCCTCCAGCACAGTAACAGTCTCGGTGGCCAACTTGCACACTACCACCACAGAGAGGTGCTTGCCCACCAGCTGCTCGCCCCAATCTTGTCTGTATACAAACTCTTCACCCTACAATAAATTAAAACAATAAAAAAAGTAAATAAAAAAAATAATGTTGCATTACAAAAACATAAAAAACCTCTCTTAAGTTATACTTCATATTAAAGCACTTACTCTTTTCGGTGTGGATTCTCCACTACCATCAGTTTTGGCTTTATCCTCAGATTTCCTTTTAATATAAGGTTCTGATTTCTTTAACTTCTTCTCTGCGACATACACCACTGCACTTTCATCCTGCGACCAGTCCAAACTGCCAAACTCCGCTGCAAAATGTTACTACTTGAATAAAAAAAAACTATTATAAAAATACTCTACATATTTTTATAACAATTTTAAATGACCATCAAACCAACTAGCCGTAGCCCGCGAATCCGTCCGCACGGAAACTAGAAAAAGCTTAGTAAGTAGCCTACATGCTATTCCAGACTATGTTCTACATATGTGCCAAATTTCATCAAGATCTATTGAGACATTGTGGAGATATCTTCAAATATCCATCCATCTAAGTAAGATTTCCCCTATTAAAACACATATAAGGGTTTTACCTAATTATTTTTACAATAATTTTACTTATAATAAACTATGAGAGTAAAAAAAAATACTATTAAATATCTTATCAGAATAAAGTACATACAATCAGCGTACACATCTCCGTGAACATCCAGAGCGGTGAGATCAATGCAGTGTGCCAAGTTGTGACGACACCACACCTCCAGATACTGTTTCTTATCCTTGCCATCCTTCTCTTCACGTATCAATGCTTTAAACATACCTTTTGGTGATACTGATGATAGTAACCTATAAAAATTTATCATCTATGCAACTTCAATTAAATATCTACGAAGCACAATAAAGCATCAAAAGCCTAATCTTTAGTAATACAAAATAATCATAAGCTTGTTAATTTAAATCCCCTGTTCTGTTATCATAAATAAACCAGTTTATAATTTTTTATTTAAATCTCTTGTATTTATTTAAATACGTATTTTTTAACATTAAAAAAAATATGAGAAAGTGTATAAAATTATTTCTTGTTGTTCATCATAAAACAGAGAAAAATATCCTACTAAATATAGTGAGGGTAGCCAAGAAAAAGTTTAGCCAGGTCAAAAATCATTACATCTAAAATGCCCTAATTATATTAATAAACTTGTTTTACTATACTTAAATTATTAATCCATTTAACTTACTCATTACTAACATCCACACCGAATTCACTTTCCGAAATAACTTTAAGGTTATCATTTAAAATATAATCATGAAGATATTTCGTTGTCTTCCCCTTGTCCAAATTCCTAACTGACCACTTGCATGAGATCCTGTTTCCATCGTTGTTAAGTTTAGCACCAACTATAGACGGAATCTTTGATAACGTCTTGTAGGCATTAACAATTGTTTCTATCTGAAATACATATATTAAAACATATAACAATGACCATCAATTTATTTTATATGGTATCCATAGCACAATACCATATATTGCAATGAATAATGATGTTAATTTTATAATTGGTTACCACTTACAATATAATTAAACAATGAACAATAAAAAAATAAAACTTACTTGTGATGACATCCTTAGCATATCTAAAAATACTAATTGTATTTAGCTTTAGTTATTTTTAATCAAAAACCTGTAAAAATTACTATTTTAATTAATACAATCAATATGAAACTCTTGGAAAACTATACAAATAATTTGTGAATGTTTTATTTATATGCTGTACTTATCATATCAGTTCATTGTTTTACAATTGCAAAGTGCAAACAGTATTCTTATCAGATGATAGTGCAAAACCATAAAACTAAGGAACGCAAATATATTACAAAATGAACAAAAGCGATTATATTATAAAATGTTAGAATAAAATTATCAATGACCCTTCAATGTACGCTTTGAATTTTAATTGTATTGATAATTATTGCTTTACAAAATCGTATCTCACAACAAAGATTTTTTCTATGTAAACAAAAGTAAGAAAATTGTTGAGTTGGAACTTTGTAATGATCTTTTTTGAAAATGTATTTATATACCAAATAGTAGTACTATATAGTAACCGTTATAAATATAAAGTTTACTCTAGACCTAATGTTGTTTTTTGTTCCTACCTTTTACTTTTATGTCTATAAACTCTGTATTTGTATTTGTGTAAATATTAACGGCGCTCTCACTTCTTTGTTGTCAAAAATCAAAATATAAGAATCTTATGACAGTTTTTGACATTGACGGACTGCAAATTTTGAGGGTTACCAGTGAGCAAAATCCCTACTTCTTCGGAAAGTTGTCCATTTTCCAACTCCATTCATGCAACTCACTTGCAGTTGTAATTTTTTTTAGGAATTTCGAAATTATGAAAATGGCAACATTACACCGTGCGTGACGTTAGGCACTTATGCACCGAAGACTTAAAAAAAACCTGCGAAATACGAAAATAAAACAATAATATTGACGTTCAGTATAATTTTATTTATAAGAAAATACATTACATGTTAATTGCTTTAGATTAATAAGGTTTCACGTTAATTAAACACTTCATTATAAACATAAAATCAACACAAAAATATGGAATCCGAAGACCTACTGAGAGTGAGTTTATAATATTTTTACCCTATGTTAGTTTAATATTTTAATAACATAAATATATATTATATTTTTCAGATGACTCAAGCTGTGGTAATGTTAAAGCGGATTAAAGTTATTGAATGCCAAAAATGCACAAAAGCTTTTACTAAGCAGAAAGACTACAAACTTCATAAAATGAAACACGATCTTCAAAAAATGTAAGTATATATGTGTTAAAAAAAAATTGAGCCAAATTCATATTCTACCGACGTATCAATATAATAATAATATATATAATTTTCTTCATACATCAAGAATAAAAAAATGCTATAAATATGAAAATAAGTTATTATGGACTTTTTTTTCTAGTTTACACTTTATCTAACCTTGTTTTTCCAGACGTGTAGAAAGAATAGAAAAAAATAGGACTTTTTATGGCAAAAAGCCTGGTTATGTAAAGACATTACAATGTGACCAGTGTGACATGAGATTTGTTGCAAACAGTACTCTCAAAGCACATTCTGTCCTTCACAAGTCTTTCCCAAACATCTGTGAATGTGGTGTTGGTTTCTATGAACAAAACGATCTAGAATCTCATATGAAACTTGTTCATAACAAAGAAATTAAAAATTCTGCACAGAAGAAGATAACTTCAAATTAAATTAAAGAGAAACAAAAATTAAAAAAGATAAATTAAGTAAATAGGTAAGCATAATACTTTTAAGTTATTGTAAAAGATAGGTAAAAGACCAAAATGTTTGGTCATCATATAAAAACTTATGGAATTATGAAAATATATTATGATTGAGAGAGTTAGTATAAAAGTGTCTTCAATTTATTGGTATACTAGCTGTGGCCCGCGTCTCCGTCCGCGTGGCATTAAGAAAAATAATAATTAGTAGCCTATGTATTCTACCAGACAATGTTCTTTATGTATGCCAAATTTCATTGAGATCCATTCAGCTGTTCTGGAGATACCTTCAAACAAACATCCATCCATACATTCGTATTTATAATATTAATAATTCAAATTTCATATGTGAAAGTAATTTTGATATATGGTTTTTTTTTTAATATTTTGTGTGAATTTTTACATATTATTGGGGTTTTAAAATAAAGGAAGCCAATGTATTTTTATATGAGGATAAGTTTTTTACCAGAATTTTATTGGAATTTACGAGTTTTTTGTGTAAATTGTATTTTGTCCAATCAAGTAAATATTTTTAATCATGTCATTTATTTAGATGTAAGTTAAGTATGTAAGACAATAATTTGAATACATTAGTAAAGTACCAAAGTTTTTGTATCAGTCTTGCTTTAAACTGATTTATTAGTAAGGCTTAGATTGTAATATAAAGAGCATCGGTGGCTCAAGGGTCAAGCACTTGACTTGCAATCTGTAGGTCCTGGGTTCGAATCCGCCATGTACCAATGCGTTTTTTGATTTCCGATTTACATACGTACATTTATCCAATGTTCTTACGGTGAAGGAAAATATCATAATGCAACCTGCATATATCTGAGAAGATATTTAAAGATATGTGTGAAGTCAACCAACCCGCACGGGCCCAGTGTGGTTGATTATGGCCTAATCACCCTTAACTTAAGGTAGGCTCCGAGCCCCTCGGTGGGACCGTATAATGAGCTGATGATGAGATTTTTATAATGTAAAGATATATTTTATTTTAACTTTCTGGTCATAAAGCTAATTTGTAAAATGATTAATATTTTTATCGCAATAAATTAATTAAATTGTTGCAATTTTTACATATTTATTTTAATTCCAAATCTCAAATATTATGTACTATATATAATACAGTGTATATGTACTAGCTATGTAAAGATTGTACTATATTTTTGCTAATTGAATTTCTATAGAATATTATTTATCTTTTTTAAATTTTATATAATAATAGCATGATTATGCATCAAAATTGTTTGCCCTATTTTTGTAATTTTGTACAAAAAATCAAATAGTCATATGACATCAATATATTTTAAAAATTATTTACATTGAAAAATTATTTTATTTAAAAAAAAATGTCTTAATCATTGACTGATGTAAAACAGATTTTAATAAAAGATTTTATAATATTTAATTCTTTTATTTGTTGTTTTTATAAGCAATTTAATGGCGTTATCATGTTAAAAAGACTACTACAAAAAAATCTTAGATTTAGCCATTTTTTTTTTGATTATACAAATGTATAATTTTAAGAATAATTGTAACATAAATCGAAACTAAAAATTACCAATTCAACGGGAGTTTTAGACAAACTGTACCAAATCATTTAATAAAAAAAATCTACCATTAAATTTAGACACATCCGACGTAATTATTTTTTGTTTTTATCCTTCCTTGTTTTGATGGCGATCAGTTTCTAATATATACAAGTAGATTAACATCCTACACATCGTATAATACAATTACTGTATTAATCTGGTTCTATTATCTATAGGTATGTATATATAGCAATAGGTATGTTGGTACAATCGCGTACATTGGCAGTGTTCTACTTTAAAAGTGACAATCGATTGAACGTCTTCTACGATTTGTTTAAATCCTAAAAAAATGTGTTAGTCTTTTCAAATAACTTTGCGGCTGATTGCTTTCCCCCGCATCCCGCTACACACGGCTACACCTAAATTTGTGTTCTACGCAGCGATAAGCGCGAAGTTGAGAGCCGGTAACATATCTGAAAAGTTTTATAATAGTAGCGTATTTAATATACATTAGTCAGGAGTTCAAGAAAACAAAGCAGGAAACACCCAGTTATTGTGGGATAAGACAATTTTTACCTGACTGACTCAGGAGTGCCCTTTTATTATTTATTAGTGAACAAATTGTATTATCTGTAATTGTGATATCGCTAACGGATCCGACTGTACATCGAATGCGGCGACCGCGTCGCTTTGCCGCGCCGCTCGATACGCGCGTGGCGCACGGCCCGCGCGGCACCAGTGACAGCCCTGCTCGCAACTCACTACCACCCCTACGAAAACATAACCTAATTACTTATTAACTACGTTTTTTCATTGTTTTTTTTTATTTAAATCTTTTTAGAGTGCTTTTAAATACTCAACAAGTTTTTATAAAGATATCTCAGCAATCTTAAGGTAAGATTTTCTATTATATTTGCATATTAAATGGTAGTTATATTGAATTTAAATATTTTTTTATAAAAATATTTTTTGCAAATTATTAATAGTAAATTAAGTTGTTATAAAGATATTTTGCAATATTGATTTGTTTTGTCTAGTTTTTTACGTGTGAAACGTACATCTAATAGGATTTTTTGTCTAGCTCTTGTTACAAAGAGGTACAGTTAGTCAATGGATGAACATGGCAAATTGTAAGAAGCCATATTCGGAGGGTTCAAAATCGATCGATGGGGTTACTGCTAGTGTTACATTATTCCCAATTTGAACCTTAACACGTAACATACAAGGACTATTCTTTATTCAATAGTTTAGTTTTAAACCTCCTAATCGATCTAAACTTCCATATCTGAATACAATTTCAAATTATATTTCTCTAATGAAATCCACATTTCTATCAAATTCGACTTTTTAAATATTTTATGTTTTCATGGCAACTTGAAATTTAAATTGTGAATTAGATTTTTAAAACGATTTTAATCTATTAAATTTCAGGTTGGACCAATAATTAACAGAAATATATCAAAATGAATGAAATAGATTTGATAAAAGAAATCGAGAAGCATCCTATACTTTACGATAAGTCAATAAGCGGTTTCAACAAGACGAAACTGAGAGAGGACGCCTGGAGTGCTGTACGAGATTCACTCAATGTATCGGGTAAATAAAAATCGATTAGTTTAATATAAACAAAATGAAAAGCACCACTGACAGTCGGTTATAACACCTATGGGAAGAATGCGAATTTTCTTAAATTAAAAAAAAAAATACTTTCTGCACATACAGCCACAACTGTCAACTTTGAAAAAAAATTCTACTAAATTAAATATGATTTTATGCAACCTACTAAAGCGTAAAAATATAACATTTTTTTCTCTAGCATTGTACTCTAGTCAAGGTATTTAATTTCGGATCCTCGATGAATATTTCAGAGACGGAGTGCAAAAAGAGATGGCGTTCGCTGCGAGATTCATTCATAAAGCTGCAGCGTACACACGGCGGCCGCACGCGTTGGTCCTACCACCACGCCATGCGCTTCCTGCTGCCGCACATCGAAAATAGGTGTGACACTGACGTGCAGAGGTAAGCCTGCACATTGCACATTGAACATTGCACATTGAACATCGCACATTGTACATAGCATATTCGATTTGTATTTTTAGACATTATTAATTAGAATCCTTTGGCGCGAATGTCGTACTTTAATCCAAATCCAGTGTCAGAATGAATAGTGAGGGGACATAAACGTCGACATTTTAGTAGGGCTAGTGTTGCTTCAATACACTTGCACATTTTGTAGTTTTCTTCCTAACAGTACAAACAACAGCCTGCAATAATACACTGCTGAACCAAAATCCCAGTAACAGACTTTGGAGAAACTTGAAACTTTAAATGTCTCGCGAAAGTTTTAATTAGTTTTTTTTGAAGAGTTATAAAAGTAATATAATAATATTCAAATATGTTTTGACTAGTTGTCGCCTATGGCTCCGTCCGTATGGAATTAAAAATAAATTAGTAAGTAGCCTATGTTCTTCCAGACAATACTCTACATGTGTTCTCAATTTTATCAAAATATGTTAAGCTGTTCCAGAGATATCTTCAAACATCCATTTACCTATCCATTTAAACATTCGTATTTTATAATATTAGTAAGATGAACACTTAAACTTTTACAGATCAAAGAAAGATACCGAAGATTCGGATCCTGAAGAAGAAATAAAACCGCGCAACACTCTACCTGACATCTCCTTCCCGGCCACTGAAGTAATGACGAAATACGATGAAGATGAAGATTCCCAACCGTCCCCTAAAAAACAACGTCTCCAATCCATTGACGAAGAGAACAGTTGCCATTGCAACAGAACTGATCCGGACGAGTTGTTCCTTCTTAGTTGTTCCTCGACATTGAAAAGGTTGAATTCCAAACAGAATGCTGCTGTTAGGTTGAAAATTCAACAGGTTCTTTATGAAGCTGAGTTTGGTACGCAAATGGATATGCCATATGTTACTCCGGCAAGTGAATGTGGTTATGATGCTTTGGATGGTCATGAATAAAAACACCTAACTTATCCGACTGATATGGTATGTTTATATGTCTATTAAGTTCTCTTGTAGCTTAAACGGTTGTAACTTTGTTATTTAATTCGTGTTTTACTCCTGAATGTCATAGGTAAAGTCTTCTTGCCCCTCACTTAATGGAGGTTGGCCGTCAGCGATCCCAATCCCCGTCTCATCCCAACCGAAAAAGTTGTTGAACTCTAGCTAAAGTGGTCCATACCCGAATGTTTCTTAACCACGACTTTCTTTTCCTTCCAATCCGTCTTTTGCCTACAATTTTGCCCATTGTTGATTTGAAGAAGTTAATATTTTTCGTGTCGCAAGACATTGGGCCATGTAGTCAGTCGGTTTTTTTTATTTCCCTTTTGTTAAATAAGTGTTTTGATGTATCGTGTTTGTTGTCCAATTGTGGTGTTGCAATTTAATAAATTATGTTTTTTTTCAATTAAGTCTTAATATTTAAGTTTAAGTTAAAAGCGAATGTTAGTAAGATTGTTTCATTTTTGGATCAAATAATTTGTTACTAAATATTTCATTCGAAAACTGTTATGATATTAGTTTTGTAACCGAGTTATTATTTTTATTTAAATAATTTTTTCGGCATGAAACACGGTTAGAAAAAAAAATATAGTTTTGCTTTTCACCATTTAAAGAAAAATAAACTATTTTATTCAAATTGATTTGATATTTTATTTAATAATCTTATTCTCTTTATAAATTTGAACTTCAAAACAATGATATAATATTCGATAGTAAGTAAAATAAGCATAGATTAAAAATTGATAAACCATAGAACTTGACCATGGTTTTATGTTTAATTGCTCATTTACTCTTAATGAATTGTTGTCTATGACGCGATCCAGTAACTCCGAGTTTGCCTTGAACTACTAAATTGACGTCTAATAAATCAATTAAGGATCCATTCATCAGTTTATATTAATACTAGGTATCACCCGCGACTGCGTCCGCGCGGATTTAAAAAATTTTAATAACCGATGTGTTCTTCCAGACAATGTTCTATTATACATCTATGCCAAATTTCATAGAGATCCTTTGAGCCGCTTTATACCTCGCATTTATAATATTAGTAAGAAGTAAAATATATCATACAACTTTATACCTAAATACATAGAGGTTTGTTGGCATTTTTGACTGATTCAACATAATTTTCATCCATGTCATTAAAAACATATTTCTATCTTTATCATTCTCTTTGCAAATAAATGAGACAACATGTTTTTGTTTCGGCGTTTAAACAGTGGAAACCACAAGTTAGTAACACGATCACTAACGTAAGCGGCACACAACTACGTAAAGCAAGAATGGAAACTGTCCAAATATTGTTCAATAAATAACCGTTGTAGAGTAAAATGAACTTTATGTGATGGTAATACGGTTAGTTTTCGAATAACAGTTAAATAATACCATATTTCTCCGAGAGTTAAAAGTTTGTAAACTGTGTTGTTTTAAGCATTTAGATGCGTTCGTTCAGGAAGACTTTCCTTTTGACTACAATATTGTAACGTAGCAGTGTCGAATGAAAAACAATTTTTATGACCATTTTACTTCTTACTAATCTTATATCTTATTCTTATATAGGATGGATGGATGGATGTTTATTTGAAGTTATCTCCAGAACGGATGAACGGATCTCTATGGTATTTGGCATAGATGTAGAACATAGTCTGGAAGAACACATAGGCTACAATTTTTTTTTGACTTCGTCGAGTTTACTTTCGTTGAGTTGCGAGCGACAGCTTGTTTAAAAATCATCATCATCATCATCATCAGCTCACTATACGTCCCCACCGAGGGGCTCGGAGCCTACCCTAAGTTAAGGGTGATTAGGCCATAGTCAACCACGCTGGCCAAGTGCGGGTTGGTTGACTTCACACATATCTTTGAATTTCTTCTCAGATATGTGCAGGTTGCATCACGATGTTTTCCTTCACCGTAAGAACGTCGGATAAATGTACATATGTAAATCGGAAATCGAAAAACACATTGGTACATGGTGGGATTCGAACCCAGGACCTGCAGATTGCAAGTCGAGTGCTTGACCCCTGAGCCACCGACGCTCTCTACGTTTAAAAATAAAAAAGATCAATTTTTTTTATTACTCGTATCGCTATGCTTCTTTTATTTTTGACGTCTGCTCTAACTTTGGGCCTAGCATGAATATTTTTGACAAACGCAATCGTATCGTCATCGACATATTTTTAATAAAATTTTTGCGCTATATAGCGTATAGGAAGTTATTTATTTAATAAATTTAAAATAAGTAATTAAATGACTAATTAATTAAACTACCAAAATAATACTATAAACTATATACTAAAACTAAACCAAACTAAAAATAAAATTAAATAGCGTATAGTATACTAAAAATGTTACTGATTGTGACATTATTATGACGATACGAAGACGATTGTCGAAAACATTCGTGATTCCCTCACTTTGCTAGCAGCTTCTAAGATGTACGCTGTGTCAACACCGTGACCTTGACCGCCATTCTGCAAACAATCCAACCCTTTACCATGTTTAGCAGTTAAGATAAAGTTAATTATGTAATTATACGATTGTAATAGAGATTTTTTATAACGCAGTTTTGTGCTGTCTTGGCAGAACTTGAAATATAATTATGAATATCGGCTTGTATGGGATAATGACGTAATTGGTAATGTCTGCCAAAATTTAATCTTTAATCAAGGTTAATTCAAAAATAGCTCAAAAGCGGAGTATATTCTATGAAATAACCACGCGTGTGTTGCCACACTAATCTTACTTACTATATTATTATTATTTTTTTTTTATATCTCTAATTAAATTTTATTATACATCCTTATTTCTATAATTACATAAAGTCTTAAATCTATGATATAAAATAAAACATTAAAAAAAACGAATAATTCACTAAAATATATTATTAAAAGGAGTCCCCTTAGGCAAGGTCCCGAAGATAAATATATTATTATTATATTTAATAGAAATGGGAATATATAGATGGATGGATGTTTTTTTTTGAATTAATCTCTAGAACGGCTGCATGGATTGCGCTGAAATTGGCATATATGTAGAAGATAGTCTGGAAGGGCACATAGGCTACTATTTAAGTTTTTTTAATTCCGCGCGAACGGTGTCGCGTGCGACAGCGAGTATTGAATATTTACATACCAATTTTCCCTTTATTTGAATATGGAATGCAATTTAAATAGAACAACAATATATCAATAGACCTTCAAAAAGCTATTAATTATTTTGTTGAACAATAATTTAAAAATATGTCAAGTTAATGAAGCGAGAAATAGCACAATTCTGCAGATTCTTATGTTTTTTATGCGTTTGTAAGAATTTAGTTTTTATTAGTTTTAGACATACTCAACTTATGGTTGATTTCTGAGACCAATATCTCTGTATAAAACATATCGTCATCCCTTTCTTACATGTTTGACAAAATAGAGATAACCATGTGATATTAAACAGAGATTTTAGTCTCGGAAACTCACGGCTAATTTCACAGCGCTTCCCTTTTTACTCTGTATCCTTCTTTCTTACTCTAATGTATGGCGACTACGTCCGCGCGGAATTAAAAAAAAACTATTGGTCGCAGCGTAATGTTATATAGCCTAAACCCTTCCTCTATAAATTGAATATCAAACAAAAAAAGAATTTTTAAAATCGGACCAGTAGTTCCTGAGATTAGCGCGTTTAAATAAACTCTTCCGCTTTATAATATTAGTATACATTACATTACAAATGTTCAAATCCTGTTTACTTTAACTATTTCGATGTTGAACAAGAAAAACCGGAAACGGAAATGTTATCATTAAATGAGTAATAACACTGCATCGGATGACATTGACATAAAAAAAAAAACTTTTGTATTGATTTGTGTTCTTTGAACTTGAATATGACTGTTTAATTTACGTGTGTAGATAGCGAAATGATTACGTGACCTTTATCAAAATATACTTGAAATTATTTAATTTATTATTATTAAATCATTATTTTTAATGAGGTTATTGTTGAATAGAGTTCGATTACATTAAACGAGCAATGAAATTATTTAAACTTACATGAGACATTTTAAAGACAAACTATCCTTCGCCCGCGATTCCTCCGCGCGTAATTTAGAAAAAAATAGTAGCCTATGTATTCTGCCAGATGATGTTCTACATCTATGCCAAATTTTAGCGGGATCTATGCAGCCGTTCTGGAGATACCTAACATACGGCCATCCAAACATTCGCATTTATAATATTTAAAAAAATAAAACTCGTAAATTACGAAATTCATTATTGATAAAATAAAACGTATGACTTTTTAGGTCGCATTTCATAAATAGAACAGAATACTCTATGCTTTGTTATCGAAATTATGATTGACCTTTTCTTATCTGTTCTTTTCAATTCATTTGAAAAAAAAACATTTATAAATGAATGGTTGCCATTCAAATAGTATATTTTTTACCAAAAGCAACTAAATATTTGATATTTACGTGTACATTTCAATGAATATTTTAGAAAAACTATCATAGTGTCTGTCGCATATTGTAGATTTAGATTAGTATCTGCACTTAAGACCTGCTTAATTAATCAATTAACATCTCAGAGTACGGCAGTTAGTGTCTATTATTTTTATAAAATTAATCTCTGGGAAATTATAACTTTATAATTCATCTAAAAGTTCACATCGGAATATACTTCGTAACGCGATACGCACACATCTTCGTCAGGTTTGATCATTACACTGAAGACAATGAAGTTTTCATCAAATACACGCAAATGTTGCAATAACGCACACTACATACAGGTGTATGTAGACACGAAGTTTATAAAGAAAAATGACATATTATTAATTGTATAACAAAATAATATTTATTAAAATTTAACTACGCCATTTGCCACGCATCGTATCCTCGAATATCACATTTGACTTAAGATCTATCAAACATTCATGATTTTATCACAATGTTTTACAAAGCACATAAAAATACACATCCAAAAAAATTAAGACTATGACAAAAATAAAAATAATTCGCTCGTAAATTCCAAATATAAAAACAATTACAGTGTATACTCGACCAGCTAGAAAACATTCGCATCGGCTTTTGTTTTACCACGTAACAATATGAGTTTAAAGTTCAGAAAATAATTATTCAACATACTTTACATCACTGAATACCAATGAGGAACATAAATATTAATGACCCGCGCCCTACACGAGCTGCCCACCTCACAGAATCTGCCGGACGTACGGCAACGAAATCTGGAAATGTTCCTTAATCGTCACTTCTTTGCCATATCTATCTAACAGCTCGAGCACCACGCCATTCGTCCAGCCGAAGCCGTCTTGCACGGTGTACTCACCGCCACTGCCGTGGTGCCCCGGCTGTACGGCGCTGTACTTCTCGAACATTTTTTTCCAATTATTATACCCAATGTAATTAGCGCAAATCCAAAGCACGGCCTGTTCTTTAGCCAAGTGCTGCGCTTCCGTGTCCCCGCTGGCGTCTAGGCCACCGATGAGAATACTCTGTGTCGGTGGCCAGGCGTTCGGATAGTCCCACTGCTCGCCCGAGTTAAGGATGGAAGCGGGGATCCCGCCGGGGAAATCCAAGGCGCCGGAGGATAGGAGATATCTCACTAAAAGTGACGCGTATTTCGGCGCTTCAGATTTGTCGACGGAGTCAGTCCAGAGCGGCGTTGCACAGCTCGGGTAGAAGTGCCGCCTCCTGGTGTTCGCCATGGAGTCGTAATCGTACCACACACCGTCCACGGGGTCCCACAGTACCTGTTGTATGGCGCGGCGCCAATACTTCGCGAGGCTGTACCACTTCTGAGCCATGCGTCTGTCCTTCAACCGGTTACGGAAATCGCCGGCGTGTTGAAGCGCCCCCGCAAATATAGCGTTCAAGTCGACCGGTATAATTCTACTAGCATGCACGTCCGTTATGTTGCCTAGGATGTCGTCACCCGCCGTCACGAACCATCGCGACGAGAAATCCCAGCCGCTCTCAGCGGCGCTCTTCATCTCAGTGTAAAAGTCTTCCCGTTTTTCTTCATCCGTCAAAATTCGAGCGTGCGTGTAATCCTCGAAATAAGACTCCGGACGCGGTCCTTTAAAATTTATATCGGACAGATATCTTAATAATACATATTTCTTCTTGTCTAGCTCGACGGTAACCTTCTTATTGTTCAGCCAGTAGTTGAGCTCCTTCTCGACGGTGCCGACGTGTTGCTCCAGCCAGCCGAGATCACCGGTAGCGGCGAAGTAGCTCGCCACCATCGCGGCCAGGAGAGGCGGTTGACTCCTTCCCATGTAGTATATCCGATTTCCGTTGGGAATGTATCCGATTTCATTAACAAGATGGAAAAGGTTCTCGATCATACCCCGAGCGGTCTCCGTCATGTTGCTGAGAAGAAGGCCCCGCACCATCCAGTATGAGTCCCAGTAGTACAGCTCCTTAAACCTTCCGCCGGGAACGATGAAGCCGTTCGGCACGTAAATAAAACTATACTGGCCAGGATTCGACAAAATATCGGGGTTCGCTTTTCGTCCCAGTTTGGCCCACAATCCGATCACATTTTTCGCAAACTGTCGCAGCTTGGGGTCGACGATGCGGTCCAAAATCGGAGGATCGGGGTCGAAGTCTGGCGGCTCCCAGACCTCCAACTCGTTCCCCTCCGTAAAATGCGCGTCGACGAATTTTTTCATTTGGTCCAAAGTCGGATTCTGGTCGGTGTCGTGAATTAATTTCGCGTAGTCGGCCAGCGTCTCATTTTCCGTGTAGACGAGCTTGAGGTCGACGAACGTTTTAGAGTCGGGGAAAATGCGAGCGAGCTGCACTCTGTGGAGCAGATCGCCGCTGCAATAAATCGATGAGTTGCAAACCGGCACTGCGGTGAAAGCGTTCGTGCACGCGCCCAGGATGCCCAGCACCGGGTACAGCGGCAAGCAGCGTGGCAGGCGGACCATCAACATTTTCATCACTTCAATTTTGTTACTTCAAATTGCGCGAGCGCAGTTTCGCGCTACGAAGGTACGCGCGACGCTCCAAGCGTTGTCGCGAGGGCGATCGACGCGAGTCGAATGGCCGCGCGTCCGCCGTGCGACCGGTAATAAACGTGGAGATGTGTGTCACTGGCCGCGGCCGCATCCCGACGACCGCGGCGGGCGGCGGCGCGGCGCGGCTTCCCGAGTGACGCAACGGCCACGGCTTTCACTGGACACACCCGCACTGGGTCACTGTCGCGCCCCCGTCGCCGCCGCCGCCCCGGCTAGTCCGCACCAGTTTTACTTCCGACTTTATTGCAACTGGCAAGTGCAACGTGAACATGATACACGGCCGCCTACGTTATAAATGTCAAAACAAATCAGATAAGGGTAGGGCTGTAGCATTCACGATATCACTAGACGTTATCGGCTATTTCAGTTGTTCACGTTTTACCTTGATAAGTAATAAGTTCGTTCGCTTTCATTATTAAATACTATTATCAAACATACAATTTATCACAGTTTGACGCGATATAATGTGTAAAATGAATGACATTTTACTGAGTTTAATGAAACGAACAACTTAAAAAAAGCAAGCTAATGTACAATTGTGCGACGAATCTATTAATTATTATGTCCAGAAAAATACACGATTCAAATTTTCGTCACAAATATTTTCAGTAAACAAATAGAGTTAGAAAAAATATCTTCTTATTAAAAGTTACTACAGAAGTTAGTTAGAAGAAGCTAATTTAGCGTTTTTTAGTTGCTACCATAAACGACATCCCACCGCACAGCACTACAATGACGTTTAAAACACACACTCAGAGACGTCCAATAAGCAACGAGAATTCTGCGCTTGCGCACTTGCAGCGTATACGTCATTTATATAAAGCGGGAATCAATTATAACTGTCTTCTGTGATCATTATTTGACATTTAATCATAAGATTTTCGAAATGTCTTCAGTTTACATTTTTGACTAAAAACCTTGCCGTGAGTTTCAATTGGTAAAAACTCACTCATTCTCTTTTAGAAGTTAGCAATATTTTTCTCAGTGACAAAATACACGATAACAATATAATTTCATAGTAGAAATCACCAAGGAAACATAACAATTAAACATCTATTGAAGCATCATGCTTGAAACCTGTTTCAATATCATTATGTGTTATTTATAGAACAAATAATTGCACCTTCATCAGTACTGATATTATTTATTTTGATTACAATAAATTAGTTAGAAAATGTATATAATCAACGATATCAGACATTTTAATCTTAAAATTGAGCAATATTGTATGTTATTGTTATTGTATTGAGTATTTTGAGACGCTCAAATACACGCCGACAAAGTTATCTGACCCGTTATTAAATCAAATTAATTTTTGACAGCTGACTAGCGCCCCTATCAAAGTAACAAAAATGTCACTAGACTTGTCATATTGTAGCTGTCTAGTAATTTTTTTTTATAGCACTTTCCTTGTCTAAGTAGGTTTTATATGTTTAGTGACAGAACTTTAGGCGACAGTAGCGCCTCTTTTAGTGGCCTAATCTTGTCGCACAACTAAATTAAAAAAAAATAAAACGACAACAAAATTCTGACACAGCCGTTTATTATGCTTTGATAAAAATCTGTTAAATTATACTAATACACATATTTAAATCACAACCACAATATATTTTAACATGGTATTTTTGATATTTGACAAAAATAATTATAGACCAGCACTATATTACGAATAAAATAACAGTTATATGAAAATATATAACAAGTGGTTTTGTTTGTTTAATAAATATACGCTTTTAAACTAAACTAATATATTCAAATGTACTTCTTTTCTTTTGACGTAATTTTTTTTTACTAATTAAAAGTAAATTAAAAAATACTTCAAAATAAAACTCTCGTGAAATATTAATTTTAATTTATAATACTATTTCATACTAATTGAAAAATTTTAAAAATACCTTTTTAAACATATAAAATAAATGAATGTATCTTGTTAAAAATTGATTTTTCTTAGGTTTTTAAATAAATTAAAATAATTTCAATGCACTCGTTCGTTTACAGAATCGCTGTCCTTGATAAGTTTTTTTTATAACAATGGCGGACGCAAAACATGAGCATTGAGCCAAACAGAACTTATTTTTGTTACTATCACAATTAAGTAATATTATTGAATGCATACAAAATCTATTTGACATTTTTAGATCTTTCTCTGAATAAACAGATGTTTAATGTTTTTAACATTGGTCTTAATGCAAAAAAAAGTTGTTCTAAATATTATAAAATCTCATATTTTTTTATCATTTTATAATATGTACAACTGGAAATGTTTTAATTCATGGCACTGTTATTATATTACTAAAATAAAAATGCAATTATTAATGACAATATATCCTAACCGTTATGGCTTAACAAAAATAAGTAGTAGGAAAATATATAGTTAACAAAGGTCTTATATCAAATATAACAAAAAGAAGAAATGTCCTCGAAAGGTTTAACGTGAATTTCCTATTTTCTCTCGTTCAATAAGATATCATTGATACCAATGCTGCTACTATTTAAGTACAATTTGTAGGAAGAACTTTAAAATTACTAACAAAAGTTTAATCTTATTAAGTACTTAGGAAAATAAAAGAAAAATGAAAATGGAAAATAATACCTCTTTGGTCTTGTCAAAATACTAATTAGCTTCAACAGACTCGACGGATAATTCTATTTCTGAAAAGGATTCATCGGATAATTCCGGATTCGAATCACTTGCTGTCATTTTGTAAGCGTAGTTCTTGATCATTTCCAGTACAACGCCGTTCGACCATCCAAAGCCGGCCTGCACCGTGTACTCGCCACCGCCGCCTATCCTGCCGGGCTGTTCCACATCGTACTTCTCAAACATCTGCTTATTATCTGTAAAACCTTTCAAACAGGCTCGTACCCATTTCTGAGCTATATCAAATGCTATCTGCTTAGCTTCCCGTGTCCCTAGTGCCCTTAGCGCATTGACAGTTACACTCACTAGAGGTGGCCAGGCATTTGGATAGTCCCATTGCTCGCCGCTCTTTACCAAGGAGGATGGAATACCGCCTGGGAAATCAAGACCTTGAGAGTCGCGCAAGTAACTTATAATTCGAGGAGCACGCTCCATCAATAGCTTCCTGTCAACCGCTTCCATCCACAAAGGCGCCACGTTACTCGGGTAGAAGTATTTACGATATTCTCCGCTCTCTACATTGTAATCGTACCAGATACCGTCTTCATTGTCCCACAGGACATCCTCAATAGTGGTGCGCCATTGTTTAGCGAGGTATGCCCAGTGAGCGGCTTGCCGTCCATGGTGCAGTAATCCTTGGAAGTATGCTATATTTTGTAGAGCATTGGCGAAAATTGAATTCAAATCTACGGGAATAATCTTTGTGGTATGAATCGTACTTAAGTTGCCGGTGTTCTCACCGTTGGGCCCTATGAACCAGCGGCTCGAGAAGTCCCAGCCGCTTTCGGCGGCGCTTTTTATATCAACGTAGAATTCTTTCTGGCGCTCTTCGTTCTCGAACTGTTGAGCGAGCGTATAATCTTCGTAATATGACTCAGGTCTCGGTCCCGTGCTGGGAGCGTAGTATCGCAGCAGAGTATGCGACTTGCCATCTTTTTCAAAAGTGATCGTTTGTGTTTCAAGCCAGTACTCTAATTCGTATTCTAGTGCTTCGATATTAGCTTTAAGAAAAGCGAGGTCCTTCGTTTTTTGAACGTACAGTGACACCATCGCCGTTAGTAGGGGAGGTTGGCTCCGCTGTGCATAATATACTCGGCTTCCGTTGGGAATGTGGCCTAGTTTCTTCAACAATTGTATAAGATTATCTATCATACCGCGCGCTGTGTCCTCCATTCCGCAAATAAGCAGTCCTTCTAAGATCCAGTACGCATCCCAGTAGTATATTTCAGTAAATCTGCCTCCGGGAATAATAAAGCCATTTGATATCGGTATGAAACTGTAGAGGTCTGGCTTCTCAAAGACTATCGGTTTCACTTTCCTGCCGAGGGTCGGCCAAATGCTATTGATATCTTGGGCAAATTTTCTCAGAGTTTTATCTCTTATTTCGGCCAAGAATGGAGGATTATCGTTGTGATCCGTCGGTTTCCAAACTTCGATTTCATTTCCTGATTGGAAATACTCATCGACGAAGTTTTTTATTTGCTCCTTGGAAGGGTTTCTGTTTGTTTTTTCTAATAACTCATTGAAGTCAGCTAGCGTTTTGTTTTCATCATTTTTAAGGTGTAAATCAACGAAAGTTTTAGAGTCTGTATAGATTCTCGATGTCTGAACGTAGTGCAGCAGATCACTATTGCAGTAGACAGGTCTATTGCAAGATGGCGGCAATTCATCAGCTGATATAAGAGTTGCAAGTGCTAATATCGTCGGCACGAGCATCTGAAAAAAGAAAAAAGATCATAAATTAATTTGACAATAGAAGTCTAGTCTATGGCGAATTACAATGCAATTTCTAATTTTTATATTAATATATTTTTCTGTACTTGGCATTGTTACAAGTTGGAGTAAAATATTATTTCTAACATTTCATCGTATTAACTTAATTTGAGGAAATTTAAAGCATTGTCTCCATGTATACAAACTCCAGCATGTTACGGAAACAATGAAAAAATTATAAAAGTATTTAACTTCAAATGTGAACTTTTTAAAAATCAAAATCCTATACAAAAATGTTGTTATCTGTTTTAAAATAAAAAAATTAAAGCACATAAAACTGGTAATACTAGCTCGTATAAAAAAGTAATCATTTTGTTAGGGGTCATATCGATTAAATTCCTTAAACCAGAATTTAAAATAAAAAATTAATACGACCAGCTATCGAGGAACCTACTTTATTTTTATTTATAATTTAATTTCTTATCATTTTAAACCATATAAGGTGCATTTATTCATAACATACACGCTACTATAACAAATAATTATTAAATAGCCTAAACATAACTGACTGTGGCCTTGTAATATGTACATTATTGTACCTCGTAATTGTTGCTCCATATATATATATGGAGCAACAATTACGAGGTTCAACTTCATCTAATTCAATTAAATTACCAGTTATTACGAGGCCAAAAAAATCCCATATCCAAAATTTAAAATTGTTTCCACGAGGTGCTCAGTAAAATCGATGGTCGCTCAAAGCGGTCAAGGCCGTAATGGGCACTGCTAAATATTAGCAGATGAATGTTAGCGAAAATTTTTACAATCAATCAATTATTGCCAAACTTTGCAGCTCATGGTCGTTACTATTATATATTCTTTTAATAAAATAAGACATAAATAAACAATACATTTATTAAAAACGATTTAACCAATACTAATATTTTCTGACCATATATGCATTCAAATTATTAAAATATCGAATGTAGCACTGTCACAACGTAAGTCTAAATTAAAAACGTTAATTGTAATCAATGGAATTAAAAAAAAAACTTTGACAGCTGTCAATTCGTTGATGCGTGATGACGAGGAGTAAAACCATTGAAAAAATCGCGCGTAATCAAGATAATATTATGAAAGCGTACGATTGACATGATGGAGATGTATTGCAGCAACAACTTATCAATATAATCTCCGATTGACAGCAATAAGATTGTCTTTATTTATACTCTGTTTTTTCTCTACATTTGTTAACCGCGTTACTAGCACGTGTAGTAAACATTTTCTTGATTTTTTTAAACAATATGTTTTTGCGCATTTGCAGTTACTATTAATTTCTAATATTAGTACTAAATCAGTAATCAAGTAGCAACAAGACATTAAAAACCAGTTCTGTTTTAATTAAGGAATCGATAAAACCATTAGTCCAGTTGAGAACCTGATCGCTAATCATTAAGGTGAACAAGGTTGTCTAAAAAAAACTAAATCCTTCTTGTTATATAGTTTGTTGACTTTTATTTAGTTTGTATTCATATAATACTAATACTAAAAGAGTTTTGTTAGAACGAAAAAAAAAACTATGAATAATTAAAATTAGACTTTTGGAATGACCTTTTAAACACTTCGACGCCTAATTTTTTTAAACAAATTTCCTTTATCTTAATAAAAAATGTCCCACAGTTTATAAAATTGTCAATTTAATTTTTTAAAGCCTAAAAAATGCTGAACGCTAAAACGATGTAGATTAAAAAAAAAATTAAAAACATAAAAATACTTTTCTAAATTTATCGAATGTTACCAGGAGAGTAGTAGTCATATGTATGAGTTGTAGAATTATGTATGTACATGTATGTATGTGTATCTACGTAATGTAAAGACAATGGATGTTTATGTTGTATTGTAAGACATAATTGTCCGATTTTATTCGCATTTGAAATGGTGAGGTTCTAATTTTCCGCGCCTTATTGTTGTGGTAGATTCTATGCTTGTAAAAGTACAGTCATTAACAAAAACTTTAGCATAAATTTTACATGCATATTGAAAATATATTATTTTATTTATTGTTTATGTTATATTATGAAGTGAGTCTAAATATGTAAAATGTTATTGTTATATTGAAATCAATATAAATTTAAATTTGTAACAACTGTTAGGAAGAAAAACAGACACTGTGCCGGTGTACTGGCACAACACTAGCCTCACTAAAATGTCGACGTTTATGTCTCCCTCACTGTTCTTTCTGACACTTGACTTTGTAATGAAAGCACGCCATTCGCGCCTAAGGATTCTAACTAATCTTATAATAATATTATAATTCTTCTGTGAGTGTGTATGTCACTGAACTTCTCTCAAACGACTGGACCGATTTTGATGAAATTTTTTGTGTGTGTTCAAGGGGATCTGGGAATGGTTTAGATTCACAATTTTGTCCGCTGGACAATGTTTTTTTAATTAATTTTTAATTTATTAGTAGTTGTTGATTTTTGGAATGTTTTACATTGTATCCGACAGACGGCCCTACCATCGCAGTGTCAAATTTTAAATAATATTCGAATTAAAGACGTGTAGACAGGACAACGTCTGTCGGGTCCGCTAGTCTTATATAAAAATTTTCGTGTCACAATTTTCGTTCCCATACTCCTCCGAAACGGCTTGACCGATTCTCATGAAATTTTGTGAGCATATTGAGTAGGTCTGAGAATCGGCCAACATCTATCATTAATCCCGCGCGGACAGTCGCGGGCGACAGCTAGTAATGTCTAAAACTACACAGTATATCATGGTTACTACAATTACTAGTTACTTTTGTTTTATTGATTGGCCTTAGCATCAGTCACGGTGTAAAGAAACTGCGACAAATATAACCTTTGTTATCGGAACTGTTAAACATCGTCGCAAACTACTTGGTTATATGCTTCACTTAACTCTCTTACAATTAATTTCCTGTGCCGAGATACTTGTTAAAAATCAAACACCCACTTATTCACACTCAGAGACGCTGATAATAATTAGTTACTAAACGTACTAAACAGCCCGACTCACGCACGCACACACGCAAGGTATGAATTACTCAGCCGATTCAGCCTTATAAGTTACAGGGGTTCAGAATTGGATGACTTTACCGGTAAAAAATATTATTTTATTTGGTAATAGAGGATAGTCACCTAATTCGCGATATAGCGAAGCAACCGCTGTCCATGGACATCTGCAATTGCAGATTCGTTGCCTTTCATCAATGGAGGGGTGGAACGCACAGAAATATTATATTTCCCCTTCCTATGCGTCCCCTTCACCGCCAAATCCACATCCCCTTTCCATCATTTCCTTATAAGAAAAGGGTGGGAAGGAAATATAGACTAAAATTAGCCCTAACTGAAACACATATCTTTTGTACGCGTATTGACAGTGGAAGTACAGTAATAAAACTAAATTAAATTTTCTTTTCACGAGTATCTAGCGTCGTAAAGTTCCGAAGAGGAAATATCGTAAGATTCACGTAACCAAAACTTTTCATTGACATGAGTTACCTTCAATATGTGATGATGCAGAGACCTTTAGTGGTTTTCCTCGTAATTGATGTGAGCTCATAACGACGGCATTAAATTACTAATTTAGTGGTTCGTAATATTTTGCCATTATTTAAATATGAGGGTTTTAATGTAACTAACTGTTGTGAACATGTAAAGACTAATTGACCAACTTTTGATGAGTGACGTATCACTTGAGTCGTATACTTCCTCCGAGTGTAATAGAGGTCAGTCAAGATTACGTAATTTTTCTGTGATACTCTGTGGTAAATCTTGAAGTTGTTGAGAGAGAGAGAGAGAGAGCAAGAGAGAGAGAGAGAGAAAGAGACAAATTAAAGAACATCTTTGTATTATTAGAACAAATTACTTATTATCTTAACAGCATCGTTACAAAATGTAAACGTAATGTAATTCGACGTGGTCAAAAGCGTTGATAATTTTATAACGTAATATATTGTTGTGCTGATTCCTTACGCTTCTTATAACGTTTCCACCGAAACGTGCAAATGACATTGTCAACCTTCTTTTCTTTTATTGCATTTTTATTTCATACATACAAAGAATTAATTTGATACGTAAAAACTTACTATAGAAATGATCCTATGAACTAAGGTCATAAACACACACTATTACACACTATATATCATATAACTATTATACATAATAATAATGTATCCTTCAATATACATAATATGTTAAGAAACTATTTATAACTTTAGGCAATAGACAAGAGAAGAAGAGAAGACAGAGAAGAGAAGCTCTCTCCTGAAACACGGTCTCAACTAGTTCCGGAGACTGAGCCCCAAAATTTTGTGAAAAATGTTTTTTTTTTGCTTAATATAGATTTCTTTTTTTTTAATTTCCCTTCCCATTTAACGTCTTCAAATAGTACAGACTAGCTATAGCTCACTTCATTAGTTTCTTAATAACAATCATTTGTAACCAGCTCCATACATTCGTGACAATGGTATCGTTACGGAGAAGAATGGCGTGACCTTACTTACGTAGTCTAAAGCTGTGGCCTCTTAGGAAAGGTAAAGGGACTACTTTAATTCAACTTACCTTAAAACCGTTACGGGATCGTACACTTTAACTAATTCTATTCACAACTATGTTGCAATTTTAGCTTTAAAACATTGTAACTTAGATTATTGAAAATGTAAAAAAGGGTCTTGACACACAGACGGACGGACAACGGACGGTTCCGTTTTTTTCCTTTTAAGGTACGGAAAAAAAATTACAGAGTTAAATTATTATTTTTAATCTGTGAATTACTAATCTTTGATGCAGTTTTTAATAACAAATGAAATATCACAAATAAGACAATGAGTTGAAATCGAAACTCTCATTAAAGACTCGTTTATTGCGCATAATCAATTTATTTTTAAAATTATAAAATGGAAAAGTGGAAAACTCAACACAAACAACACGCAAACATCTAGATAAGATAAAGTTACGTAGACCGGTAATTTACTG